GTCCCGGTATAATAATAATAAGAGTACAATGCTCTCCTCCTCCTCCTCAGATACGTATCTATCTTCTCGACGTAGCAGCAATAATAATAAATGCATGCAATCCAATCCACACTGACTGAGCGAATCCTCCCGTCTCCTACTTTTTGCCAAGACTTCTTCTTCCATTTTAAAAAGCAGACCAACAACAAGCGAACGAAGGCTCAGAATCACCTGCTTTTTCTTATTTAACAACATTCGAGATTTCATGCCGTGATGAGGATGATGATTATTGTGGTGGTGGTGGTGGTGGTGGTGCCCGATGAGGAGTTGGTTCTTTTGAAACATTCGCATGGACGATGTCTAGCATAGCACTTTATATATTTCTTGGTCTTCTTGCAGCTCACCTTGAAGAGCGCAGTGACCCCGCGGAGGAAGGAATCACGATATTATTCAGTCGTCACAATATCATCGTCGTCGTCGACGTCGTCGTCGTCACTGTGTGGACGATCCATGAAATGATCAAATGCAACAAGTGGATGAGGCCACATTGTTCGAATCCTGGTTGCATTCTTGATCCTTTTTCTGATGCAGTATTGTTGTGTGAATTTTTAAGAGTGGCTCGCAGCGCTGAGATGAGATGACGGGATGCAGGCAGCATTGCATGGATTTTTCATACATACAATAAGTTCTGCTGCCGTGTTGGCAATGCGATGACGACGACCAAGACGACGACGACTGTTTTATCATACAAAATACTCCTTCTTCTTCTTCTGAACAATTCTTCAAGGAGTGTTCAACTCTCGGTGCCTCTGCCCTCGGGCTACTCAACCAGTTTCATCCAAGCACATTACCATCAAAATCGCTCAGATCGGGAGAGATTATTCACCCACCGAGTATGTATGTAGAAATGTATATGCTACTAAATACTACTACGCCATGATACGAACCACTGTCAATCTTCAACGTATGGACTGCTGCTTTTTTGTGGATGTATATTTAATAATAATCCGCCATGTAATTCATTCTGCCCTTATCAAGCGAGTTGCTGATTTGGTTTGAAAAAAGCAAACCAGGTGCGGAGGACTGGAGTATGTGCTGGACTGGGTGGACGAGAGATAGAGGAGGCAAAATAATTAGCATGAACCGTTTTGTTGCTGGAAAAAAATAACGTGAGTTTTGACTCGACAAGAAGATTGGATTGGACTTTTTAAACTTGTTGTGAGATTCCTTTTTCCAATTCAGAGATTCAGACAGGTTTTTATAACTGGTGAGAGAGAGAGAGGAGGATGAAATAAGGTGCAATGAACTAAAGGTAGGCATGCACATAAGCTAAATACCAGCAGAATTGGAATGTATTTATGTATTGTGGATGGATGGATGGATGGATGAAAGATTTCTTCTTCTTAAGGTGGGTTTACTTATGTAACTCGTTGTTAACTTGCGCCAATGTTATGATTTAACTATGGCGCAAGTTAGCAAAAAGTAAAGTATGCAGTCACCTTTATAGAGATTGAGGATACGCCGAGAGAGGAGCAACTGGTGGATGAATGGATGGACATACTTTTTCGTAGTGTCCAACGGGAAACAAATTTTTTGTCCGCAACGGTTAGATCGTGTCATGTGATTCACTCGAAAGGGTGAAAGAGACGACATTCCTCCGTATCTTGAACATTTTTACTACGACTCTTTTCCCATTCCGGAAGGAAACTCATCTCGGAAGGAGGACGACGACCAGGAGCAAAATCAGAGGCTAAACTTGTCTTTGAAAATGTAACAATATTGACACGAGCGAGATGTTATATTTATTCAAATTACTAAACACGCGTCCAAAGTACACACCCAGTAGAGACACACATTGCAAGGTAAATACATGGCTCGACCATACATAGTTCATAAAATACGTTGTAAATGCTTTCCTCCTAAATATGGACGTGGCGAAATAATATGCAGGAACGCGCTGCTGGTGGTGCTATTATTATTAAATAAACTCTCCCCCCGACCGGATGGATGGATGGATGGATGAAGGGCCACGTATCATGATCTTCATCATCATCGTCCTGTTTCTGGAGGGCTGTTTACTTTGCATTTTACTACTCAAACCTCCGACTACTTTGGCAGCTCATCACTAACTAAACCAAGCCAAACTCACTCACCAGCTAGCACAGAGCACCATTTAAACTTTGTCAACACGACGACGACGACGACGAGGAAACCAGAAACCAACCCCTCACAACCAACTACTTTCTCTCCAGACTTAATGCTCCTAATTGATGCAGTGACACTCCTCTGGAGGGAAACGATACATAATTAACTACGACAAGCCACCAGAAGAGGAGACCAGACCTTATCAGTTAGTTACTCCAACCAACCTTCACCTGGTACTCACTCGGCTACTGTTTGAGTTTCTGATAATAACTCCATCCGGGTGAAAGTTGGTCTCGCTCGGCGAGGAAATAACCGTGGCGACAGTTTTCCCCTCTAATTAGATGAAACACCGTATATTTATACATACCTTTACTTCCACACACACACAAACACACCAACTTTGTTCAGTTACTACTACAGAGATTGATGACGTTTTAATGTCACCCTGACTGGATTGGAGATTTGGACCTGGACAAGGGGAAAATAATGAATCGGTGTTAGCGGAAAGTAATTGTGATGGCGATCCAAAACAAGGGAACCATTATTGCCACCCGGCCTGAGGATGGGAGTAGTCCTTGTCCCCGAGTCGTCTTAATTAACAGGACAATGAGAGACTTTGAGAAAAAATGGTTTCCTCGTCAGTATGGATTTGTCCTTTCTCCTCCTCATATTATTATAGAACGATAAAGTTGGAGCAGTGAAACTGATCCTCATTCCGGTTGACATTTCCATTATTATTTGAGCCTCTGTCCTGTTCTTGTCCTGAGTGGAGGAGTAGAAAATAATGGAGGCTCGAGGAGAAGGAGACCAATCGGATGTAGATACTTTCACTGCTACATATTCATTCACGACCACCACGGCCTCCTAGTTTCGCATTGTGCTTTGTATAGGAAAGGAGAAACGGTGTTTCGTTTCTTACGGGTTTGCTAAATACATTTCTTGCACTGGAAAGCAAGAAACGCAAGAAATGCGGGGTGCAAGAAACTGCAAGAAAGCTCAAGAAATATGGCCCATCCAGCCGCGCTCCGTATTTATAGCGGCGGGCACAGTTTATTGCGCCTTGTATTTCTTGCAGGTCAAAATAGCTAGTGCAAAATGCAAGGTCCAAGAAACTGCAAGAACGTGCAAAAAATTTGCGCCATCCAGCCGCGCACCGTATGATTTACAGCGGCGGGGCGCAGTTTCTTGTGCCTTGCAGGTCAGAATATTTACCTGCGAGAAACCACTTTCTAACCATTATTCCTTGCAAGCGGTTACCTGCACCCGGAACACTGCCGAGAAAGGAATAAGTATCTGCTACAATTTCGATTTAACTAAGGAGTTTCCTTCTCAAGTTGGTTCAGCTCGTCCGACTTGATTTAATAACAACATGTTCCTTTTCTCCTTGTCTTCTTCTTGCCTACCTCTGACATTTGAATGCAATGGTGTGTACCGAGTTTCCTTTTCCATCCGAGCTATATTTACCCATCTTTTGTTAAGTAACGAACATAGTTGAGCACTTGGATGCAATCTCGCTCAAAATTTTACAAACTTGATCTCTCAATCCGGACTTTTTATAGATATGCATGCACAATATGTAAATCATATCATTTTATTCAATAAAATGCGCACATACATGATACAAAGTAAATAAAACCGTGCTTCTTGTGAATTTTTTTTACTCCGTAACGAGACGAAAAGTGGGTCTGGAAAGGGAAATAATGTGTAATAGATTGATATACAGAATCGAATTGAATATTAACTTTGCCTTCAAAAGGATTCGATTGACTCTTTAACTTTGGGAGGGTAGCTGATTGAAGAAATGTCGCCAAAAGAGAAAATGTCACAACAGAATTCGGAGTAAAATGGAATCAGATCTCGTCATTCTCGGAAATAATGTAGGCACACACTTTCACTTGGATGTTATTATTATTATTTGAATGACTGACTGACTGGCTGGCTGAGTGAGTGAGTGACTGAGTGAAAGATGCTTTCTCTCTCTCTCGATTTTTTAAGAAAAAACGAGGAGCAAAAGTTATTATTGATATTGATTTCTGTCTGAAAAATCAAAGAGGTACTGGATTTTTTGAAGTTTGGTTAGACGGATGAGGAGAAAAGAATGAGAGCGAGCGAGATATGCTGGATAGATGGATAATTGAGGTTGAAAGGGTGCATGTGGCGTGTACAGTTAGTTGGTTGGTGTGGCGTGAAGGGAAAAATTTCACCGTATTGTTGACAACGAGATCACCCAAATTTACCCATATTTATTTATTCGTGGGTAAGGTGTAAATTTTTCATTTCTGAGGAACATTCCGACCAAAATGTGTCACTTTCTACACAATCTCTCTCCAGCCGAGGGAGTGGGTGGAATGGAAATGTGGGGGGAGTGGAGATATCGGGGTGACATTGTTTGCCACGAAGACGGTACATATAAATTCATGTCATCATTTCCAAAGTTTTTGAGATGCCGAGATTTGTCTGAATGACATCCAGCGTTGCACATCTTCTTGTCAAGTATCACGACGAGAGAGACAAGATTGGCAAACAACATTGAAAAGTACTTCACCTTCTCTCTCAACCACTCAATCTGAGAAATGTGAGTCCCTCGAACGTACATATGTACATGTGTGCATATGTCAAAATATGGGTGGAGTATGTAGTAGGAGTAGTAGTTGGCTGGGGTGGGAGACGACTAGTATGTAAAGTGGAGTGGAAATCTCTCTGACTTTCGAGTCTCAAAATCTCAAAAGCCCCAGAAAACCGTTCTACAAGAAACCACCTCTCCTACTCCTGCTCATCCTACCGATCGTAATGCGGGGAGAGTGACACGACAACGACGATAAGACAAATTGGGGGCGGGGGTGTAACCCACTTATCAAGATATTTTTTTTACTTACCTCTTCAGTAACCTCCCTGGGCAAATGTTTAATTTGGAGGATCCTCCCCCTATGAAATTTCCTCTTAATTTCCTCCAACCTCTTCTCCGCAGGGTCACTGCTACTCGAGGTGGAGGCCGTGGTGGAATTGTGCACTTCGTCCACCCAAGATGCACCCGTTGAGGCCGTCGCCACAACGCCCGATGACCACAAATTGTCCCCCATCAACTCCCCGCCAGAGTCATACACACCCCCGAAACCGCGGGGGTGGAGGAAAACGCGTCCGCAGGTCCGGCCGCCATCGTGGATTTTTTTATTACTTTCTCACTTTTTCACACTTTAATTATACTGAGATTGCTTTAATTATTAATCGTAGGTGGCCAGCACCCCGGTCTGGGTACTACATGGTAGCGGTACGAAAAGTTTGGGTGGGTGGGACATGCCACTCGGTATTTTTTGCAAATTTTTTTTTGCACACACTTATCGCCCTTCGCAGTGACGACGGTGACGACGCGGATGACACCGAGGTTGCAGGTTGGGGTGGAGAAAGAAATGCCGAGTCTTTACTCCGGGGCTGCTGCGAGACGACTGACGAGCAGTGCTGACTTGGTAGTTAGTGGTCTCACAGTGGTCTCACATTCTCCACACTCGCCCGAGTTGTTGCCAAGTAGGAGCTCTTCCTCGCAAAATCTCTGTTTGTAAACTTATCCAACCTTTCTGATAACCCTCTTTTTCCTCGCTCCGACCTTATCCAGATGACCAGATGAGGGTGGGAATCGCGTCCCCTGTGCAGCGTTCTTCACCACCACCAATCGCCACCATGATCATCATCCATGTAATAATAAGTAAGTGCATACATACATACACGTCTTTGAGGGCATCTACCCTGGCCAACGCACCCGCTACTAATTGCACCACCACACAGACCGAGCGTATTTCTTGCCAGGCTGAGATTTTTATTTTGCCAGACTCATAACCACCACCGACTGACAGAGAACTTTGTATGTACGTGTTACGTGATGGCAACACTACTGCATTGTTGCGGAGATTGGATGGGATGTGCATGGACCGGCAGGTGTGTGGGGGTGCAGCTCTCAGTCCTGACTTCTTGGCCTGCCAAGTGCTTACGCGGAGAGGACGAGCTCTCTGCAGCAGCAGCAGCAGCAAAGAAATCACCTACCTGTGGCTGAGATGCTGCTGCGATTCATGATTTGATGAGGCAGTTATTTAGCAATGTTATTTCATTTGATATTGTACTTTTTTCTACATACTTTTCAGCCTTACATAAATTCATATGCGGGCTATTCCCCTCGCTCGCATCGCAGAACCGGTGGTGTCATTGTCTCCTCTTCGCCGTACAGTGATGATTCCTTGAAGACGTGGAAAAGCTGGGGCCACAATTGCAAGACGAAGACACACACGGTACAAAACCTGAAGCTACACTGGTGCCATGGATGTCTTGAGGTTTTTCCTTCTTTTTCAAGAAAATGCTTATGAGGACGAAGACGACAACGGCGAAAAACAAAGTGGACGGATCCTTACTCCTGCTGCGGGATGAATTACGACGAGAAAAACTAGGGTTTCGTTTCTTGCGGGTTTACTACATTTCTTGCACTGCGAAGCGAGAAATGCAGGAAATGCGAGGTGCAAGAAACTGAAAGAAAGTGCAAGAAATATTCGCAATCCAGTAGCGTAATTTCTTGCGCCTTGCATTTCTTGCAGGTCAAAATATCTGAAAAAAACACTTTCTTGCAAGTGGTCACTTCCACCCGAAACACTGAGAAAACCATTCACCTTCTAACAAGAACAATAAGTTTGCGGCATGATTTTCTTCCCTTTTAATAAATACTTCTGCCTGTGAGAATCTAAACCGTGGCGGCGAAATATGCAAATTCTTATGTACACAGCCAAGTAATTCCAATCCTAATAATAATTTATTTCCGCTCCTGCAACCTAACGTAATTGTCATTTAATCCGTACTTTGCCATTATTAATGGACACACTTATTACTACAAGCCCACATACATTTGCCCATTCGGGAAACATGCACGACTAATAAAACAGTGTGTTGGAATGGATGCAAATACTAAATATGTATGTACGCACTCATAAATAAATAAAGTTTGACCACTCCGTATGCACTCGCTCCTTGAGGGAATGACGGGAATCAATTAGCAATTCTGCTTACCGTGTGCCGTATGGGGCCACATTTCACATTTTGTAACCCGGTGTGTGTCGGTAATGTGATGTGGGAGAGATAAGCATCTGGAAAATTGGGCATTATTTTGGAGCCTATAATGCAATATTAGTTATTATTTGTCGGGAGGGAGGGAGGCAGCCGAGTCAAGTCCATCGTAAACTAATCACGCCGTGACGACCGAGGCGCAATTAGTGGGAAAACAACTCTCTCTCCGCCTCTGCCTCTGTCCTATTTACCGCTGGACACTTAATCTAATCGGTGCGAGGGGAGAAAGCAAAACACTTTCCAGACCCGATATTACACGTATTGTTGCAACGTACATACCTCTCACTGGGTTCTGACCATGACGTGCCGTAACTAAGTTTGGAGGTCTCTCGGCGTATGCTAACAGATTTTTTTAGCAAACTAGTGTCAATCGATTACAAATTTAGTTAATGTGAAATTTTCAAAAGGTACTTCCTCCTAAGGCACAGGTTTGGCGCAGATATTTGTATCGAAAGAGGAGAAAATGCGTAGTAAACTTGGAACATTTGTCAGCTTTAGCTTTAGCTTTGAGCAATGTTTTCTCCTCTTCGGATGCAAATATCTTTGCCAAACTTGACCATTGGGAGATCGTGTCTTTTGAAAATTTCATACTAATTAAATTTGCGACTAATTTGCTCAAAAACGGAGAGCATACACTGGGCGACCTCCATCGTAACTTTATTTGGAGTCACCACTCACGGAAAGACTTACGGAGTCAGTCTGTTACGGAATCTACAAACGAAAGTTGGGTTCCTGGTTAATGTGGTGTTTGTGTTGGTGGACTTGTGCGATATTCACGTGGCGGAAAACCTGTGACTTTCTCTCCTGCTTAGTTGAAGTGACTGCACATTCAGCACTTGTTGGAGGTAGAGGACGATTTGTGTGTAATGGGACTGGACAGCTTTTCGGTTTTCTTCTCTCCATCTCCTACGCCATGTTCGCGATGTGGGGACAAGATTGCGTTTGTCTCCTTTTAATCTGATATTTATTACGGGAGAGAGAAAGTCGGCCTGTTTTAGAGAAGGGATGAAAATGAAAATGAGCCAGGACGCAGCAGGCGGCCGATATTAATACACTCGCTCCCGGGGAGAAAGGAGAAAGTAATTTGTGGCAACTTTTCCCCTCTCTCTTCCACAACGGATCGTCGTCATCGTCGTCTTTTGATCGGCGGACGGACATGACTTGATGTCAACAACAACAACAACACGACTGCAAGTGTGGTCTATACATAAATAGGTAGCATTCTATTTCGTACATATGCACATACGTCACATCTTATCATCACAACTACAACGAAAGAGAAAGAACGAAGAGTACTCGTATCCTGTTCTGCATAGCGAAATTTTTGGCACAGTTTCCTCCTGGTGAGTGCATTATTTGCATGCGGAAAGTAGTGCATGTGATTGGCTAAAAATAGTCCGGGTGGTTGTAGTAAATATGTAAGCAGTAGTATTTAGCAGTGTTTTAGCGTAGCACGCAACAGGGAGGCGAACAAGATTATTGTTCCACTTGCTCCAAAACAGAGCTGCTGCTGGTACATATTTGCACACACAAATTGATGATTCCAAGTTTTCCTTTAGTTTTGAAAAGTTGGGCATCAACTTGTGCATCAACATTTTTAAAGCCGTCCGGAGGACAGAGAAGCTGGAAAATTGGGACGAAAATACTTACGTACACGATCACCCGGAGCGGTGTTTGTGTGTGTGTGTGTGCATAAATAGTATTTAGTGGAGGATGGACATTGCTTCGGGTTGTCACCACGTTGCGTCGTAATTTTAGAATAAATTGCTTTCAGCCCAACAAACTTTCGACATGGTCAAATAGCAGTCAAGTGGTGGTTGGTGCGTTATTTTGGCAAGGGTGGTCGTGGTGGTCTTGGTGGTGGTGCTTCCTTCCGTTGCATACATATGTGCATATCTTTTCGGATATATTGTGACACCTGTGGAGCGACCCGACCCCGTCATTGACATTTGGTTCCGTCGTTCGTCCTGGTCTTTTGTCTTTGTCTTGTCAGCCCGTGAGTCGGAGATTAGGTGAGTCACGTCCTTATGGAGGAGAGAGAAAGTCAACGGTGGTGATGGGATGTGAAAGCACATTCAATTTCCTCCTCTTCCACTTTCTTCTCTCTTCCACCCAAACTCAATTAGTTCCCGTGCCCTCCTTCCAGTCCGACTAATAAGTAATGGGCAAAAAAATTGGTTTTTTCTCCATCTTCCCTCCTCTTTGTTTTCCTTTTAAGGAGCAGCGAAAGAAAGTGAGTGGGAGTTGGAAGGCTGGCTCGTCTTCTTCTGCGCCTCTTTCTCTCTCAGCTTTTAATACTAATTAATGTCAGAGACTTCTTGGGGACGATGTCTGTCGAGTCACTTTTAGGGACGAGGACTACAGTCGTCGCGAGAGATTAAAATCTCTCCTGTGTCATTGTCACGTCATGGCATCGATTGTATTTACTAAATTTTGGGGAACTCGGGACATCGTAAAGTTCAGAAATAGCAGAATATAACTTATGTATGTAGGAAGGAATAAAAATGGAGTTGACGCTGCCATGTTCTAGTCAAAGTTGATAAATATTTATTAACAATTTGCGAATCGTAGGAGAAAATCAGTTGAAAAAACGATGAGATTTTGTTGATTGGAAATCATTCTTTAATTACTAATTTATTTATTACGGACAAAATGCATTTCTTGATTTTGAAAAATGAGTTAGTTAGTCTGTCCGTTCGTCCGTCTGTCAACGCGATAACGGGAGAACGGATCTAGATAATCGAAATCGGTTTGCGGTATCATACATACGACCCCAGGGGGAGGTTTCCCCCAAATTTTGGTGTCAACCGGACCACACCCCCTGACACCCAGGGGGTATGGTTGGAAAAATGAGATTTTTAGAAAAATTGAATCTATGAATGAAGTAGAGTTGAATTAAGTGTTCCCGAGTTGTGCCACACCCCCTGGGGCCCAGGGGGTGTGGTTGGGGCAAACTGAGATTTTTATAAAAATTGAATCTAACATGTAGGACATGTAAAACAGCAAGATTGATTGATTAATTAAGATTGATAAAACAGTAAAACACGTAAGATGCACAATTTTTCAGAGTGGCTACACATAAATGAGGAAATCTAAATTATTTTATTATTTTTAAATAATTAAGATTCGGAAATCTATATTTCCTTTATTTTGTATCGCATTCTCAGCACGATTGCTTGACATTAAGTATCTAGGTAACACTTGCGTCTTTTAACGGTTGCGACAAATGGTGGAGTTGTAACAAAAAATAATTATTTTTAATTTCGTTGGTACTTCTCCCATGGTCCAAAATACCAACGACTTTGACCTTTAATAACTTTTGAATGGGCAGACATAGAGACCTCATTCGTAGAGATGAAATCATAGTAATTTTTAGCTTGATTTTTTAAGCTAAAAATCTTGAGGGAACTATTTCGAAAATTAAACTTGATATCTCCAGTGTGCAGCCTTTATTTAGGCCGAGTCAGACTCTGCGGTTTCGGTTAAACAAACCATTTTACATTAAAGTTTATTGTACCAAAGTATTTAAACTGGTGGAGTGGGATATTTTTGAAAACCAACAGTGTGCAATGTTTATTTAGCCAGAGTCAGGGTAAGTGACAAAATTTGGCGAAAATAAGGTGGTGGCGATGAATGTGACCTTGCGACATGTCGATAACACCAAAAAGAAGTCTCTGTCGAAGTTTGATGGAAATCGGACGAAAAATGGCGAAGTTATGGCATGGCGACGAAATTTGGCGAAAACAAGGTGGTGGCGACGGGTGGGACCTTGCGACATGTCGATAACATCAAAAAGAAGTCTCTGTCGAAGTTCGATGGAAATTGGAAGAGATATGGCGAAGTTATGGCATGGCGACGAAATTTGGCGTAAACAAGGTGGTGGCGGTAGGTGGAGCATTGCGACATGTCGACTACACCAATAAGAAGTCTCTGTCGAAATTAGATGGGAATCGGACGAGAAATGGCGAAATTATGGCATGGCGACGAAATTTGGCGAAAACAACGTGGTGGCGGTAGGTGGAGCATTGCGACATGTCGACTACACCAATAAGAAGTCTCTGTCGAAATTTGATGGAAATCAGACGAGAAATGGCGAAATTATGACATGGCGACGAAATTTGGCGAAAACAAGGGTGTGGCGGTGAGTGGGACCTTGCGACATGTCAACAACACCAATAAGAAGCATTGTGCCAAATTTCATGCAAATCGGACGAGAAATGGCGAAATTATAGCTGGCGACAAAGGTTGTCGCCATGCCATGCATTTATAAGGGGGGGGGAGCTGTTGGCCGCCCTGAGAAGGGCGTTTCCAGAGCACACGACGAGGACGTCGCTCCCTCGTGCTCCACGCGGGTCGGCCCCCATGGACGCCCGAATGCGTCCGCGGACGTCTACCTCCACCGACCGGGAAAGCCCTGCCCACGTCACCGCCTCTGCAACCGCGTTCCCCTAGGGGGCCCGTCTGACCCTCGCCTTACGAGGTGGGAGCGCACCCGTAAATCGGCCCCCATTAAGGCTTCGAACTCGGGAACCCGGTCGGCCCCAAGGGGAGGTATCGCTAAAGAGCGGCGTCACCCAAGGGTTGGAGGTAGAGAGCCCCTCTCACTTGCCAAGCGCCACCCGCACTTTTGGCAAGCCCCGCCGGCTCCCCACCCGGTGAGCCTGCTTGGTGGGAGGAGCATTGGAGGGGGGACCTTCCCGTAAGGCTCTCCCCTTGCAGCGTTGCTCCCCCGGACCACCCCTCCAACGGGAAGAGAGTCGGGGCTGTGGGACAAACCACGGGTGGACCCGACTCCCCAGAGAGGCAGGGCGGCCCAAGGGCGGCCCAAGGGCGCAGCTGCAATGGGGAGCCCACCCAGGGACATGTCCGTCCCCCACGAGCTCCTCCCGCAGACTGACAAAAATTTCTGGTGCAGCTCCTTTTATACCCTCTGGAGGGCGGTGAAAGTTCTGCTATAAATAGACCCGGTGAAAGTTGTGCTATAAATAGCACCCGGTGAAAGTTCTGTTATAAATAGAGACTACGTATGTATATTAATAGCACCTGAGATAAGCAGCCTCACATGTTCCGTGTTAGTAATTATATTATAATTACATATATAGTAGTTATTTATATAGTATATAGCACACGCGTGCTATAGGTATACAGCTGTGTATAGCTATATATCACATATATACTATGTATATATATATTTATTATTTAGTAGTTATATACATACACATATGTTATACATAGCTATACACAGGTATACAGGTGGAAGTTGTGCTATATACTATATAACTACTATATATGTATACCTACATTGCCTACATATTTTATACCGGCCTATCTCAAATGTTTACAATTGTTACGAATAATTCAATTAATTATTTCGACGTCGTTAGCATTGGGTCAATGTCGATTCTTACAGGTTTTTGGTCGCTGATTTCGAATCTGAGGTCAGTTTTTCGATTGCGACATCATGGGAAGGGGCACATTCTTAATTATGTTAAAATAACACAAAATCTACAAATATAAGGCTACAAATATACAAAGCTACAAATATAAGGCTGGGCTTTGTATTTGTAGTATGAATAAATTAAAAGTTGACAAAATTCATGTAAATTCTTGACAATCAGAGAGTGAAGGAACTTCCCATCATTACTTGTGATAATTTTTGTAATAATCTACATGCCAACTGCAACTTCGTCTCTTCACAGTCTTCATGATGCTTGCTTCGACGATGAAAAAACTTTAATTTTCGAAAACCCTGGTACCTTTTGGAACCAGTGTGCGCCGCACAAACCGTCGCCCAGAAACATACCGCGCAAAAATTGTCAGCACTCACATTTCGTTCCCACGAATTAATTTTTTAACCATGGATACAAGAATCAGTGCAGTTGTAAATGTGAAATCGGCTATTTCGGCGTTCTGGCAGAAATTTGTGTGCTTTAATTACCGTTAGCGACGGCCCAATAATTAGCACTCCGGGGAAGCAACGCTGCAAGGGGAGAGCCTTACGGGAAGGTCACTTCAAAAATGGAGGTTTTTGAGGCTATCGAAGCAACTGTCGTAACCTTGTATTATTATGATAAATTGTCAAGCAATCTTGCATTCTCAGCATTTTTGCGCTACTTGTGTACCCTGCGTTGCCGTAGTTTATTATTGATATAAGGATGCTAAATAATTGAAATAAAAATCTGTGTATTTTTATATTTTTTATGATGAAGATGACCGTGGTTCACTGAAGGGTAGTAATTTCCAGAAATAAAATCAAGTAATAACCCCCGAAAAAAACGGCAAAAATGTCTGATCAGAAAATAAGTCTAATTTTGCTTATTTTCCGCAGAATGCCGCTTCGAAAAACGGTCCCCACTTTGCAAAAATGTTGCATGAATTGTTTGGCTCGGAATTGGGATCTGATTTGCTACTCGGTCCACTCTCCGCAAGAAATGGCCGGGTTATTGGAGTCGGACGGCTACCTGGCGTTTGACGGACCTTTCACCGACTTTCGTGAGCATTTTTTACGCTAACACATATTTACGTATGCAGTGACAAGGAACATGTATCCGATGAGTTGACACATGTAAATTCCTATCCGAATCCAAGATTTGCCCAGATCCATCTTCGCCCAGAGAGAACACGTGTCGTCGTCGTCGGAGAGAAATAAACTTTTCCAATTTCGACTCAAGTGTCGCATGAGCGAATTCAACTCTGATCTTCTCGACGCATATGGATTTGAATTTAGGGACGGATTTGATGCAATCATTTTCAACACGTAGGCTCAAATTTGTTGACTATATTTTTCTATGTATATGCACAGACGAGTGGATCCGCTACTTCTCATCTTTCTAATTAAGGAAAGTCAGGTTGGGTCTGATTTTTCTGACGAGTTTTTTCTCTCTCTCTCTCCGATTGGGATTGGGGAGACAGCTTATTCATGTTATTTTCCATGCCTGTGATTTCCAAAATGATTGCTTCTCTGATGTCCCAAGCACAGAAAAAGTCGGGAAAGAAGGAATAAGATTAGGGGACGAATACGGAATGAAATATTGTCGTTAAGATGTTTTTTTATATTCGTGCAAGTTCTTCAATCCCCTCGTCTGCTTGATTCTTCGTGTTTATACTTTTTCTCGGCTAAAATAGAAAAAAATATGAAGTTTGTAAAGAGGAGAAATTTTTCGGCCTTGACCATTTCGAGACGTCTCGATATGACACTTGAACAGTCTGCGAATGACGGTTGATTTTGTTCTCTGAGGAAAAAAAAACTTGCAATGGAGGTCTCCCAGCATATGCTCTCAGATTTTGATCAAAATAGTGTTAATGGATCATAAGTGTAATTAATATGAAAGTTGTAACAGACACCATCTCCAAATACACACGTTTGAGAGAGGTATTCGCATCCAAGAGGAAACAACGCGTCTTAAAGTTGACAAATGTTACAATTTGCAGATTTACTACTCGCTTTCTCCTCTTTGGATTCAAATATCTCTGCAATAAGTGACTATTGGGATATCGTGTCTATTGCAAATTTAATTAAGATGAAATTTCATCTTAATTAAATTTGCGATCAATTGACACTAATTTTCTGAAAATCTTAGAGAGTACGCTGGGAGACCTCAATTGTTGGTGTTGTTCTCTCGCCTCTCTCCTGACGAGGGCGACGCGTAGCTAAGAACGCGAGAGGAGAACAATGAGGAGCTCACCGGAATGAAGAGGATGATTCCCTTGAGAGGGAGGAAAGAAAGCAGGGGACGCGTTGGACCGGCTAATTACCGAGTTTTCTATTAATGAGGAGAATTTCCGGGATGTGTCGCAATTCCGAAAACTTTGGTGTGGTTGTGCAACAAAGGATTTCCATCATCCATCCCTCCCTCCAGCCGCGATTATGATATTGCACACTGCACGTGATGTAGAAATGGGGGATTAGGTATTGACGATGCTTCTCAAACCTGGTACTTTGTTAAATTTAAGCGGATAATGGGAATTAGGAGAAAAGGGGGCTTAACAAGTCGTAACTACTTCTGGTGCGAAGGATATGATGTGATATGACGGCATGCATGACTTGTTCATATGCAATACTAGAAACATACAGGGTTCAAAAACACATATTTCAAAAATTATTCCAAAATCTAGGAAAGCATTTAAGACTATTTGTGGCATTTGCAAAAAATTCTAAATGCATCGCGAGATGAGATTAAAAAACATTGGTATTTTATGATCAGACATTTCTGCGTACTTTAATTTTATACAGAAGAATTTTTAAAATTTTGTGTTGTGTATGTATTTCAAAATTGGAGGAGCATTCACTACAATTTTACAACCTAGTAAACTGTATAAAATTTGTACACATTTTCATAAAATAATTACCTCTGTAAGTCTGCAATCAATTCCAGATATTGATTTTTCCTCTTAATCTTCAAACCTTTTGTCAATCTACTGATTTTACAAAGTTTACTTTGTTACAAATCCGAATGTCTCACTTAATCACATCAAAAAACCCTATGTAAAATCTAACCCAGTTTAGCAACCCTGTCCTCCTCGAGCAACAGGCAAACAGTGAAAGTAAATCAGGCGGCTCTTCATCGCATCCCGATTAACGGGTTTCATTACATCACAACCGCATCATCAGCCTTTGCAGCAGACTCGTTCGAGACTCCTTGTCGCGTTGTGATCTCAACCAAAAACGGTGTACGTGCATTCGTCTCAGTCTGCTAAGCCGTCGTAATGAGAAGAATAAGAGAGAAAGCTGCCGACTTTCACTCTTCCTTCCTGCCCACGCGGCCCTCTCTTCCGAGTGAAATTAAATGAAAGGCATACACGACCAGATTGCATGAAATAAATTGTGTAGCCCGAACAACGTGCATTGTTTATGAGACTGATATGAATTTCTTTGTTCATATTTATATTTAGCGTCCACGATGCTGGAAGACTTAATGGATGTGATCCGATCAACGAGAAATTTGTCCAGAAAGTTTCTTCACTTGCTGCTCATTGAACAATTGCTTAAATTAAATCTCAGCTTCGGCGTGGCCGAGGTTTATTACGGGCTCGAGTTTTTGCCGAGGTGTAAGGTTCGTGTTAATGTAGGGCTCGATGACTCATTGCGAAAATCGTCAAAGTCAGCAGATTTTTAATCATTTCTCGGCTCTGGGAATTCAAATTTCTATACTTCTAAAATTTGTAGAGCATGTCGTTCCTAATTTAAAAAGATGTACATCCCAGATTTTGACAGTGCTTGATGGAGGAGATTTTAAGGTTAAGAAGCTCTCAGAAAACTGGAACTAGTCGAAATTGGCTAACAAAATCTCACTGCCATTCTATTCATCGATTTACTACAAATTTGTCTCCCTGAATTCTAAAATAAATTCCCAGACCCGAAAAATGATTAAAAACATGCTGATTTTTACGATATTGGTGATGAGTCGTCGAGTCATACGCTAATTGTAAGTTAATATGGGATGGAGATGTATTTATTGAATGCATAATGTTTTCATACACGGATTTTTAGAGACTTCGCGACCTGAACCTTTCCTACCTGAGACATATCGAAGCTGGTCAAATTATACCGATCATGTCGTACCTCCCAGCCTTGGTGTGTCTGAATCTGGCCATGTCGGCGACAAATGATGCCGTAAGTAAGCAAGCTTCTTTGCTGAAATCAGTTTGTTGTTCGAGGTCCAAAAGTACATTTGGATTGGACACCGTTCAAAAGTGTCCAAAATTGTACAAAATAATTTGGACGTTCAAAAGCGTCCATTATTTAAAAATGCGGTAAAATGTTAAGAGTTCTTTATTAACGACTTTTTTGCAAATAGGTATGTGCACGGATATGTAATCTCTCATTCATTTTGGTGTGTGTGCAATACCACTAAATTTGGGAAAACTTTTGTTTTATCATGGTTTCTTAAGTATGAGAAAGTAAGAAATTTTCTCACATGGCGTATTACACACCAAAATTCTCAAAACTAAGAGAAGATTACATACACGTCAACAGATTATCAAACGATTCAATCATGAAGAACTTGTAAAATTTTGTCCCATTTTCATTTTGGACACTTTTGAAGACTTGGGACGTCCAAAATTCGGTGTCCAAAACTAGTTAAACCCGCTTTGGACAGTGGTTAAAACCACAGCGAAACCCTCGCTGAAACATTTCAGGCATAAAATGGATGGAGGGATAAAAAGTAATTAATTTTTGATGTTGAAACAACTTTGAATCGAAAACTTAGAAAATTTGTACACATTTTTTTTTAAACTTGTGACTGAACGTCATCTGGAACTTTTTTTTACTTATTTGACTGAAATAAATTTTACTTTTGCTTAAAGGCTAAACAATTTTAATATGACTTATACATGAGTAGTTTTACAAGTTTCATGTAATTGTGCAAATATGCATGCAAGAATTTACATATTGTACCGAATTCGGGTTTGCTGATATCATAATAATTTTCTGCCTTATGTATGTATTTAGTTGTTGCGGAAAGTGGCTGGCTGTTGCCCGAACCTGGTGGAACTGAACCTGCAATCCACCTACATTTCTGACGACGGGGTCATGAGTCTCTGTGGGGACGGGGATCGTTGTGGCGTGGCTGGTGTGGAGGGTTGCCTCAAATTGAGACGACTTACAGTGGCGGAGACGAGGGTGAGCTGGGTGGGGGCTTATCAGCTCGTACGAGGCCTCCCTCTCCTCTCTGACTTCGACTATGACAAAATCTTCCAAGTACGCCTCACACAAAAAATTATTATAATCTGAACGATTCTGACTTTCGATTAATTTGAATACATTTTTGGTGACTTGGTTTGGATAAGCGTTTCGGTGTGGTTTTAGCCACTGCCCAAAACAGTCGTCCAAACTGGTTTTAACCAGTTTTGGACGTCCAATGTGTTCAAAAAGTGTCCAAAATGAAAGTGGGACAAAATGTTACAAGGGCTTTATTAATGAATATTTGGATAATCCATTGATGTGTATGCTGCCTCCTCTTAATTCTGAGCATTTTGGTCTGTAACACGCCATGGTTGAGAAAGTTTCTTAATTTCACATAAAAAACACGTCAAAACTAGAGTTATTCCTAATTTTATGATATTACAGATAGACCAAAATGCTAAAAATTAATGGGAGATTACATATCTGCGCACATTTAGATTTGCAAAAAAATCGTTAATAATGAAATTGAAAACATTATGCCTCATTTTCCAATGATGGACATTTTGGACGTCCAAAATTACGTTCCCCAGCTTTAAACGCTTTTGGAAGGTGTCCTGTCCAATACGAACACTGGTTTGGATTTATTTAGGTATTTGAGCACTTGGACCCCAGCTCACTCGCCAGTTTTGTGGGGGAGGAGAGAAATCGTCCCCTCAAACTTCGAGCACTCTACTCTACGACGCCATCAATTCGGGGGGAGAGTATCGACGCGGCGGCCGTGCTGTGTCCAAATGTGGAAGTAAGTACGTTAAGGTTTAAGTATGTACAATCTCACGCAAGCTGTGGAAATGGGTGCGGATAGTTCATTTACTAAATCATGCATAAATTTAGGCCTAAAAAGTATGCCCATTTTCACATATTATACAGCTTAAGTGGAATTATTTAGTTTATTTGTCTCATGAATTTTTGAGTGAAATATTGCTGCATCTTTTCGTTCGTGTAGATCCTGTCTGTGATGAACTGCTGGATGGACAATGACGCTTTTTACAAATTCATGCAATTTGAGCATCTCAAAACCCTCACGATTTTCAACAGTGAGGGGAAAACGATCGACTACGGAGAAGGGATCCTCCCCCTGCTTCAAATTATTGGGGGCACGCTGGAAAACCTGATATTGTCAAAATTTGCAGTAGTAGACATCGTCAGTAAGCTCGGTTATCGACATGAAGGAAAATAGATGACCTTTCCTTATTTATTTCCAGGTTTAGGAAGATCTTGCCCCCATCTCAGAAAAATTGCTCTCAGCTCAATTCAAGAACTCCAAACGAATCTGCACGGGCCGGAGGATGGCATTTTCAAAATGTTGACGAATGTCGAGCTCTGGTTGGAAGATGACCCTCACTCGGGATCTTACCACGTTTTGCTGCAACTCCTCCAAAATGCAGTCCTGCTGGAGAATCTTCTCATCAAAAAGTCCACCGCAATTGACCATGAGCTACTTAAGAAGATTTGGCTAGTACGTACTTATCGTATAAATACATAAGTATGCGGAGGGCGGATATGTATTTGGGAAAAATCGCTGAAAATATTTATGAAAAAGGCCATATTTATCGTTCATATTTACGAAATATGAACGAAGAAACACATAAAAACAAAAATTTCTCAAAGTTTGTATTTCAATATTTCAAATTTATTTGACCAAAAAATTCGTCTCGAATCGTTGAAATTTTTACGAAATATATATGTTTAAAAAAAATATTTAAAGATTTACGTGTTTTCAAATAATAAAGGAAATATGTATGTATCCGAAAACCTATAAATATGTGGCAATATGTAAAAATACTTCGAAATTTTTGTGATCAATGCGAATTAGGGAACACGCCGACAAATTTTGACCTCTGATCGTCACCAAATGAAAAAGTTGAAATTAAATACATATCCGTCCTCTGTAAATGTGTTAAAGAAAAGTGGTCACCAAGATTAAGTTTCTTGCTCAAACTTCTTCTCACCACATAGACGAACCCCATGCAACGTGTGTCCCGAATTCTGCTCGATTCATGCAGCGGAATATGCGGAAACGCTTTAAACGACCTTTTCCGGATGGAGAATGATTTGACCACAATTCGTATCTGGAGTTGTCCCAAAGTTGATCAAGTGGTGAGGCGAGGTTTGATGAATTACATTAAGGAGAATAATCTCTACGTATATTTAGAATGGTTTGAGTAAGTGATGTCTCAAGTTTCTGCATAAATTTGCATATGGTGTCAATTTTATGCATGATGACGACGATTAAAAATGGCACAAAACATGTATTCGGTCTTTCATACAATTAATTATTATTTTGTTCTATGTTTCTCTTTCTTCATCAACTTTATCAAGTAAATTATCGTCATTTAATTAATTATCGTCAATATTCAGTTCAGTGGCGTACAATAAAGTAAGTAAATCTACGTAAAAGACAAATTTATGAAAAAGGTGCCAAAATTGGTATCTAATGATTGTTCCTCTACTAAATCTATATAATATTATATACGCGTAACAATCTAAATATTTATGTAATAATTACTAATAACTGGGCATTGTAAAGTCATCACGTACGTGTCTTTGATACGAGATTATATAAAAATAAGTTCTACTGCTTATCATCCATACTTATAATTTTACTGAAAAAGACAAGTTTGGTTAGACAATATGGATGTCAGAGCTACTCAATATTTGCTACCTAATAAAAAATTGGTACATTTTTTGGTAAAAGGCACATCTTCCAAAAACTAAATACTACTTTATAACTAAACTCTACTTGGAACTTCCTCCACTTGTTCGACAATTATAAATTCTAATGGTAATACATTTTTGCAGGGTATAAAAATCCTGCCAGCTTAAAAAAAATTATCCGAGCACCAGCACCCCGATTTTATCCCACATTTCTATTCTACAAGTTAGTTCTACTAGAGTAAACGTTCATCAAAACTATTAAAAGTAAAAGTTTTTGACTAGTCAGTTAAAGTTCAAAGGTGAAATATTAATTAGTTTCATGTCATCCCAAAATTACCGATCTGGATCGGATTTAAATACATACATAATTACATTAACTAAATAGGATTATGTTAAAATTTACTGAAACAACCTCTACAAAATTATTACTCAAAATATCGCTTCACACACGCACACTCAGTCTGGATAAGGATGACTACGAGACAACTAATGAATGAATTAATTAAATAATAAATACTAATGACAATGTCTTTATGACATATTATGGACAGAACTACATATTTAGCTTATTTAAATCAATGAGCAGATCATAAATTGTGGCAGACAATAATTATCTCGATGACATGACATGACGGTAAGACGTCACCAAGTCGGATATCATTTTTCATCAGCGTATACAAAAATAGTAAATGGAAAGTTTCACAGAGACAGTGGAGCAGATATGGTGTGGGATGGGATGATAATTAGAAATCGGATACTTTTCTGTAAATCAGAACAAATTTGTAATAAATATTCAACTATTTTAATATCAAGTAATCGATAATATTAAATAAATAAAAAGAGTTACACAACTTTTACGTTAGTTTAGTTTCTAATTTCTAGTTTCGATGATGAGATCTCGCTTTCTTTAGTTTCCATTCCATGCGAACGTAAGTGAATGTATGTATGTATATAGTAGCACGAAAATAGTGGCAAAAAGTGTGTACGTAATTGTTTGCATCACAGGATATCAGAAGAAGTTGAGATTAGTAGATTTTGTCGGGATTAAATTATACAAAAGATAGAACCACAGGCCATGCAAAATATGGAGAGAGAAAAACTGATCAAGTAGAAGAACGTGCTTTTCTAAGCGGGTCGGAAGAACTGGAAATAATAAGGTTATAAGCTTACAATATAATCATTATATAATTTATCAATTTACAGGCATAACATTCTGCTAGTTTTTTGTAGCGGTAATTAAAAACAATTAAGTAATTTTAGTAAGGCTTGTTGCATAAATCTGAATTTTGGTACATGAATTTAGTGGTGACCATGATCAGTGAAATTTATAGCCTCTCGAGTCAACATACCTCGATGCACGATAACGGTTGTCTTGTGGGGAAGAACCAAAGTACTCTGTGTACACTAAATGGAAAAGGAAGAGGTGGAAGAGGACGATGAGAAGGGAAAGAAAGACCCAGAACATTGTGGACATGGCGCTGTATCCGGAACCGTGGCGATGCATGGAAATTACGTGATGTTCATGAGCAGGAGCTGCAAAATAAGGAACCAAAATTATGTCAAATTTTCTGACAAGACTAGGAAAAATCTTCAAGCATTGTTGCATACCTTCCAAAATTTCTTTTACATGTATCGACACACGAAGCTCTTCCGCATGCCTTCGATCCGACGTAATGTATAAAATGGAAGTGATTGGGTCAGTGATCTTGACAGGAAACTGTTGTTTTTGAATGCCTAGTTCGACAGGTGGGTCTAAACAGCCCGCATCGCAGGCGAAATAGTCCTTATCTTTCCGATCCAGGGCGACATGCAGGACGGCTTTGTTATCCTCGCCGACGACAACGCTGACATTAAGATGGGTTGAATTACCGTATAAAATCCGTCTAAAGATGAACAATATATTGTTAACAGGAATATATTATGCACCTATATTATTGATTGAGATATTTATTTATTCGGATCGAATCTTATACTTACCGAAAGTGATAATCTCGATGCAAGTCTTTTGGCTCTGTATTAAACTCAAGGTGCGAGTTTCGAAATTTAAACGCACCAAAACTTAATATCATGCCTTGCATTACGCCAGGCGCCCCTGCTCTCAAAAGTTTATGGCAACCCTATCAAAAGTCAGAAAATATTGTAAAATTTCATAGTTATAAATACAAAATGTTTGATGTTAATTTTACCATTTTATCCAAAGTAATAATCCATACATTACAAGTGCGTAGAATTTCCTTTTCCGTTGACAATGCCGTCCATAAACTCGGCGCTTGCCTTGAATAGAAAACACGGGTCAATGAGTTGTTAATAACGCAAAAATTACTCTGTACACATGCATAGGTAATGTATGCGTATTCTTTAAACATCCATAACCTAAAAGTACGTTTTACTTACAATGTGTGATGTCCCGTGTAACATCCTTCCGAGTAGGACAGGACTGCATTGGCTTCAGCCACTTCGCCTGCTGAAACGCCAACCTCGTGGAGCGGATCTCGCACCTGGGACAGAACGTTGTACAACGTGGCGTTAATTTTGTCACCATTAAGAGCATCTTCTGCACGAGAAGGGCTGATGTAAAATCCTGAATTCCATAAATCTTTCCAAGCTGCCTGGTGAGCACGGAAGAGGGTAGAGCTGCTTTGACGAAGGGTTTCTCGAAATTGCTAAACAACGTAACAATAAATATATTTCTTAACAAGACATTTTTTATTTGCTACTTCATTACCTCATCCGTCCTTGTCATCAATTCCGCTCGAACACGCTCCACATCTTTCTTGTTGACGATGTAAGCATAATTGACTATTGTGACAATGCGAAGAGATAACGTTTCATGAGGAGACACCTACAAATAGTATTTGGAAAGCATTATTAATTAACCATCGTAATCAGCATACTAAAAATTCTGATTCTACAAGTATATTTCAACCAACCTGAACAGCATTGGGAACTTTTTTATACGCCACGGCCACCATAATTTGAGTCCTTTCCGTTGTAACAATTCCAGCCCCCATAATGTAAGGAATCTCACCATCCGGTAAAGCCAGTCTATTCATAATTATTATTAACATGAAAGTTATATCGAAACTAACATAAAAATGCTATCTATTCAATTTCCATATTTTGTTCTCACTTTTTCTGTTCCGTCTTAAAATGTGGCTCACTATTCCAACCCAACTGATCAAACTGGACGAGGACAGGTCTCGAATGGGAGTTGAGAACGGTAATATTTTGCTCCAGAACAGACGGGTGGGTCCGATGGGCGTAGAAACTGCTCCAAATTTCGAGCAATCCTTCCTCAGCTCGTGCTATGCACATGATTCGATGGGCCACACCCTGAGTAAACTGTGACACCAAAGCCTCTTGCCGTTCGTCTTCATCCATCACAGAAATTTGAACACTGGGACGAAACGGGATTGGCACATTTAAAGTTCTACCTCTCTAATTAATAAAATTATAAAATATTAATTAATATTCATATACAAAGGTGTAGAAATTATTGTCATCAGCTTACATCATCCTTCACATTTATTGCTGCATCTTCACTTATCGCCAATCCAATATAGCCATTGCCAACATAAGGCAGGAATGAATTTTCGCCGTCGTACCGTTTCGGAATGTGCATTACGTTCGTACTCATATCGTGAACTTCATGTTCAAAATGCTTACTGATTTTCCTGTCGAGACAATATTCGACCGGGGCTGGAAACAAGATATGAAAATTAAAATTCGACTACAAAAGATAACATCATTATAACAATTAAATACTTACTAAAGACATGTCGTCGACTCAAATAAGGCAAATGGTTGTAACCAGCCATCCACAGGAGAACGACCAGAATGACGAGAAGAAGGAAGAGGCGACGAATCCTGCAAAATTTTAAATATTGCTCAGAATTAATGATATAGTGGGCGTGGGAAACCAATTAACAGATGGACAATTAACTAAATGACTTACGAAGAATGCACTTCCAAAAGTCGCTTCAACCTGCGGAAACCTTCAGCGAAATCCATATTGATTATGGATTGGTTGGTTGGTAAGATTGGACAACAAGGTCAGCCAGAGGTCATCTTTAGGTCAGGTTAATACCTTATCTTTATTACCGGTGAATGTTATGTTTTTTTGTGCAAATCCGCGAAAACAGTTGTTTGCTGATTTAGAGTAAAAGTTAAAGTGGCCGGGACCCCATAGAAAAAAGAGTAAGTATGCACCTTCACCACCGGGAATTCGCACACAAAATGCAAAAGCACATTTCGTGTGGAGTACAATTTCATGTTTTGTATTTCTGCGAGTCCTTATTATTTGGCAGCCCCTTCGTCGTGAAATTTCAGTTTCGTCCCCACCATCATGGAGGATTATCGTGAGCAAGTGAAGGATATCATGGAGAAGATTATCTCCGATAATCCGCAGCTTAACAAGTAAGTCAATCAAAAACGTTTTCGTTGAGAAAACGTAAAAAAAACAATCTAAATTTTAGATTCTAAAACTTTTCTTTATTTTTTATCTTTAACGGTTTGGATTATAATTGTACCAAGTTAAATGTAAACATCTTGTGCCAGTTGGTAATTTAATGTTTTAATTGTAAATAAAGTGGGTTTCAGACCTTACATTTTTAGATTGGAATTTGGATGACATCCCTGGATGGAGCATAATTTTGGGCGGACGTATCATTTTCTTATCAGTTCCTTTTATTATGTCGTTTTTCAGGGGAAGCTTGGAAAATTTTCGACAAGAGTTGCAGAACAAAATGATAGCACGTTTAAATTGTCCGGAGTTTATGAAAGTGTATAAAAATACAGCGGTCTCATTAATAATGTTGTTATGAAATGTTGTGATGAAATTTGTATGTTTTATATTTAGCGTTAAAAAGATCTGAGGTCTTTACCATTCATGAAATTTTGTTCTTGCTAAATCAGGGTGACTGATAAGGTGGAGGCGAGGTTGGAACAGTGCGGCTGGTCGGACGAGATTCGTATGGAGTGCAACAGGCTTATCAGACAACGCGGTATCGAGAACATTTCAGATACCACCGAATTGGTTCGGGATTTAACACCGTTCGCGAGATGTAAGTGCAAAATATAAAATTTACGTTTGGTTCATTTCACGCCAGTCTTCTTTGTAACTAACAATTTCTAATTAACAGTTTCCCAGTGTATGCAAATTAGGGTCAGTGGATCACAAATCTTATAAAATGACATTTGCAAACGACACTATCTGCAAATGCTCAGGTATGGTATAGATATTTACTTCCAAACAGTAGAAAATGCGCCCTAAACTTGAAAAATTTTACACTTTCCACATTCACTTCGGGTTTTCTCCTTTTCGGATGCAAATATCTCTACCAGACCTGAGCGTTGGCAGATATTGTTTTTGCTAATTTCATATTAACCAAAATTGTGATTGATTGTGACTCTATTTTGGTCAAAATCGGAGAGCATACGCTGGGGGTTCTAAATTGTAAGATTTTGTTAAGTCAACCAATTTTAAGCAAATCTCGCAAGAAATTTCCAACCTTGCAAACGTTAGTAACCACAATGCCTCTTAATTTTGTAAAATTTGTGAACTGATTTAAATAGCCACATAGTTATATATACAGTTACAACGATGCGATGGCTTGACTTGCATACTGTAAATATCAAGCTGCTAATATTCTTACTATTAGTTTATTAATTAAATTTCACCTATTTTATTTAGCGAAAGTGCCCACTGAGCTCAAAAAAGAATTAGTCGCCATGTTGAAGGACGCTTTGCAAAAGGAGTTGGAAGGGACTAAATTAAACCCGAAATGAACGCCAGAATTTTTATCACATATATTTTTAAACTTTCTTCCCCATTATCTACACTGTTCTAAAATTAAGTCGCGATAAAGATAAATGTATTGAAATAGTTCATAAAAGCAAATAATAATTATGTAATGCCTCAATTTTTATACATGTTAATAAAAAAATACTCGAAAATAAATTACATACACGCAATTTCAGCATCAAACATTTCACCTTCATCAAAGTTCATCTTGATTCATGTAACGCATAATGTAAGGGAAAGTGGATACTTGACCAACCGGGATTTCAAGTCCACCAATTGGACAAATTACGGGGTGTACGGTATAATTTTATGACCCAGGTTAAACATTGACCTCTAATGACGGGCCGACCTAACAAATGAGGTCTGGACGGCCGACGTATTTTTGCCTTGGGCCGTACCAGAGGAGTACGCCCCTGTTTTTCGTGGATTTGTTGACCTGACGAAATGAGAGAAGGAATAGAAGAGAGTAGAATGATGATGCAAATTTGTGAGTCATAGTCCAAAACTAATAAACTCAACCTGCACTCCAAATCCAGGAGGTTTTTTGTTGATCGGCTGCCAAAACTCGCCGATTCGACCGCATCAGATGATTTTTCATCATCAACGAATAAGTTCCAACGTCGTTCCTTCTTGAGCCGTTTTATGTGACACGTGTGGTTTTCGGAAATTTAAAATCTATCTCTGTCTTCTTATCCAAACTGAAAGATAAAACTTGTCGGTGTAGGATTATCGTCGTGGTCTTATCTGGATTGGATTATCGTATAAAAAAAGGTAAGTCGTCGAGGAGCTTGTTTTCAGCTTTTGCAAAAATATTGAAAATTTAATTTAGTAAGCAGGGTTTTTTAATTGTGGAACGGTAATTTGGATAGAATTGACAAGTAATTCTGAAGTGTTCGGTGAAGTGAAAAGTTACTGAAGAGTGAAGTGCAAAAATTTGCACAAATTAAATACGTTCGTATTTTAAATCGTTGAGAGTTTTAATAGTGAAAAGATGTGTAGCCTCGAATGCGAATGTTAAAGTGTTTCGGTAATTTCGGACGTTGTTGGTTCGAGTTTCGGCACCGATTGCCAAATTATTTGTTTTGTTTTGTTGATTTCTCGTAATTCTCTTTATAAATTGTCTCGGTTCGGTGCTTTGTTTAATACAAGGTTGATACATAGTTGTTATTGTGATTTTTAAACATAGCTCTTGGGAGCAAACGTAGGGAAAATTTATTGCAAATCGTTTTGTTATTGTTTAATTTCAGAAATTTATTAATGCATTGCATACCTCATTAGCTCATTTCCGATCTATTCATTTTTAAGAAGCATTTGATTTGGTAGGAATGGATTTAATAATTGTTGCATAATCGGGCAGATCGTGTGTGATGATCTTTTGTCATGTTTAATGTAAACTTGAGCTCAACCAGTTAAAAAATTAAGCCAGGTTACTGACTTAGATAATCAGCAAAATTATGCAAGTTTATCAAGTTAATATCACCCATACACCGGACAGCAGATGGAATTTGAGAGCATGCAATTTTTAATATCTTGGGTGAATGACAGCTTAATATTAAAGTCTATACATGCATTCCATAATCTGCTACATATTTACATAGCTGCTATTCCACATTATTAATATTTATCATCGTCGAGCTAATACTCTTTTAATCGTGTAAAACAGTAATGAATCATGAAAGACGTCTTTAAATACTTTATCAATCTGCTTCATGACCTGCCATACTTCTTTTTTGCTAGGAACGTGGTTTACGTTTCTCCATTCCAGCCGGTAATGGTCACGGGACGTCTTGCTAGTCATTAAGTAAATTAAATTTTCATTTTCATCATCTTTTTGCTGGACAAGCAAAAAAAAGGTGTATGCATTTCATTTACTTGTGTGGGTGAAGAATAACCTCAGGTAGACCAAGTTTCATAACTATTTAGCAACCATCCATCATCATCATCATCACAAGCTCACCTGAAGTTTACTTCAAAGTCATTTTTTATCGCTCTTCACACCAACAAGCATGTACGAAATACTAGCCAAACCACTGTTGAACTGCAATTTGGCAGTTATAAAAGTTCAGTTCACTCACTCACTCACATATTGCATGAACTTGTACTTACTGCTGGATGAAATAAGTATCAAGTTCGCAGTAGCAGGAGAGGAGCTGTGTATAATTGCACAGGACAGGAAGTTTCAACCTCCTCCTCCTCATGCATTTTTCATGGGGTTCTGATCCGCTGATACTTATTCGAGATAAGATAAATGTAATGAAATGGGGGTAAAGATGACATAAAGTGTCACGTCCTTTGCGAGCACAGGTCATGGACGAAGATATATGGATGATAAATTTTTTTACTTCAACACCTGGACCAATTAACCGTTAAATGATTCAAGTTTGGCTTGTTTTGTTTGGATAGTCTTCTATGCTGCGTACGCATATATTCTGTCAATTACAGAAAACAAAAAGGAGGATGACGCAAAGCAAATGTTTTTGCCAAATAATGTAAACCGGATTGGCAAACGTAACAAGAAATTGCACACAAGCACAAGACGACTCGGTGGTTAGTTCTTTGTAACTCCACTTACGCTATGCTACACAAATGATGATGCTATAAAACAGTCTGATGACTCTGATGCTGAGGTGAAGTGATCTTTGTGTGGAAAAATGTGTCTGTTACTTGGAAAACCTTCAATTATGCTAAATTTCTGTGCAAAGTTTTGCACTTATTTACTAATTCTTCTCAGCCTTGTCGATATTTTGAACTGTTTTTCATTATTTCTCCGTACTTGGCTCCCAACTCGGATTTTGGTGCGTTGATTTACCTTCTCGTTTGTATTTACTTTCCATTTTATTGGAATACGTAGAGAGCAATCTCGTTGGACGGAGGGAATCATACATATTTTTGTTGCAAATTATTCGGACCATGTGCACCATTCAGGGGATTTCATTGCCAAAATGTGTGCACATTGTGCTGAACGAGTTATTATTATCATCATATCACATCGATGTCGATATTTGTGGAAGAATCCTTCTGTGGGAAGTTCAATGACTAGAGTTGGTTTATCGTGTAGGAGAGAAGAACTATAAACGTGGTAATCCTCCTGCATGCTGCTAGTTTAATAGCAAACGCTCATAATATTATTATCGTTATTAACATCATCGTACCACCAACCCGACCAAATGCGAATCTTAATTCTGCACAGTGATCCTCCTAAACCGAGTAGTGTATCGTAGTGGAAAAGCCTTGGTGAAAAAAGAAGGGAAGGTAAAGTGCGCAAAATTCTATTGGCGAAAAATATACATAATGAGCTACAGCTCGTACGTACGTACATACGCTTACACACAAATTTAGCTCTCGTCTATAAAAGGAAGCATTTATTTAATTGGCAATGAAACGAAAACGGTTCAAGTTCATGAACCGGCATGCAGAAAATAAAATATTATGAAAAATCTCACCCAAGGCGAGCTATTTATTTAGCTCTACGTGCATCAAGACAATGCAAGTCTTATTGTAAGTGCAATTCGGTGAATGTGCTATTGTTTTGCGTGGAAGTAAGTAAGGTTCTTAATTTTTTGGCACTCGTACAAAGACGCTACGGATGGATGATGCAGTTAAGAAGAATCGCATTTCTCCGTAATTCTTGAATTGGAGCTCAACTCATATTGTTCCACTTGTAGATGGGTCGTAATTATTTGTATTGGGAAATTTGGGATATTTTGTATCCCTGTTTTTGGCTCAAGTAGTGCAAAAAATTAGTACGGAATTCTTGATCAGATTCAGTCAGAGGTATTTATTTGCCAAGATATATAAGTTACATGCTATTTGCTTCACCATAACATAAAAAATTAATGTCAATACTAATTCGTGTAATCAGCAAGCAAGTTTTGTCCCGTGTTAATGTTTATCTTGCATTGATTATTTTTGTTTGAACTATGAGCTGACCACTGCGTCACTCCAGTTCATGTCTCATGACCAAGTACAAGCCCTTCAGCTTAATTCATCGTCGCACTAAATACAACGATACGATATAATTAGTTCATTCATTGATTGATGATTGCGTGACTAATAGTTGAAAATATTTAACGTTTCAGATCGTGGAGAAAAAAACAAGGAATCTTTTTCTCAAGAAGGTGCTCCTGTGAAAATTGCGGATTAATCAATCAGTACTATAGGTAGGTAAATATGAATTAGTTTGTTGAAGGTAATTTAAAAAATTTGTATGATATATGCAAATATTTTTTTTATATTTTGAATTACAGATTTAAAAAAAGCAAAGTGTATTTGTGGGATTTTCTTTCGAAGAAATTGTAAACTATTGTAATTCATAAGTAAGTCGTGTAGTTTTGTTAAATGCATTTTTGATTTTCAACTTTGAATAACAAGATTGTTTTTGTTTTTGTAGGTGAATGAATTTTACTCAGCTTCAGAATAATTTATCCAGTTAATTTGATGAGTTTGTGGGAAAGGAAAAACAGTTGATATTTCATATCACAATTTAGTTGTTATTCTAAATGACGTTGTTATCCAAGGGTGCTAATAGTGAATAGTGTTAAAAATCAAGCTAGCAAAATGGTGACCACAAAGAAACGAATAACCACTGAACTACTCCATATAGCTTTAGTTATCACGCTATTGAGAGGAAATCCTCGCCACGTGGGGATCTATGATAATGTAATCAGCTCTAATTTCTTCAACGATGTCGACAACTTTGTCAATATCGATCAGATTCTGCAAGGAGGGCCGACCTGGGCTTTTTCGCGTACAAATTACCATCGTCTAGGGGGAGGCTATCATGATCCTGGGATTGAGTATGCAAAATCTCTGTCGGGAAGTTTCGATCCGTACCATGATGACGATATCTTTGGTGAAGACATACATTCATCGTACAACAATGAGGAAGACAGGATGGACTTGGCTGAAGAGGCGTACCGACAACAATCCCGTCTTCTGTTATTATCCAACCTGAACGCCGCATATGTGAGGAAAGATCCGATCCAAATTTTTCGTGACATCACGGCTTATCTCGTCAGCGATACGACAACGGAAACCCTTCCCAGCGGTTTAGCCGGACTACCAGTTGTCCCCCTGCGAGTTCGTCTTCCTCTGGGGGTAGTAGTCCAGGAGGAAATAATGGAGGTAGCGGTAACATTGTCCCAACCGGAAGTACATCACCAACACCATCCTCTGCCGATTCGGGTAACGATTCTGGTACAGATTCTGGTGATGAAAGTGGACGCAACTCCGAGTCTGAACCTGACCTTTCCGAACCGAAACTTGATGAACCTTACTTTGAACTATTTGAATCTACTACGCCGCTCAGCCCGGACTCGTTTGACCCGTTTCTAGTTGGCGGAATGGATTCAGAGGAGGCCGGACCGAGTACTAGTTCTTCATCATTGGGTCAAGAACTTAACATCCGGAACTCTCCCCAAGAAAATTACTTGGACCGTTTAAATGCTGGCTTGAATGTTGAGACGGACGTCTTTGTAAGTATTTTGATATTTTGTTTCCTTTAATTTGTGTGCTTGTTTTGTATGCATGATTTTATTTGTGAAGGAAAGCATACGCATTTGACAAAGAGATATTATGTCTTTGGTTGTGTAATCCATCGCTGCGTGCAGTTTGAAGTGGTACTTTCATTGGTAGCGTTTACGCGTTTCGATTCCCATGTGGTAGAGGGCTTGCAAGCTTCGCTTTACCAACTTCGACGTCAAGGTGAAGAGTCTCACTCGACTCCTGAAAATTACGATTTATTTCATGAACCACTGCGTGCCCCATGCATGCCTTGAAGCGTAAGTTGTACCATATTTGTAGGTACAACTTTTAGTTTGTTAAAAGGATTATTGAAAATTCTTTATTGCAGTTTTTTTAATCCTTAGTAAATTTCTAATTAAATTCGTAAGTTTTCGAAAAATTGAAAGAATTTTTGTCCAGAATTTAGAAAAATTGTATCATGAACTACATGTACTGAATATTAAGTAATTCCGTACACGAAGCAATTACTAATGGAGAACAATCATTTATGAATATTTGCAAATTATAGTATCAGAATATCAAACATTATTTTTTAGAATTAATTTTCATGAATTATATATTCAAAAAATGTATATGCAATTTAAAAAAGGAAGTTCAAGCTATTTAATTACTTAATAGACTTAAGTACAAAATTACGAAGCAAAACTGATGAGCAGTTTCATCAAGGAGAGACCAGCAGGCGTTTAATTTGCCTACCTAGTACCGAAGGAAGAGTAATTAAGAAAAGGCAACTTTAAACCAGTCAAAAGTAGAAGAAATTGGTATTTTTCGTTTCTTTCTTTCTTTTTGATGCGATTCGACCTTCAAATATTTAATTTCAATTGAATTTTTTGCGGAATTTAAAATCCAAGTGGTTCAAGAATGTCATGTGGTCGGTGGCTACATGCATGAGCATCCATCCATCCATTCAAAGCAGAACGTCAGAACCTTGGGGATTTACTTTTCTTGATTTCTGTATTCATTTGCTACCAGATTGAGATATTGTGGGAGAGGACAAAAATACCTCAACCACGGCCCATTATATCATTACCATCATTATATTATTTATTATTGGTGGCGAAAAGTCTTTTGCTGCTCACTCAAGGTTTTCTTTTGATTTAGGCGAGCTAGCTGCAGACTTTTTGAGACGACGAGTGGTTGTTCAAGTGGCAAATGAATAGGTTTGGTTGGTGAATTTTTATGCAAAAACAACACTTGAATAATCGACGACTTCCATTCTAATAGACAAACAGATAGACACGCTACATCAGTTGGTTGGCTGGCTGGCTGGCTAAACGACTATGGAAGATTTAGGTAGATATAGACTCGATCAAAGTCAAAGTCGAGATGGCCACAATGTTTTGATTTCGAGAGATGGATGAGGTGGTCGTGTAAGGAGGACTAAATATTTGTGGAGCACACAATCCTTATTATTTACGGCGTGTTGTGTGTGTTGGTCTCATTGTTGAGATTTGATGTAATCAGTAGTCGCTCGCAGTTATACCCGAAAAGAGACAACAATGGTCTTCCAAGTTGACAGGGCAGGATGAAGGATGAGGTTAAGGCATGAGGGGTAAAAAGGATGATTTGTGAGGAGTTGAAATCGTCCAATTGTTGCTGGATTGGGCTTGATTGCAGCCGGAGCAGGAACACAAATGACCCCAACACTGTCTCATTCAGTGTTCACAAATGTGGTCGATTTATCAATTCTGCCCTTTCCGAGGTGACACTTAACCAGAGAGAGACATGCCGCATCTTCTTTTTATCGTCGTCTTTCTTGGGGAAAAAATACGGCTTGCTTTAAACCTTCTCGTTGAGGATGGGATGGGTGCGATCAGATTTTTCAGTCGTGGTCGAAACTTGTCGAAAAATTATTAGTCTGAATTTTGTAACACTGAATAAATAGATAACACCTTAATCATTATGCAAATAATGCGAGTTTCGCAAGTGTTACTACTGATTGCTCGTAATTCCAATTTCAACATTTTCTGTAAAAAAAACAGTGAATCTATTCAGTTTTGGTCAGTAGGGCCTTAATTAATTTGTCGTAATTATGCAAAATCTAGATGCCCTTGCACTTGAAAGGCAAGTTGCACAACTTATCGTGGTGCAAATTACTGTATTAGCCGTGTTTTGTATTTATATTTGAAATGAAAAGTGCTGAGTAGTTCTGGTCTTCTTCTTGTTCTGTCCATTGTGAACTTTTCCGTAGAAAATGAAATGAGTGTGATGATGATGAGGTTGCAATCCTTTTGCACTTCATTCTTCTCCTTCTTCTTCATCTTCTTACGAGAATGATGAGGGTGCTTTGGGATGATGATGCAATAATATATCAGCAACGTATTTGAGGAAGGTTTCGGGCCCCAATTTTCTAAAAAAGAAACTGGGTCACTCGGGGCGAGTGTGATGATTGTCGCTAATTTTTGCTAAATCAGTTTCTGCGAAAAAAAGAATTCAACAGTTTTGAACTGGATTCAGTTCTTCGCCCCCCTTTTGCTGACAAGGCAATAAGATCATGACGATGATGACGAGTCTGGAAAAGTGGATTGGATAACTGCTCATTCATGTTTGTAGTAGTAATTTCTGGAGGAATCATTACAATGACTCAACATTAGTCCGCCGCACTTTCGTCGTCATCATCATAGTAAACTAATCACGGGCATGACAATCACTGTTTTCGACTGACTCCAGGCAGAAAGGGCTTTTGAAAAATAAGAAGTTTGTCCAAATTGAACGTCTTAAAAATGGGGCCAGTCGTCGTGGGACGACGACCTGCGCTGCTGCTCAGTTTCCCTCCTCAAAGTGGTTTTGAGGCTAAAACTTGGAACTTTTGTCGTTTCGCGCATGTGGGGAGAAAGTTGGTTGCGAAAAAGCACATTTTCATCCAGAACTCACAGTTAAGCTGAATGGGGTGAAAGTGGCGGAGGGGCGAGGGTTACCGTACCGCAAAAGTGGGTGAGTTGGTGTGTGTTCAGTCTATTTTTGGAGATAAGGAACCCCTACGGTTTTACCTTTTGGGGACTTTTATGGCTTGTCCATCACTTGGAAAGGGTGTCAATTGGAAACGATTATGGGTCACAATTCCGTGCTTGTGATTATTTATTCTTATTCTGTTCGTGGTGGTCAAAAGTCAAAAGTCATGAGTGGAGTATTACTTACTTTATGGCCTGTTGCATATCAAAGATCCCGTTTAAATCCTGACCACTGACGAGTATGAGTAATGATGATTATTTGGCATTCATTACTTTGAACTTAATAATGGGATTATTTCTCCCATGTGAAGAAGTAAATGACAGTTTTAGTAGTCCCATTTCTCGTCCAGTTTTCAGCTTGAATTATTTACATACTCGTGTGAATTTAGTTCAGTTTCTTTTGGCAGTCGTATTGAGAGCGTGTGAGTGAGTGCGTGAGTGTAAGTGTCGTTAAAATTAATTGAAATTGTTTCCTTCGTGTGCCAGGATTCCAACGAACTGCTCGACTTTATCATCTCCAACCATCAAACTGCGGCGGATGCCGAGGATGCGGAACAACAAGGAGCGGCATCACTCCCACTACACCCTCCACGCCCATCGTCCCCATCGTCCCACCTTTTCCGTGACCTGGATGACAACTTGCTCCTCGAACAGAGCCTTGTCGCTGACCTTTTTGACCTCCGGGAACTCAAGTCCTACTCCCCCTCCGAGAATGACCAGTCGGAGGAGATGGAGTGGTCCTTGGCCGAGGAGGAGGCCCACCTCGACTTCTATAAGGTATGAAATAAAGTTTGACCATTAATAGTTTTGAAAAACTACAAACGTTCGAGGAATTGTGGTACATTTTCCGAGTAGAAATCACTGTGTTAAATTCTTCAGTAATCGGCAAAAACTCGATGCATATTGTATTCTGTATACATTTTTTTTTACATAATTCTGCAGAAAATTTGTACGGGTTTTACCCTGCTGAACCGTATGTGCATAATTCTGAGCGCATAGTTTTCTGTACAAATCGCTCTGCAGAAAATTAGGCCAAATTTCTGCAAGAGAGCCGTTCAAATTTTTACTTTATCTCATGAAAAAATTATTCTTTATTCTAAATTTTTGTTGCGACTACGCAATTCTTATGAAACATTTAAGACATTTCAAATTATCATCTTAATTACATTACAACTTATTCGACTGACGATTTAGGTCTGTCTCCTCCTCGTACAGAAATAGTGGTGGTGGTGGTGAAGTTTTTTACCAGAATTTTATTATTAGGGTTGCTTCCTTTGGTTCCATGAGTTTTTATTATGCAACAAACATGGCATCTTCTATGGTGGTTGGCCATTGAAAATGGCCGAGTTAAAGAAGATGCAGTACAAACCGTGGTGGTGGTGGTAGGAAGGAGTTGGATACTTTTTGGTACATGATTCAACATTACGCAACAATCAAGTGGTGGGGAAGTTTGGGTAATTAGGCTCCTCCTGCCTGTCTCTCTCTCTCTCTCTCTGTAAACTTGTGGCCATGGTCGAAATGTTGGATATCTATCTAAGTAGATACACATAAGGAGAAGATGACTTATTTTATCTTCCCGTCCAGCAGGGATATTAAAAGGAAGGAACTAAATGACTGTTGCATTCACGAATTCAAGCGTTGGATGGAAAAGTCTTCATTGTTGGGCTGCTGCTTCTGCTGGATGAAATGATGCTCAATCGCTCCTTTCAATTCTGAATGCAGGGCTATTTATTATCATGGCAGTCTCACTCAGCTCTCGACTGACTCTTATTACGGCATCATCATCCCCATCTGACAGGGGGATCAAATCCTCACTTGGCGTCTCCCATGCCTGACATATGTATGTCTTTCAAAAATTCAAATTCTACCATTTTTAGATGGCATGCCACGATATCGGGTATGTATGTATGTATCTACATATGTGTGTGTGTATGCGGGCGTTGCGTTGTATGCAAAAGTCGTGAGACAGGACATTTGTTTTGTTGTTGTCCAATTAGGGAGCAGTGTATTTCGAGGAAGAAGAATAAGAATTGCGATTGGGTGTAGTCATCATGACATATTTTCACGACTTGGAATAATGACGGGAAATGGAAATGAGGATTTGATTCTTGTGCGAAAAATAAAATTTTTAAAAAGAACTAATGTCAAATTTGGTAAAAAAAATTGTAAATGTTCAGTTTTTTTGGAGTTAGGTGAACATTTTTCCGCATTCCGCACGTTCTTCGTAGTAAGTGAATATGAGTCCAGTAATGTTTTAGGAGCGCTTTCATTCAACACCCATAATTTATTTTTTTAAATAACAAATTCATTCGTGTCATCATTTTCTGCTGAATATTTGTATTGAAAGGGTTCTGAATTCCAGCCAAAAAGTTGTAATGTTTGATTTGATGTTCAAAACAATTTGATGTAAAAAATGTATATATAATTATTCGGTTTGTGGTCTTGCAAACCCAATGTGTGCAACAAATACAAATAGCAAAACGTACGATTTCGTAAATTATATAATTTTTTGACTAATTTAATTCCCCGATTAATTTAGACCTTCAATGAAGCAGCGAACGAAGTGATGCGAACCGTTCCCCTCCGAGAAGTTGAAGGTAAGAAATTATTGTACAAATAAAAATACCGCTTATTTGCCTGCTGCTCTTAGGAAAAAATGTAAAATATGCATTTGGTATGTTTCATAAAAAGTATAATTGTTGCGCCGGGGCAAAAAAGACGAGGTGAAGAGTTGTGTCTGTATAAAAAGGGGGCACGTTCATAGCCAGCTTGGATTAATAAGTATCGGTATAATTATAAATGAAAGGGTTGAGATAAGAGTGACATGCCGACGTGCAGGTCAAAACCTTGCATTTAATGAAATTCTGTTATGGCGTACTTGCCTTTTCTCACTCACTCACTCAAGGCGATAAGGCATGCACTTTGTTACCTGACTTTTAACCGACACTGTACCCACACACCAACCAACGAGCCACATATTTGTTCTACATTAGGATTTACAAGACATTATCGTTCAAAAACTAACTAAACCCACTGTCACTCATAATAATATGCTCTGACGAGACGACGACGACGACTCTCTCTCTTTCAAAAGTGGTGATGATAACCACTACCTACCATCAAATCGAGTAAGAGATCTTCAGAAAGCTGCGAAGCCACTTGACCCTTGCTTCTTGAGTGAGAGATGGATCTATTTTGGTGTAAAAAGTAGTTTGTGAGGGTGAGAATGGGATAAAATTATTAGGAAACAGATAACTTTGGAGCCTTTTAAGGGCGGTGGCGAGAGGCAGGTAGTCATTAGGTTGAAAGCCATGTCGCTTCTCCTCCTGCCTTGAGACATTTCTCGTCTCCTACACGATTCAAAGCTGTCATTTTTATTGTGATTTTCTTAGAATGAAGTATTTGACATGATATGATATCAGTCAGTACGACTTTCACCCGCAATGAGGAAGTTAAAAAATGTACAAAATAGGTAATGACAAGAGTATGTAGAGTTGCGCTTTTCCTCATCTTATAATTTCGCTGGTAGAAATCACTGTGTCGAATTCTGCAGTCGAATTCTGTTATCGATAAAAGCTTGATACATAATTTTTTTATACATAATCCTGCAGAAAATTTCTATCGGTTTTATCCTGCAAAAGCGTACGATTTTGCACAAACCGCCCTGCATACAGTTTTTCTGTAGAAAACTGAGCCAAATTTCTGCACAAAGTGATCAAAAATTTCAACCAGGATTAATCGGAGAAATTTGCCAATAAAAAGTAGTGAAAAAGTATGACAAAATATGTCCTGAAACTTTATGAATTACTGCCTCGTAGTAAAAAAAAGTCATGGGAGGAAGACCTCACTCCAGGAATTTGCCTCGGTTCTTGAAAACTATTCATGGCACTTGGTCATAAAAAGTGAGAGAGTGAGGCTCTGAGACAATTTGGTAGGGTTTGAAGTAGTCTCTCCTCAATTTTTTCCATCACGAAATGAAACGAACGACGAAACCAATTCGAAGCTCGAAGCGTGACGGGGGGAAGTTGATTTTCAGGTGGATTGGATTTTGATTAATCCGCCTGGAGCAGGAGAGCTCTTTTTTAAGGCTCTCTCCCAGCAGTGATCTCAGTCAGGATGGGCTTATATAACTTAACGGTGCATTGTTAAGCTGCATGTATACGGCGCACATAAGTATGAGCGATGCAGACATTAGAGATCTTATTGTGTGTCCGAGAGATGTGCTAGTATTGGGCCAAAAGGCTGAAGCATAACAAAATTTTGACGGCTACCATCATTTGTCATGTAACCCGAATTCCCATTTTTCACTCTGACTTTGTGTACACTAAATACTCCTGTCGGACTCGTACCTGGCTGGCTGGTGGGGAACAAAGACGAGGAATATAATAATAATAATAATTCCCAGTTTCACCTTTCCCATCCTTCCTTCATCAATCTTTCACGTTTTCCAACCAATGCTTGCTCCGTGTGGAATATGTTGTAGTATGAAAATCCAATTTCATAATCCTCTCCGCTTCGTCGGTAGTAAGACATTCATGCATTTATTTCCTCAAGTTCAGGGCATGAAAGATCTCCTTGTAAATGTAAATCTATCAAAACCCGAAGTGAATAAACTATTAAATATTATTTATAGTTAGTCCCTCAGTCTGCGTCTACACGATAAAGGTATCATTTTCAAAATGCATGCTGCCTCCTGGAACCAAATCCCAGATTTTTTCCCGTCTCCACATATTTTCTGATTGAATGGAACTTGAAATGCTTTTTGTTCATGTGAGTATACATATTCTAGTCGCTCGTGATGGCGCAGTAGTACTTTGATGATAATAAGAGATTTTCTTCCTCTCGCCTTGCTCGCCGTGCTAATCCCTTTATCCATGGTGGTTGGCTGCTTGGTTGGTTGGTTGGCGAAGCTATAGACGTAGAGACATCGTAATATGTAATATGGCCTTAAATGCTCACAATTCGCTACACTTTTTGCGCAGTGAAACGAGATCTTTCAGTAGAAGAAATTTACTCACTTTGTGTTGAGCCATAAATGGCAAGGTTGATTTAGCCTGCGAATTGGAGTGCATTGCCTTTATTGGGGCGATGAAGCAGAACAATTATTTTATATGCTTTGCCCTGCGATCTGATCAAGGGATAGATTTATCTCCTCTCTCTCCACACGGCCGCACAGGCAAATTGGCTTAAAAACTTTTAAATTGACTATTTCTCGCCGAGCAGTCGGTGCGATTCTCTCGAGAGGAAAAAAAGCAAAGTTATTTAGTCGAAGGTACGAATTTTTTGAGGGCAACTTTTCAAAATGGATTATTTCGCAGGCAGGGCAAGAAAATAATTTAGGGCTGATTTTTAAAAGCAACAGGCCACATGAAATAACAGCGAGCCGTCTCTCTCGACTTTGTGAATTTTCTCGTTACACCCACGTTTCATGCGTTAACCTGAATGCTGCTGCTGCCCTTCGTTCTTATGATTAATGACACTTCTGTCATAATTCATATTTGACAGAAGAAAATAATCTTCCTGGTCCAGATCTCTCTTGGAAAGTTTGGCTCGATTGTGTATAATAATTTCCATCCCTGGTAAATAATAATATTGCACGGGAACATGTCATCCTGATGGGTTTGCATAATGTACCTAACTGCTTCCAATCAGAACCCATTACATTAAGTGCACAAGAGCAATCCGTCCGTAATGGGACAAAGTAAAAGCGAGGCGTAGTCGTGGTAATTTTTCTTGATTTTGATTATCGTCGTCCTACGCAGAGGATGCCATAATGTACGTTTGGTTGGATCTTATCGCTTTCTCCGATCACCCCTGCGCAATGTCAGCCCTTATTCTTAAATACGTGCTACACAGACACGTACAAAACTACATACATTACTCTCTTTCGTCGGAACGAGATCATTGTAAATTTCATTTTATTGCAATGCATTTCGTTCAGTTCTCCATTCCATCGTGATGATTACGTAGGTCGGTCGGTGGTGGTGGTGGGATGCTGATTTATTTAGTGGTTGAATTTATAGTGGATGAATATTCAAACATTAAACGGTCCGTTTGGATGGATTTGAATGTGAATTTGGCTTTGGATTGAATCAATCTGACGATTTTATTCAGACTTTTGACTCTGTGCTCATGGCTTTGGCCTGCCTGCCTGGCCTGGCACCCATCCTTGACATGACTTGCATCTTCTTCATCTTCTTGTTCTTCTTCTCTTCTCTCAAAGTATTTGTGTTCACCAGCTTCAACCCCTCGTCGTCGTCGTTGTGTCTTTCGTTCCCTTCTCCCGCATGGACATGGACATTCTGAATAATAAATAATTCAGTAAAATATTTGGGACGGAAAATTGCTACCCAGATGATTTCAGAGTAAAAAAAGAAAATAAAGGTGATATTTTTAGAGGACCATTTTAACATGAATTAGTCATGGATCGAAAAAATATAAAGTTTTGAGTTGAAGGTCATTTTTCCTCGTACGTACACAATTTTAATTGAAAGCTTTTGCAAAGAGAGCCATCAGTAGAGTTGTAATTACAAAATGTTTGGTGCTTATAATTTGCTCATGGTTGCTGAATGCATGCAGGAATAATTCAGACTTGCTTGGAGGCTGTGTTATTATTATGTAGTCGTCGTCGTCGTAATGGGAATTAACTGGGTAGTGGTGATGGTGTTGTCACTAATTACTCCTCTATAGAATATGATAATATGCAGGTTTGGGCTGGCATTGAAATGATGGTGTAGCCTATCGATAGACGGTCCGTCCGTAGTAGGAGTAGGCTGGCAGGCAGTAGTCGTTTGGGGCGATGTATTTATCTCGTACGTAGGAAGAGAGCTACATTGTTGCGTCACAACAACAACTGTGCGGAGCTCTCGACCCGTTTAGTACTATTTTCTTGGTCCACCACCATTGTTGCATATCTGCCGCTACTGGGCAGAAAGAAAGGGTCCTTTCCTCCCAAGTTTTCCAGTCCCGGAAGTAAATTGGTTTACTTTTTTCTGCGAGGAATTTTGCACACGCGAGGAATTCGGAACTGGATGACGATAATGAATGTGCTGATGATGATGATTTTTGGTTTGGTTGAGAATGAATGTTGAAATTCATGATGACGAAGGTTTAGTTGGATGACAATGGCGATGTGGCTGCAGATAATAAGCTGTGTGGAGAGAATGACCGTCATTTCATTACAAGTTTTACACTATATCAGCTACAGCAGCTCATGTTCGTAGTTGGGAGCGTCTCAAGGTGGAAGGAGAATGAGTGTGTAAAACCTTTTCTTCAAGTCCCGACGACTACTCTCAAGTGCCAACGCGAGAAGATTGCGAGTCAAGTGACGGAAGGAAAAAGGAACAGGTTGTATTACTCCTATGTTTCCTAATGAATGAAACTTAACGTCTCATCCTCACCCAGCAATTTCTGAATAAAAAGTGCAAGAGTAAACCAAGTCAGTAGGAGCAGCAGTACAACACTTTTTAAACCACCGCGGCGACGGCGACGGAAACGACGACGACGAGGAGGAGGACAATATTCCATTCGTGGCGCTGGATTGTCTCCCGAACGTGAAATATGTAGGAGCAGTCTTATTAATTGTCGCGTCATTCCGAGAGATTTTATTGTTTCTGAGGCAGGATTGCATTGGGTTTACATTTGAGCATCCTCATCTTCTTTACCTTTTTGTATATACGTACATATTTTCAGATTTGTAAATTTTATGGCAATTTTGGGCCTTGCATTGTACCAATTTGTAAGCAATTTTCACAAAATTGTTTATCACACATGTACAATTTATTTATTCAAATTGCGCAGCAAGTGACATTATCATTGTATTTTTATTACTCGCGAAATAATAATAAAATAATGATGTTTGATGACCAGTTATTACTCTGGGACAAACATTCCGCAACAACATGTGGCAACTGGCGTATGTACTCCTGCACATGTACATACATACTTTTTTGGATATTATAACTTTGGCATTTATTTTTACTTTGTGCCATCAAACAATGGAATTGACAGGTGGGAAATTACTCCGTCGACTGTTGTGGAAACCATAATTCTGCTTCTGCCTTGATTTATATCGCTCATTTCAATTGTGGTGCGGTACTTAATTTATCAAAAAATGAGGGACGACGGCCATATTATTTATCTGATTTATTTCAATCCACTCACTCACATCGCATATGAGGAAAACTTGCGTGTAATCATCACACCACTTTTCTCGTCATAGTCGCCGTCCGTTCGTCCCTACTTTTGTAAAATAATAAGATAATGGGTTTCGAATATTTCGCCAAGAACGACGAAACGTCAAGTCATTCCAAATTTGGGTATTTTGGTGGATTTCTAAATCCAAAATTATGCCGAGTGTGTGTGAGTGGTGGCAATTTGTGAAATGTTGTTGGATGAGAAGATGGATGGATGGATGGATGTGAGGAATTAATTAATAAATAAAACTGTGTAAGCAGCTTCCGGTTCGTTTTATAAAGGATTTTTGAATTGTCAATTGCCAACCTGTGTGCCGTGGCGGTGGCGGTGCGAGGAGAGGCATTGTTGGGGGTTCGGCTTTCATAGAAAATAATATAATGTACTTGACATCATAGGAAGTCAAGTCAGGGCGGACAATGAAATAGAAAAAAATAATGATAAATTTGTCATTTTACTCGGCTCTTCTCATCATCCATATCCTATTCGTAGCTCGTAGTAAGTAGTTATGAATTGGTGGTGAGAACGGAAAAGGGTGGTGGACTTATCATTCCTTTATTAATTCTTCCCAACGTTTAAGTGGTCGCTCTGCCTGTGACTAAATAATTGCTTGACGACAAATTATTTATTGTTCTCTCGCGCCTCATGTGAGACAGCGACGTGCCCAGAATCGAGGTGAGGTTCACGACGAGTCTATGTACTTATTGAATTATTATTAATAATATTCAGTCCGCATTGTTGAGGTGTAGCGCATTGTTGTTTCGGGATGCGTGAGACATTGTTAAAGACTTTTTTGAGAAGGAAGTGTCGTCGTCGTCGTCTTTATTTCTGATCAGTGAACCTGCCCTGACGAGAGAGATGAATGAATTGTGATGAGATGTGTATTTATTTATTTATTTACGGTGATGACATTTTCGAGTGACATGAATCCATCCTGTAACCTGCGTCAATGTTGTCGTGACATGACGACCCGACGACAACTAACTGACTCGGAGGCTGACTTTTCCTTAAATGATGCTTTCCTACCCAAGAGGGAAGGAATGTTTTGATCTGAGGTTGACTCCACCTGACCAAGTGACCAGGGCAGGGATGAACATATATTCTTTGAGGTTGAGTGTGTTTACTTTGGTTAAAAATTCACCTGTCCCATGAACCAGGAACATAAATATACGTAGGATTTGATGTAATGGGTGTGCACACTCCAAGTGCATCAAGAGTGAGTGAGTGATGGATGAACGGGAGGACAGGTCCAAGTGGACGACCAAGTGAAAGAATTATTTTATGATTTTTGGAGAGACTTGAACAAAATGTGGATGGTTTTTTAGGAAATCATAAATACATAGCTTGAAAAAGATGGTTTTGAGGAGAATTTTTTGAAGCGTTTGCCAATTTCTGTAAAGATTTGGGTTGGAACGAATTGATTACGGGGAATGAGAGTGGATCTATAAGTGAGAATTGGAAATGGTGTGAATGTGTGAATTATGTGGCGTACATATAGTTGAGGAAGGGAAGCAACAATAGGGCATGGATTTGTTCCGCTAATACTGCCATCATCAAGCTGCTGCTGCTGCTTTTTTTCATGTTTCATACATAATACCATCACGACGAGGAGAGAGTACGTACAATGTGGGTGTATGTAGCATGGCTCATTTTGCTCAATAAGGGATCAGTGTACATTTGCATAAATTAGCTAAAAATAGATTCATATCGTCCATAGCTTTGCCAATTGCATCATCGCAAAGAACTCAATAAATAAACGAGTCGAATGCCTCACTTGTTTTATTTTAATTTTAGGACGGCTTTCACCCGAACAACATCAAGTTCCCGAAGTTGGTGCGACTGCAAAGGAAGGGACTGCATCTTCTTCCACCAGCGCGGCATCCACCGTGCCCGAGATTACGTTGGAAGATGTAATTGGTAAGAAAAGTCGTCGTCACATGCTCGTTAGTTCTAGTTCCTGGGTGGGTGGAGGCTTCGGGGTGGTTGTGGTCGTCCTCATCACGGTTCATCTCCTGGTTCTTGATCTTTGTTGGTGGTCAACGGGTGATTGCTGAGCAGCAGCACTGCCCGCCCGCCACAGATGAGTGATGATGCATGATGTCGATGATGATGGGATGGAAATACGATGACCCACGAACGGACGGAATCCCTGCGAATCTCGTCTACCATTTATGTGAGGGCAAAGGCATGCATCCATTGTTTCAATCGATTATCTATCCCATTTGTGACTGACTGACTGAGGGAGATAGACGTACGTTGTTGACTGGGTTTGTTCCTCCACCAAAGAAACGACTCAAGACTTTACTCCTGCCGACCGCTCTTCTTCTTCTCCTTCGTCGTCGTCTTCTTCTTCATCATCTTTGGCGATTTGGTGGAGAGAGGATGACTTGGCAAAAATGTTTGAGAAGAAATGGGCTCCTCTTCTCTCCTATACGTATTCCATCTCATCCGCCCGTTGAACACTTCACACGACCCAGCAGGCGGTGGAATACCAACAAAGTTTCAAAGCTGAGACTTTAACAAATCCCAAATGCAATGCGATGCAACATTATAATACATATTATTTATTTTATTATTTCACTCTCCCACCAGCTCCATCATGATATGCACCAAGGGGATGAAATAAGATTTCAAAAGAGTAGAGGAGGAGGTAAAAAAAGTTCCAGAATTATATTATTTGGACGTTTTGGAATCAAGAGAGAGCGAGAGAGAGAGGGATGATGGGGTTGTTGTTGGGATAGTGTGGGCTCTCTTTCTCACCCCTATTTCGGTCATAGTTAAGCGATACCCGGGTAGTAAGTAAGTAGCTGTGTAATATTATGTAGGAGAAACCCCTGAATTTATGGGGCTTGCATTTTCATGAGCAGTCGATACACAAATTATTCTTGAACGGATAGAAAATTATTATTAACCACGCCAAGGTTTTTTTACCCAGTTCTTCTCATGTTCTTCCGTAAAGAAAGTTTTCAAGGTTTCCGCACAAAAGATGTCCCTCAATATGGCTTCTGTGGACGGCAAATTGGGCAATTTTTTAAGGAAACATTATTATTAGCAACTCTATGATTCGCACGACGAGCAATACCTACTTGGCAAAGGTTGGGCCGCATCGTGAATCTCGATGCAGCCAAGTATTTTTTATGCGAGTAAAGGATTGTAAATTTGCACGGAGGAGATCTGATTGGTGGCGAACGTTAGCCACCCCTCTGAGCTCACCCTCCATTGTGGTGCAGTCATTGGAGGGATGCCGTCATGGGGTTGGTGGTGCTTCTATGCCTGTTGGCCTCTAAAGGTTTCTCTCCATCATCTCTGTTTCTTTCACCCCTTATGATGCTGCATATGCATGTTGTATCTCTTGGTCGTCGTCGTCGTGGTCGTTGTGGTGTCGTCGTCATAAAACGGTGTTCGTGGTTCAGCCCTATGTGCTTTTACATCCACAATGAACAACCCTGTGGAAGAACAACCCTGTTGGGATGCACTTGGGACTTTTAGTCTTTCTTCTCAAAAGGAGCTAGTCTGTTACTTTACTGCTCTTGCTGCTCCTTTATGTATCTTGCGTCACAGTTAGTTAACAACAGTTGGGGAAGGAAGGACTGACTAGGGGAGAAGAAAAGATACTTATTTGTTTGTAGTCTCACCTCTGACAAACAAGTGGTCAAAGTCATCCGCAGGGACTCCAGGCTTGACTTTTTACCCGGATTCTTCTCACCCACAAACGTGTCGTGGTCAGTGGCGTGGCGTGGCGTGGTTTGTGGTAGTGGTGAATGTACAAACAGTGTTACGTGGTGTTCCTACATGTTGGCTCAATTAGCTCATTTCTTTCTTTGCCTGCCATCATTAATGTGTTTGCACTGCTAATTGCCCAAACAAGTGTGTGATTGTTGTTGTTAAAGAAGAAAAGTGTGTGGTGGTTGGTAAGGCATATTGGACGAGGCGATACAGCAGAGGACTTCTTGGTCGAGGAGATGAGATGACTTGGCGAAATCTTTTGCAAATCTTGACGGTGGCGTCGTATCGTAATATTCGTGTATGGATCGGTCCATTCCGTTAACTTTGACATCAAGTTTTCTACTACTACATATATAGTTATTAGTACAAATCGATGTAATAATCTTTCGGTGTGACAGTGAGGATAAGTCAGTTATCAAAATCCGGTGATTTATTGTGAATGAGTGTCTTACATAAGTGGGAAAAGGGTGGACAGAATTTGAGAAATTGACTGACGGGAGTACAGGAACGGATCAGGTAAATTTATGGGATTTCTAAATTTAGGCCTCTCTCTTCTCTTTCTTGGAGTCGGAATAAAAATATGTCCTCCTAAATTAGTCGAGCAGGCAGATAAGAACTGCGAGGGAGAAATGGAGATGGAGAAAACGATTGCGCATTTAAGGGGACAATAGGATTGATCACCGAGTGTCATTTGCATGTGTCAATTGATGTACATATGCATACGTGGTTCTCCTGTTTGCTGCTTGTGTACATGACTCGCTTATGTTGCTAGCTGGCAGTTTAATGAATGGACAATGAGAATTTGATAGAGATGATAACATGTCATCTTGGCTGTCAAAATACTCAACTTTCATCTCAACTTGTTACTTATTAGAGAGGAGGAAAAAAGGGTTACATAATCTCCCCAGAAATCAGAGGGCATCAAAATTCAGGTCTCGTGAGTACTCAAATATGGATTAAAGTTGTTGTATTATTTTTTTATGGTGCGTCGAATCCACCTCCACGTCCACCTATCGTATCGTTTTTAGTACATCAAGCTGTCACAGAGATAGATCATGACGCACTCTTATTATTATTACCCTCATCCCTTTGTTTCACTCCTCGGTTCGGCCATAATTTATAGATTTGCCTCCTTCGCGGAGGAGGAAGGAAGGAAATGAGTGGTTTTGATTTTTGACGTAATCTCATCATCTCTCTCATTGTCCATTGTCGCAGCTGCCATGCCAAGAATCAAACACGGCACACAGCTCCACCGGCCATTTTTGCAATTGATGACAAGATAGGAGGAGGAGAAGGGAGAATTTTGATCCTGTCTGTAAAATAAAATAGTCCTCCCACCACAAGGAAAAAAATAAAACGAGGAGACCGGGCTGGCCCCACCTGACATTAATAAATAATAATCAATAGATTGAAATAGCATAAAGTGCTCTTGGGGACGCCGAGTGAATGGAATAATGAAGATGTTTTTCTTTTGAAATCAGAGCCTGAATTGAATTTGATTTGATTTTGTCCACCCCGAAAGAATGGGAGGGTTTTCATCTGAAGAATGGCTATTAATTGGGTGATACATGTTCCTCTTCCTATTCTTTGCAGATGACTGGCTGGAGACGGACAGTGGAGTTTTTGATTTCTTAGGATCCTCCGCAACAACTCCATCCTCCATCGACGGAACAAGAAGAAACACCTTTGACATTGACAGCATTCCTTCACTCGGCTCTGTCGAATCCGTAAGAGATTTTAATTTCAGTTGTAAAAAATGGTGAGATGAAATGAAATTTACTCAATATTCGTTACGACAGGATCTAGAACTTGATGGTGGTGATCAGGCCACGAGTCAAAGTCAGAGCGAGGAGGACGAAGACGTCGACATGATTCAAGCCGCCCCCACAATTCATGGAGGGAGACCCACCCCACATCCTCACCCCGCCCAACCGAGAGGTTTCCAGGTAAGGGAATCAATACTATTCTCAATTTCTTGATTGCTTCATCGCCCATTTGAAATGTGGTGGGACCAATTTGTGTGTGATAGGAGGAACAATCTTATGGAATGTTTACTCTCAATGTGTACTTTACATCGACTTTTTTCCGTCTTTACAAGCATTGTCAATAGCGAGATTTCTAACAATGACAAAAATCTTGGTACTTGCTTACTCTGAATTTTATTTGCTCAGACATAATGTTTTTCTGAGTAAGAAAAAATTTAGCATTTCATTTCATCACAGTATTATTTTTACTATTAAGACCTCTAAAATAATGGAGGATCAGGTTTCCATTACGCAAAAAAATGCTATGCATGCATGTCGGAACGCGAATCAATCAAAGAGCAAGAAATTGGCGTAATTAATTTGCACGCTGTAATGTAATCCGGATTAAAAAATAGAGTATCGAAATGAAATGAGGTGTCAATGTGGCTGGTTGATCCAGTTTCGCTGATTCATTTCACTCACATTCACATTTTTGCATGCAACTACTTTTCCTTTGTTTGAGAGAGAATGGCCAAGTGTTGTTGTGTGATGTGACTACTACACCTTCGTACAATTGATGCCCATGTCAATCTTTCTTTTTTTTGATGCCTTGTGGTAATTAAGTTTAAAAGTTAGTGGTCCATTAAGCATAACTATGTGATCTGTGTGTGTGTGTAAAGGTAGCAGCAAGAGAGAGATCTGTCGTACCAAGTAATGTGAGATGGACACGGATGATTGTGAATGTATGCATGTAAGTGGTTGGTTGGTAGTTGGTATTCCACTGGTGATTTTTGGATGATTGAGTTGACACGGGTTGAGAAGGGTCGACGACGAAATGTCAAAATAAACTTGACGTTTGACTAATTTTGAAAAATGTCAATAAGTTAACACCCAATCCATTAAGGACTTCATAATAATATGGTAGTGCTCCTGGCTTGAGTCTCTTGCTCTCTCCTCGTACGTCTCACACATAAGTGTTGATGTTACGGTGGAAAAATGTCAAGTTGGTTATTGGAGATGATCACAAGGAGGCTGGTGGGAATTCGGGAAACCTTGACTTTTGGAAAAGAAGAAGAGGGTGTGTACATACGTCATACATATGAACGTGTAGTGAGGCTATAAATGTTGAGCACTTATGTACAAGTAGATAGTTGAGTTAGGTTTTAAAAAAGTACACAGGCATAATTTTCTAGAGGTAGAATTCCAGTTTTAATTATGAATTGATCGAGCATTATTATAATCTCTCCAAGTTGACAAGTTTGATTAGATTGGATTGCATTTCATTCTCGTCGTTTCGTTACCTTGGTCTGTGTGTGTGTCTCTCTCTTGTTTAAATGGAGACACGATGAAGCATTTAAATTGTTGGATTTGGAAGGAGAAGAAGAAGGATTTGAAGGTCCATCAAATCAAGCCACCTGTTCTCCAATCTCCATCTCACACACAAAAGAACAAGAGACGGATGGATTCTTATACGTAGGTCGCTTCTGCTGCTGCTGCTGACGAGATGTGGTGATGGTTCCTTTCTTTTCATTATGAGAATCCTTCTTATTTTCTCACCTTCTTCTCATTCTCGTCCCACACGAGAGAAGGAGTAGAATGAGAGGCGAGATGAGACAGGCACGTCGTATTGTCCATCTCACTCACTCACCTGGGTGGGGGATGGATGCGGATTCCATGCATAGATAGAGGTGTGTGTGTATGATTGTGATCACTGGATCTGCTTTATGCTCGTGATGTGATGATACTTTATTTATGCCTGCTTACCTGCCCACCACAGATTATGTTCTATTTAACGCGTCGTGGACAATTTGGGCACTCGCAGTGTAACTTTAGAGCATGTCGCGTTTTGGTTAATCGGCAGTGATGTGTCCAGTCGTGGAGGAATAGGAATTGTTGTTGCCCCATTTCCAATCGGGGCTATTGAATAGTAGTGTTGTGAGTTGAGTGTTTAGTTTTATGGCCAGTTTTACTTATTGATTGTGTGATGACGGTATTTCGAGCAGTGATAGTGATTCTTCGATTCAATGGGACATGTAGCTGCCGTGGAGGAGCTGAGATTTTGTGAAACATTTCTTCTTAATGGTGGGCATCCATTAAATACATTCCATTCCTTCCAGCCTAGTTGGCATGCATGCCTGTTGGTTAAGATCATTACGTTGGTGGTTGAAGGGAGGGAAAAAGAGAGACAGGCCAGGAAGGAAGTCTCCTCAACCCTTCATCTCAGTCTTGTTCGTGCGGTTGCATGGTTTAAGGCAACAATAAGTCACCTTAGCAGTTACTTAGTTGGTCCATTTGTGGCTAAATTATGACCACTTTTTGAGAAGTTTCTTTCTGCATCTTCTCTGGAAACATGCATCTTCAGGGTACGAGTGAGTGAAGGGCTCTGCTGCCATTATGTGTGTTTGAAGGATATATCTGCACATGACGAGGATTTGCTTACTTACTTGTCCGAGTGAGTGAAGAAAAGATGAAGGATGTGCAAGAAAGAAAGAAATGATTAATGTTGAACATTCATAAATGTTTACAATTAGTGTGTATATTGGACAAAGGAAAACCATTAGCGAGCAAGAGCAGAGAACATAACTTTCGGCAACCCAACCACTCCACCGTTTCCACTATCACTGCATTATGACGAGAAGGAGAGGGTGACAATAAGAAGGTGCTCTTCACACAGTGGGAGGACAAGTAGAAGAAGGTGACCCAGGCTAAAAGTCACTAAAGTTTGAGGCAAATGTGGGACATGTATGTATGCATAAGGTCGATAGTCGACCCTGCCCACCTCACCGTGATTTGCTCCACATTCCGAAGCAAATTTCTTGCCATGTTTTCCTCCTTTCTCTGCTGCTGGGATGGGATCAAGTTTAATTGAATGTCTGATAAAATTCCGATAGTGCCAGATCTGGCACTCTGTCATTAGAGATCCCAAGACCGACTCGGCTTTTTCTACGTCTTTTTTTTGGAATGGATAGAGAGTCTCGTATTAAACGGATTCTGACTCATGTTCTTCAGTGACGAATGAACGATGGATGGACGGACGGACAGTGTGAATGCATGCCACATTTAATTTGAGGCTTCTTCGGAACAAAAAGGATTATAATAAGGATTATAATACGCCGCGATGTGAAGGTGGTTGTGGTCGTGGTCGTAGTGAGAGAAGAAGATGAAGGGAAAAAATGCCAGACTGATTATTCTTACTTTTTACATTCGTTCGTACTTCTGTTTCTTCATTTGCGATCATGTTGTGTGGACCATAAGTATTAGTTACCTAGTGCCCATTCATTACTTTGCTACCTCTTCGCTCGCTCGCTCACTAGTCCTTGTGCACAAAGACGTAAAGAATGTTTATTTATTGTTTCTGAAGCATGGTGATGATATTGGTCGTCGTCGTCGGCAGTGTTTTTGGCGTCATCACATAATCCCCTGATATTTTGCACGAAACGACAAAGTGGTGATCATGTCGCAGGAATTATGAATTGACCATAATCATTATCTCTCTCTCTTGACTAATGACGTTACTTGGTGGGTTGAGATTTTGATGGATAGGTAAACCCAGCAGTCCTGCTCCGACTTTACATGTGCATATACATATTTGCATCCATCCAATTTCTCTAACGAGCCATTCAAAAGAATCAATTCCTCTCCTGCTAATAATGACTGCCAAATGAAATTGATGATCACTTTTATATTTATTAGATTTCATTTCGCAACACAAATAATCCGCTTTCTTTTCGAGATGATGATTATGATTGATTGGTTATTGCGTGTGTCTGCTTGCCTAGAATGAAAATAAAATAATAAAAAAAGATGGAATAAAATTGAAATGAGGGCAGGCCGCCTTGCGTTTTTCTGCTCCGTCACTTTTTGTGGGACTGCAACTTATAAATTTACAATTACGAGACAATTTTTACAACTTTTTGTTTCTCCTATTCACAGGTTCATGCCCGAATGCCCGGTCTTTTGCGTGGAGGAAGTAGCATGGACCAACGATGGCAGGACGTCGTCACCTTCCTCAACCTGCAACAGGGAAATGGTGGTCATCCCCACGGAGACGGGAGTGGAGGACCGCTCCCCTTGAGCCACACCTTCGGCTCGCACCTCCACCATCACGGCGCTCCTCTCCATCACCATCACCACCACCACTTCTCCGCACCACCCCCTTCCGCCCCCTACAATGCAGACTCTGCCAGAAGTGTTCTCCTCCAAAATGCCACCCTGCCTCCGCCGGACGTCTCCTCGCCCTACAGCATGGGTAAGTTCCTCAGTTATCTGGTCGTAGGGAAAGCATGCATGCTTCGTGGTGAGATTTGTGTCGAGGAGCCATGTTGGTTTCGAAGGGAGGGTTGCTTTTGTATTTTATTCCTCTGCCATAACCCCTCCGGTTTCGGTTACCATCCATCGCATATCATCCATTAGATCACCACTGGTAGTAATCGTGCAATGAATAAAAAATGGTACGGAACTGAGAGGGAAGCAGTCTTATTTTTGGAGCTGCGGGAGCTTTTTTATTTTCACTGGCGGCTGGCTGGATGGTCGGATTTTTTAGATTAATGGCTCAGTCAGGGTTGCATCCCTTGCCTTCGTGGGAGAAAGAAGAGAGGGGGCCCGATAGTCGGACAGCGGGGTCGAAGCCTATGGTTGTTGCATCTGCTCGACGAGGATTGTTAAAAAGAGAGGGTTGTGAACAATGGTCGTGGTATATGCGTGGCATGGATTATGATCAAAGTGGATAATTCAACATTTCCAAGACAGGTATATCCGCCGAGAGAGAGAGAGGAGATAGACTTTGTAATGAATATACAGATTTTGTTAATTCGAGTGTTGGCAGTGGAGTGGATCATGCGAACCAGATCGGTGGTATAGACAGTCACGATTGATGGTGGCGTTGTACGAGAGATAGGTTCGTCTAATCCTAATCGATTGGTTCCGCATGGGTGCTTGGTTTGGAACAAAGAGCTGTTGCTTTTGGCACATTTCCGATAGTCGCTGCTTTTTAAACATTCCGTTTGAAGGGTAGGCCGTCCATCCATCCATCCATCAAGTGGCATTAGTAGTGGTGCTGGTAGTGCGATGAAAATATTGTAGTTGGACTTTGATGTGACACGCTTGACAGAGCTGCTCAGTCTCGTGTCTACCCTTTCATTCCTTCTTATTATAATAAAATCTTGTCTCACTCCATTGCTCTCAAGTCACCAAATCCATCCTTGGATGTAGATCTGGCTAAAAAATGTGACCGATTCTAAATTTATAACCTCCCCTAGCTCCACTCCATCCACTCCCCTTTTCCATCTTCCTCCCTCGAGAGCTTATCGTCCCATTCCTATGACTCATACGACGCAGTAATATCAGTATCCTATTTAAATTCATGAATGAATGATGTGGTTACGATAAGTTTTTTATTGCTACTTCCAAAGTTTATAACTTGTATGTAAAATAAATTGTTTCTCGTTCCAGGTCCACCTCCCAACATCGGTTCGGCCGTGGCGTCGTCCATGCACCTCACCAACAGCAGTGACCCCATGATTGACCCGAGTCTTCACTACAAGATGATTGAGCAGTCCCACGACATGATTTACTACCCGGTACATATCTAAATATTTGAATAAATAGATATCTATAACACGGCCCCCAGACTCGGCCGTCGAGCCAGATTCAAGTAGGAATTTCCCAACTGAATAGAATAAAAATCCTAATCCGCACGATACCCTCGTCGTCGTCGTAGCCGTTCTCAGAAGAAGAAGGGGACAATTATTACATAATTGGTTTAGTCACTAATTGGCCTTGTAAAAAATGTTTACACAAATTGTGACCATTCATTCACTGTATTTGTTATTTTATTATTCTGTTACTCGACTTAATTCCGTCTTAAGAAGCGAAGGAGACGTTGTTTTTTGTGTAAAAAATTGCCAACTCGTGACAGGGTGATGATGGATAGGTAGAAAAATATGAATATCTGCATGGACGAGTGTCATTGGGGAACTGGACTAATGAGCAACAATATAACGTAGCAAAAGACGAGAATTATTTGAATGGGGGTGCATATAACGTGTAATAATAAATAATAATAATATAATTTTTCCTTTCAACAGAACACCACCAACAATGCGGAGATGAACAATCAGTCCACAACCGATGGTCTCTTCTCAACAGTGGAGGATGATTTGCAGTTGCAATTTGTGGATATGTCCGCATTGAATGAAGGTCGGTTTCTCATTCTTCTCCTGTGTTGTATTAGTTAAATAAATAATAATTGCCAATTTCTTCTCCGTCTGACTCCAGTAACGATTTCTATGTACACATACACACACGTATGTACAACACCTCATCGGCTGTGCTTTATAAATAACCATATTAGTTGAGACAGAGAGGGAGAAAAAAATGGCAAATCTCTGCAAATTTGAGAAGCAATTAAGTCAAGAAGACGATGAAGATTGCGCAATTGTCATTGGGCCGTGTTTCGTGGTCACTTATAATAAATAATGGTGAATCCTGGTCAGTAGTGGATTTACACTCTTGGGAACAATCAGTATTGTTTTTGCTGAAGCCCAGTGGCCATTGATCACTCGGAGCTATATGCGAAGAAGAAGCAGAAGAATATATTTTTTATGCTTCTTGTTCTATACTCGTGAACAAATTAGTGAAGGTTTTTCCCTGCTGCCACACTACACCACATGCATGACGAGTCAATATAATATGTGGAAAAAAATCATACCAGAAAAAATGATGGCTTACTGCTCGACTAACGAGTCTTTCAACACTATATTTATTATTTAATGTGTAGGAAACGTTTTACTGAATTTTCGATAGCAAGGAAAAAATGCAGGCGTTCTGTGATTACATAGATATAAAAATTGGAATTGAATTGGGAAAATTGGAAATGAAATTTGGCAAGAAATTATGAAATGTTTTATTCTGTTCTGCTAGATTTTTTTTTGCATACGGATTTCTCAACATTTGGTTATTCATATTGTTCGAGAACTATGTTGGGCCAATTTACATGCAGTTTGTAGAATTTGTCTCTCTCGTCGTCTAAAATGCATGTGCAGTGCAGAAATTTGCATATAACTATCGCCAACGTTTATATAATTTTATTTGAGTTCAAGGATTTATCTCGCAATTTGCATCGTAGTCGAAAGCGAGTATAATCTTGTCAGTTTGGATGTAATTTTGCATATTAGTTTTGTGAACTATTTAAAAATGTGAAAAGTACAACTTGGTTTTTGAAATGATTTGATTTATGTAAAGTATGCTTTCTTTCTGGTAATTTCTTCTGGTAAATTCGCTATACATCACAAATACATACTTGTCTAGATAGCAATGCCGTTTCATTAATCGGCATTTCAAATTTGCAAGGATCACGAAACAACGAGGAGTTGGAATGACTTTGCTAATTCCATTATTTATTGTAGCATACAAAATTTACTAATGTACACACAAGATTCTAAATACTTGTCAGTTGTGTAACATTAAAACGAAAGGTCAACCTTTTTCACGTGCAAATGGTTATGCAGAAATATGTGCAACGAAAGTGCAGACACATTAAGTTATTTTTTTTATCAAACTTTCGAATTTCTAATGTTTGTTTGTCTAGTCTATTTGTCAAGGAGTTTTGTATTTAAAATGAGTTTCAATATTTACGAAATATTTTTTGTGAAAAACTTTGCTGATTTAATTTTTTGTTCTGCTACTCACAGGTATTCATCAAATGCGGATGTTGGACTATGGTGTGGGAGCCTCAATTTCCAACTCGTTAGAAGGCGCCGCCTCCTTACCGCACGGACCCCAGCAACAAAATCTTCCAAACGGATGTTCCTCGATTGGAATGACGGCTGCGGAAGACCGGCTGGAAGCGTCCAGTGACAGCGCGGTGAGCTCGATGGGTTCAGAACGTGTCCCACCAATGACTGACCCCTCCGATAGTGAATGGGTTGATCCAGACAGTCATCCTCACAGCTCCCACGACTCGTCCCCTTACTCACTCGATTATCCAGGGTGATTAGAACAAACGTGTTTATTAGTTTATGTATTTTAGGTTCTCAATAAACTAATTGTTCTCTATTTATTATGTAGAACGAAAGGGCGAGGTTACGAGTATTACGGGAAGGATCGCGTCCCAGTCGCGCAAAAGAAGCACCACATGTTTGGGAAGCGTTTTCAACAAGAGCAAGGTCCCTATGTGCTACCCCCACACCATAATTCTCTCCCTTTGCCATACCCCTCGGCAAGCGGGCTCCACTCGTCACCCAGTCTGGATTCGATGGACTTAAAGTATGGATGTGGAGTTGAATTTGCACGACATCAAAATGGTACTTGGCGCATACTTGATAACACTTGTATATCCAATCATTGTAATTGTTTGTCATGCAATGATTATGAATTTTTCTCTTAGATCTTAGAACAAATGGAGGCTTAGGTTTAGACTCGGTGCACAACAATCACACCTACGCACTCCCTCCAAACCATGGGAATAGCCCTTTGACCACATTCAAGGCACCCAAGCCACCCATGAAGGACAAGCAGCCCAAGAGTAAGTGTATACAAATTATCGACTGTATGATGATATCTCTTCTGCTCTATACTGCTCATTACACTGCTGACCCTGTAGTTATGTTTTTGAGTAAAAGCAGCAGCAGCTTCTTAATGTAATCATGTAGTATAGGGAAATTTTCTTGTAATTAACACCATTAGTGAGTGAAGACTTGGATCGCTTTGCAGAAGATTCCTTATCGCGAGATGACAAAAGAGCTCGAGCCATGAACCTCCCCATCACCACGGAGGACATCATCAACCTTCCAATGGATGAGTTTAACGAGCGACTGTCAAAGTTTGACCTTTCAGAGCCACAGTTATCCCTCATTCGAGATATTCGTCGGAGGGGTAAAAATAAGGTATGCATCGTATAAACTGCACACAAGGTTGAAGTCAGTTCGTCGTGTCACAGTTTTTTATTAACATTTCTCTTTGTTTAGGTTGCCGCACAAAATTGTCGGAAGAGAAAGCTTGACCAAATAATGCAGCTAGCAGATGAAGTACAAACAATTCGAGAAAGAAAACAAAGTCTTCTCCGGGAACAGCAAGAACTCGGCGCTAGACGTCATGATCTCAAAGAGCGGTATCAACTCTTGTACCGTCATGTTTTCCAAGTATGTAACGACTTGAACGATTCTCCCAAAATTTACCAACAAGTCTTACACACAATTAGTATATGTAATAATTATTTCCCACGTTTTCGCAGGCACTGAGAGATCCAGATGGTAATCCGTACAGCATTTATGAATACAACTTGGCCCAAGCAGCCGACGGTAGCATCATGATGGAGCGACAAAGACCCGTCCACCCTTCCAATGGAGACAATAATAACCCCTCTCGTCGTGATAAATCCAAAGATGACTACAACAACAAGAAGGCGGAATAATAATAAACATGATGTTGCTGTGCTACACCCACTCAACAACATTCAAAATCACTGTGATCTCGTACTACTACTGCTACTACTTCAACTGAACTGAGCGAATATAAATCTCTACCTAGTTTTTAGTTAATACAAGTTGAAGAACAAGAAAGAATGGAAGGCTGAATTTTGAGAAAACCAATTTTCATCCTCGGTTGTTTGTATTATTAATTACTTTAAATAATTATTGTTAACTAGTTAAGAATAACCATCACCTAACCTATGTGGATTTTTAGGGCGAAAAACATTACTTACTCATTTGTTGTTAACTGTGCAAGTATGTAGCTGTAGTGCTGTTAATGCACCAGCAGTTAATATGCACGGTTGTGATTGATGTATTTAATACGAAGCATTTAATAATTTTCCATTCTTCCTGTTCACTACTAAGGAAACTCTTTCAAATATTATTGTTCCGAACTAAATAACGAAATTTTAGTTATTTTATTATTATTATTATTATAATTATTGTCATTATGTCAACTAATTATTATTAATTACACACACACACACACACACCACACTACTACATGTACTTAATGTCCATTAGTCAGGAGAAATATTTCATTACAATGTCAAATTCTCTCCAACAAGAGATATTATTAAGGAAGAAAAATGGCTATTATTTGCTTTAACAGAGAAGAATTGTACCATTATTTAATTACAAATCTATACACAAACTAATTATGTGGATAAGAATGGAATGAATTAATCATCCCCAGAAAAATATGTACTATCCTCTCCGGTTTGTCTTGTTTGGATTAAAGTTTTATGAATTATACTGTTTTGAGAGGGATTTCACATAACGTATCGATCGTGTACCTTTCATGACGCTCTTTCTTACTAATATTAAATATGATACCATAATTATCATGATAATATTATGATACCAAAACCAACCAACCACTCCCTTCTTCCAGAATAGTTATTGTTATAGAAAGCTGGAGATGATTTGTGGTAGTGGGGTCGTTGTTTGTTTTCAAACTGTTTTTTTCTCGTCTTTTATTAAAACTATATTTAACAAAACTCGCTGCTATGTGTTAGAATCATAAACCGTATGATAAAAAGTGAGCAAGATAAAACGATTATGCCGTTTAAAATAATCGTGCCGTTTTAAAAAAATCATTTGTAAATTTCTGCATGAAATCCCTGTGAGATGATGGAATGAAATGGAATAATAAAAACCGTTGTTATTTGAAACACTTGTTGTTATCAAAAATCGAGTAAAATTTTGCATACGCATCATAATTTCGCATGCATTTGTGCCTGCTGTGAGACGACACAATGCACGAGCGGGTTGGGCTTGGGTTTTACGCAACTCGACTGAAGAGTGAGAAACCCAACTTGTGACTTGTTCACCATCAGCATCATCATCTCACTTGGACGACACAACAAAACAACACACGAAAACTTTTGTACCTCAAAAAGTCAGTCGAAAAAGACGACGACGGCGTTGACCGGAAATTCAGCCCCCTCAGAAACGATACCTTATCTTACCTACCTCAAAGTGGGAAGTGTTACTAGAATGCGCAGCTGGAGCTGGTCGACACAAATTCGGATGGAGGAGACCTGAAGTTTGAAAGTAGGAATGACAACAAAGTCACCACCACCACCACCACTATCATTACCAACTAATAAGAAAGCCGATAACACCAAGTTTATCAATATTCGCTCAGTGATAAGTTGTTCCGTTCAATGAAGCACTCACAGTACAGCGTCCAGGTTGGTGGAATAATTAAACTTGGTTGTGGTGATGACAGTTGTTTATTGTTATTTAATGCTAATTGTTGACCATTTTGTAGCAGAGGGCTAGGGGGTGTATCGAAGAGGAGTCGCTTATCAATCAAAAATTGCCCAAGGAACTTCTGCTCCGTATTTTCTCCTTTTTAGATATCATCTCATTGTGTAGATGTGCCCAGGTGTCGAAACCGTGGAATCTTCTCGCCCTGGATGGGTCCAATTGGCAGAAGATTGACCTTTTCAACTTCCAGACGGACATTGAGGTGGGTCTCTTTCATTTTAAATCGTGGTGTTAGACTAACGCTGTTAGTTTAGTTAGTAATAAGTATCGTTTTGAATAAACATTATTATAGGGTGCCGTTGTTGAAAACATTGCACGAAGATCGGGTGGTTTTCTCAAGAAGTTGAGCCTCCGTGGGTGTCAATCCGTGGGTGACAACGCTCTCAAAACATTTGCACAGCAATGTCACAATATTGAAGAGTTGAATTTGGAAGAGTGTAAACAAATTACGGACGCGTAAGTACTATTTCTACATATAAAAGTGAAGTATTGCTTGGTGAATATAATTTAAGATTAGGTAATTATTTATTTTTTTAAATTTATTTCAACAGAACTTGTGTGAGCCTTAGTCGCAACGGGAGAAAACTTCAGCGCTTAGAACTCGCTTCCTGTTCCAATATTACCGATGAATCTTTAAAAGCCTTGGCAGAAGGATGTTCAAATCTTGTACATTTGAATATTTCCTGGTGTGACAATATCACCGAGAAAGGTGAGTCAACATTTTACACCATTCGATAAAAGAAAATGCTGCATAGTATACCGTCTACCGTGTCGTCACTAATGTTGGGTTTTGTTTAGGAGTATCTGCTCTTTCTCGTGGATGTAATAAACTGAAAAGTTTTGTAGCCAAAGGGCGATTGTTTATCGACAATGATTCCGTCATGCATCTCGCAGAGTACTGTCCTCTTTTGGAAGTTCTCAATTTTAACGGGGCAGCTGTAAGATCTTACGACATGTATCACAGAAGATCTAGTTTTGATCAAATTTTTAACACTTTTGTTTCTATTTTGCAGTCTATAACTGACGACTCTATTCAGAAGCTAGCCCAAAATTGTCCCAACATTCATTACCTCTGTGTATCTGGATGTGCGAACCTTACCGATACCTCGTTAATGGCTTTGGCTCAACATTGTCATAAACTGAGTACATTTGAGGCTGCGGGTTGTTCCCAATTTACGGATGGTGGATTTCAAGCTTTAGCCAGAGTATGGAGACCAACTTTATATTTTTTTGCGTATTGTGTCCATTTAATATTATGTTGCTTTGTTTCAAAGAACTGCCACTATTTGGAAAAAATGGATCTGGAGGACTGTGTTTTAATCTCGGATAATACCCTGACTCATCTTGCTGCTGGGTGTCCACGACTGGAACAATTGGTAAATACAAAAAAGATACAACTAACAATAAGTTTCTACAATATGAGAGTTGAATTGATTTTTGATCATTGAAATTTTACTTGTCAAGACTTTATCACATTGTGAACTAATTACTGACGATGGGATTCGCCAACTTGGTATGGCACCCTGCTCAGCGGAACATCTCACCATCCTCGAGTTGGATAATTGTCCGTTAATCACAGACGCTTCTTTGGAACATCTCGTCTCCTGCCATAATTTACAGAGAATTGAATTGTATGACTGTCAATTGATTACACGTGCTGGAATTCGTAGACTTCGAGTAAGTTAAAAAAATTAGAAAAAATTTAACGTACATTTAAATCACCAATAATTCTCGTATTTATTTACAAATTATCATTATTATTTATTTATAGAATCATTTGCCAAACATCCGGGTTCACGCCTATTTTGCTCCAATGACGCCACCCCCACCCGTGGGAGGATCTCGCCAGCGATATTGCCGTTGTTGCGTGATATTGTGAACAACGACTCTCTCTCTATCTCTCTTCCTCCCAACTGGAAATATAATTGCAGAAGAAATTTTTTATTGTGACATTTATTGCACAACTCTCCTTCATTCATCGGCAGCCTTACTTGTGACATATTGTAAAAACTATTAGAAGGGAAAGTAGTCGTGCTCCGTCAAAAATTCACTTTTTAAACAAACCGTGGTAAAAAACCGATATGGAGTCATTTTTACAATCAAGCAAAAAAATTTAGTACAATCTTGTTCGCGATATTGGTTGCAGATATATGTATATGATTCTGAAAAGTATAATTGTCCCGTGTCGATCCTAAACAGTAATTTACATTTTTTGTTATCACGTTCCTTTTTGCAATGGGTTGTGGCATGATTTTAAACTAAATCTCCTGTTAATTTTAATTATGTAGATTTCAAACCAAAGAAGATGTATAATAAGTACGTACGTAACGCATCGATTAGAACACAACCTTCCCTGCTTATCATACCCTGTGATTTCTACCTATCGTTGAGTCGTTCCTCTTCATGATAATTTTTTACAGGTGTGTTACATGCAAACAATTAATGAGGCAATTTACGTCAATCCACTTTTGTGAATGTGTAAGCTACGTCAACTTTGTAAAATTACCAAGTTTTTATACAAAGTTTGCAAACATCTTTGATGATTGCAAGTCTTCAAAATGGTTTACACGGTAGCGTGACGTGAATATACCTCACAATTCCATTCACTGTGCAGAGTCGATAATTTTTAATAACTATTTAAATACAATATGCGCTTGTTCCAATGATTTTTAATTAAGAAGAAAACTACAAATTTTTAAAGCTGGTATTATACGAATACATGATAACTATGTAACTTTGCATGAAATGAAATCAATCTCTTATTCTCTAGTGCCCCAAAAAATGAATTGTAATACTGAGATTAGAAGAAAATGATCGTGTAGCAATTATATTATTGTTATATTCTACTTACTACCTGTCGTACTGTTAACTAATGACGTGTGACTATCATTATATTAATCTTATCGGCAATTATAATAGCTATCATGAAAAATGGGTGTCTATTTGTAACTAAAATACCAGTTTTTTTTGCGGGTGGCTGTATTTAAGAATTACACAGGAAGAAAGCGTGTGTAGATAGTTAATGACCCTGACCAAAGCTACATAAGTAATTATTATGACATATTTACATAAATACTACTAAATACCTACAGGTGTGTGCTATCTGTCGACTATACTATCATAATCTAGTAAGGCTAGAAATCTAATTGTTGTTATTACGCAAAAATGATGATGACGATGATGATTGTTACTTAAAATACGCTAAATCGTTCGCATATTCGCAGTTAAAAGTGTTACAAGAAGATCTGCAAAACATCCCTTAATTTTTCGTTTGTTTGTTTGTACAGCGGTAGTACATTGTATTTTACGCCTTCGCATAATTCTTATTAAACACAGTTATCTAAAAGCTGGATAAGTTATTATATTATTATTTGCGCGATTCCTTTCATCATGTTAAAACTACTTTTACCTCTAAATTAAGCGTCTTATGAAGAGCTTTGTATGTGAAAATGGTGGTAATTTTGGGATTAAATTCATGACGATATTTAAGTAAATGAGTAAAGTCGAGGGGTGAAAGAGTTAACGAAGAATTTGTTGTTGTTGTTGTTGTAAGTAATTGTATATGAATTTTCCTTGTGTACAAGTAATTAAACTGATTTAAATGACGTTTACACGGACGACATACTCGCTATGTGGCACCGTCAACGACAACAACCATGCATACCTCTTCTATATATATTTATACGATGTGACAATTACTGCAATTATGCAGTCTAATGTTCCTCCAGAACCAGAAATTTTGTAAGTGTGTACTTAGACACTAAAAAATAGGTATCTACTTCTGCTGAATGCTGTTGTTGTTGTTGTTGATGTTTGTTATATTATGCTGCTGCTGCTACCGCTAAATGTCGTCGTTAATTAATTAATTAATTAATTAACTTTTTGTCGTAATAAAGAAAAAGTAAATTACATACGCAAAATATATATATAATAATCTCAGGTGTGGTTGTTATTCATAACTTTTTTTTCATTACGATACATACATTTTGCGTGCTGCATACTTTGTTCAGGTTGCGATAATAAATAATTGAAAATACTGACTGTGACGAGAAATAAACAACTAGCATCATGATAATTTACAATTCATAAATAGTTATAAATATAACAGCAACAATTTGGTAATGGAGTGGATGGTTGAGCAGAAGATAAGATTCAAGCTGGAAAATAAGATAAAAATGGATGGCTGCGCTGGACGTTTCAATAAAAATCTTCATAGGAAATCTGTTAAAATCTGTGATCATTCTCCGTCGAGACTGAACAGAGTCAGGTTCAGGGGGGACCAATAGAGGCCAGAATTCCGGTGGATGAGCGACCAGATGTACGGGATAAAAAAGTTTTCGGGTTGATCTTCCTCAACGTAGCGAAATTTCAGGTCGGGAAATTTCTACAGAATTACGAAAAAACGAATTTAAGTTTGTAAAAGCTATTAGTTTTTGTTAGATTTGTTTTATTACTCGAAGGATGTCTGGAGACCAGTGTCGAACTCCGGCTTCGACCCGTTCCATGACTTCGGACACGGCAAGTTCTGAACTTTCGGGCCCAATTCGTTTCGTAAAATATTGGATGACCTGTAAGTATATTTGAGTAACGTATTTGACCGAATAATATAATAAGCACATAAAAAATCGTAGAAAACTGTACTTACAATGTCCAAATTGTATACCAAATCTTGCGTCGCATCATATTCCCGGAACGCGTCGAAAATATCCTTCTTGTAGAGCAACGTGTAGACTAAATGTCGATTCTGGGGGAGTTGATGGGTGAAGACAGAGTTTAAAATTTCCAACAACATTCGAATAACTTCTTCTAAAACGTTAATGTCTTGAACCATGTTACTCGTCTCTTCAGATTCTTCCCTGTTGGGAGTCTCCTTGTTGTGCTTTTCTAAACCGTCGATTAATTTGATGTGACGTTTGGCCAAAGTTTCGAACACGCTGATCAGCCTTTGAGATACATAGGGATGCAGAGAACGGAATTTTGAGGACATATTGGCCAAAGCAGCTAAACAATTGGTGTGAAGATATTTGTCTCGCATTTTCAAAATATTGTACTGAATTGTTCGAATGATGACCAGAATGATTAAACCGCCCAGCGTAATGTCGTTCACTTTGCGTTCAGTGTACCACAGCACCGTTTTGAGCATCTGAATAGAAATCATACACACATTTGAAAAAAGAAGTTGCTATTGTTATCTTAAGAAATATTTTGACAATCAATTCGACTTACGACATCATGCACTTGCTGATTAAAAAGTTGATCCTCGCTCAAAATGAGCATGACGATAAGGCTCATGTAAATGTGGTACGATGTGCCATTTTGTATTTCGATGTACAAAGTCTTTAAAATTGGAAGAACCTGTACAAGAGAGGGTTGCATAGTTAACTAAGCCTTAATAAGGAGGTGAAGAATTATCATATCTATCTTGTGAAATACGTATGTCTCAACTCACCAGAACCTCAATGTCGGATCGTGCCATGACATACGACTTGAAGGCATTGTTGCGATGAATGAGAAAATAAAGGAGCAGTGTTGTCTCATCGCAGTCCATTTTTTGGCAAATTGTCTCGTATAATTTGCAATAGTTGATCTTGAATAGGGGAGCCTCTATGCTGTGGGAGTCTTCCTCTACTGTAATCATATAATTATTCATATCAGTAGACACCCTAATTGTATTTGTTGACACTTAATTAATAAAAATTGTCATAAATATTTACCAGCTTCGTTGCCCGATGTGAAGAGTGCTTCGCGGTAGGAGTTTGGTAAGTCTCCCCCACTGCAGTGGTTTACCAAAATTAGGAGCAAGTAGAGGCTTTGATTGGCTAGCTTGTGTTGTTTCAGTCCTTCCAAAGCATCGTCCGTTTTGCCAAGGCCGACGCCTTTGCGCAGCATATTCCATATCCCACCTATTGACAGAAATTACGAGTTTATTATCTTGGCTTTAAACCATTGTGAAGTAAGTGGGACTCACTCGCAACGCCAATAACAATGCTGCCAGATTCATCATTGTGCCAAATCGAGTATGGGGGTTCCCTTTGTTCGACATAATTTAGGAGAAGTGCTCGTGTAAGCTGGGGAGCATAGGTAGAGGCGGCTCCCAACATCAAAACTCTGCATGACCAAAAATTCAATAACTTAAAGGATGGAGGCCACACGACTTCAATCAAACGCTTGTTCGGTTAACTCACTTGTACGGGAGCAACTTGTGCGCCGGCTTTCCCCAAAACATTTGCACGGAAAGGATCGTAATCAGCGTATTAATTGCTTCTAAATGTACTACGTACGTATTGCTCTGTAATGGTAAGTCGACTATCATTTTAACCAGCGTGTCCATCACTAGTTCTAAGAGGTCACTCTCTGATGCGAGAAGGGCACCAGCGTCTTCCTTCGAAGAGGAGACACCATTTCCATTCGCGTCTACCACAAAAAAATTCATACTTAGGAAACCAAGACCTTTGCGTCAATCTAGTTATGGTTTTCTTACTCGTCAAGAAGTCAAAGGGCTGAAACTGTTTCGCAAAGTCCTCTTCATTCAACACCTCGACAAAGTACTTGACCACGTTTCGAACCATGAAGAGCGCATTGTACGCCTGCCAGATGAACATGGTGTCTCCCGTTTGAACAGATGACTTGAGTTCCGACGCCCTCGCTATGAAGACTTTGACCAAGGATGCGAAATTCTTTGTGGAGCCGACATTCTCCAGCAACTTGTGGCGCAGAGAGTCCAGCGTGTTATCGAGGAGGAAGCTGTCATCCCTGCGCATTAAATCAAATAATTAATACCATGTAAAATTATGATGACATGAAATGTGACCCTACTCACTTTGTAAACACGGGTTTAAGCGAGTGTGAGAACAGCTTGTTCCAAATGGGGTCGTTTGGCGAGATGTGTTCTTTGCCGACGAATCTGTTGAGATATTCGTTGCCCTCGAGATCCGCCAAGCTGCTCGTGTTCAACCCCATCGTGTCAGGTCGGAAGGGGTCAGGCACGCCGGTGTCTGGTAGTTCCTTGTGGTATGTCGTCACCCAGGTCACCAGCTGAACAATGGATGAATAGCAGTCAACAGCAATTGACAAATCTACAGTTGCTGGTTGGGAGCTGTGTAAATTCTAATTGACAACACATCATCATCAACATTCCCGGTTTGTGGCTAATCTCAATGATTGAATGTGCAGCGTCATGTCGGATTGGAAACTTATCTAACTTCAGGGTTTCGCTGTGGTTTTAACCACTGTCCAAAATATGCATGCAAAATCTGTTTTAAACAGTTTTGGACACCCAATTTTGGACGTCGAAAATGTCCAGGAGTCTCTAAAATAGAAAGTGGGGCAAAATGTTGCAGGTTCTTCATTATTGGATTTTCTGATAATCCGTTGATGTAATCTCGCATTAATTTTGAGCATCTTGGTATATAATACGCCCTGGTTGAGAAAATTTCTTAATTTCTCGTCAGAAAACATATAATAAAAGTTTTCCCAAATTTTGTGGTATTATTGTACAGATAAATATGCTCGAAATTAATGAGAGATTGCATATCATGCATACATGGATTTTCAAAAAATCGTTAATAATAACATTTTGCCCCATTTTCCAATGTTGGATGCTTTTGGACATCAAAAATGATTTTGCTTTTATTATTCTAAACCCTATTGGATGGTGTCCAGTCCAAAAGTTTTAGTTTTTTAGTTCAAAAACGAAACACTATCTAATTGTAAGTTATTTTTGAAAATCATTACGTCTTCCTACCCCCCCTTATTTCTTATCGTACTTTCATGTAATTTTCATGTAATTAAGAGGATGAACATGATATGTGAATGAAATGATGGAGAAGAATCTGAGAATCTGAGAAGTATGCGACTTAATAAATGCACTTATTAAAGCATCGACCAACTCCGGATTAATAAATTGGTCCGAATATGCTAAATTAAACGAAACTGTAAACATTATTTAGATGTAGGAGTAGGAAAATCATCATTATTTTTTATTATCAAGCTAACTTCGGGGTCAAAATTTCCAGTAATTTTTTAAAAATCATATTTCATGTGTAAAGAGGTGGCAATTCGACTTAGGCTCCATACGTCGGTGGGGAGAGGAAATACGGTAAGTGAGAAAGTATCCCTCCATCAGAACGCCGACTTTTTGTGGCTGTGTGTAAATATATATGTACGTTTCATGGGGTATAGAAGATAGTAGTGGTATCACTTGTAAATGAATGGCTACAGATTTTTCTCACTATGCACTACAAGTCAGACTTCTCATTCAACAACACATGGGTTTCTTCTTGGGGAAAACCTAGTTGGCAGTTATTTTAGAAAACCGATTTCAAAAATTGATCTGAAAGTATTAATTTGGCCAACTGGGTGTCCATTGACTGTTGAAGGTTGGTCTTATTTTCGGACAAAAGTAAAACGCCACTAATGGACTCCTCCAACCCAGACTTTATCATTCAACCGAGCAATAAAGGTTCGTTTTTAATGTTTTATATTTGATATTCGAGAAAAAATATGATTTTAATTACCCATTGTTTTTGAAGGTGATTAGTTTCCAAGGTTTTTAGTGGTTGTAATAAGAATCCGTTGTAATTTGAAGCTGTATTGATATTTTGTTGAAAACACCACTGCTACGTGTAGAGTGTAATTTGAGCTTGTCTAAATAAAAGTTAGAATCAGGATTAGCGATAAGACTAGTTTTATAGTTTTTTTCGTAGAAGGAAATCAACCAACGACAGGTTGGATTTCACTAATACAAAAGTTATAAGCAAGGTGTATCCTGGACATAAATAGAATAAGAAATAATGGTTACGTGGTTGGACTTTATATTCGTTAGGGTTTTAAAGTTGGTTAGTTAGTTAGTTTTTCCAGCCAGCCAGTGAGTCATCAGCGTCCTTTTAGTCTTCTGAAAACAAACTTATCAGTTCTTTGTCATTTTTTATAAAATGAGGCGCAATGATAGAAACCTACCTCCCGAATGGGTGCCTCACCCCCCGCCCCACTATTTTTACAATCAGTTTCCCATGCCACCACCGCTACGACCACTTCCACCACCACGACAACTATTGTCCTATCCTTATCTTCCAGGCGATAACATCGACGCTCGACATCCTCTCACAAATGCACAGCCACAGCACACCATAACTTTAACGCTTACCTCCCCAGCACCCGGAGTGGGAGGAGGTGGGCTGCATGGGAGTGCACAACCCGGCTCTACTCCAGGATCACTTATCGTATCTGGAATTCCAGGATTAAGTTCGTCCGGAGGTCAGATGCATTATGCGGGGGCATCAATTTCAGCAACTCCAATCCCTCAAAATATTCAATCAAAGGTACAGTGGTTAAATATTGTTGATGCATTTATCGTATTGATGAAAATATAATACTTTGATTAATTTTTTTACAGGCGACGTCACAAAACTATGTAATGTCTGGACCTGGTGGTGGTCAGTCACTCATAGTTTCTGGAGCTACTATGATGCCTGGCTTAAATATGGGAGCTGGTTCAGGTCATCACGATAATCGGTCTGCTATTTACGGATCTCAGTCTGCACAGTCGAATCTGTGTTCAAAGGTAGGGATAAAATTTTAGTTAAATTAAACTAATAATTCATAACTTATATTTAAAATTTATTTATAGGGCACACCATCCCAAAGTTATGTAATGTCGAGTGGCTCTATCCAGTCCGGCTCTGCAGGTGGAGGAGGAGGAGGAGCAGGTCACGACAGTGGGGACGAGGGTCACTCTATTCATTCTTCTAACAACTCAATGGGCCATGACCAAGGACCTTCTTCTTCCGATTCGCACCAGTCGGGACAAACAGAAGTAAAAATTCTTCTCAAATGGTGGATGGGCATGTTGTCGTGATGCAATTTAAATTTCTATTTATTTCTCCATTTCAGCGTCTCAAAGTAGAGGATGCTCTAAATTATTTGGATCAGGTGAAATACAAGTTTGGAAACCAGCCACAAGTCTACAATGACTTTTTGGACATTATGAAAGAATTTAAATCCCAAAGGTAATATTTGCACACCGGAAAATGTACGTAGTTAGTAATATAATATGGGAAAAAGACTCACTTTTTAGCCATAGTTGTTACATTGTTGGCCTGGCGTGGGGGGAGGGGAGTTCTTTGCCAACGTTTCAAACTCTTGTTCTTGTTCAGAGCGGCGGAAGGGAAGAATTGCGTCTGTTGTGAAGGATATGAAATAATAGAGTAGGTTCTCAAATAGGACCGATAAGCTTTGTCGGCACGGACACCGACAAAGTTTATCGGTCCTACTTTGAGAATACTACTAGAGAGGTTGCAATAAGTAAAATAACAGGTCAAGGTAAAACAAACTTTAGCTTTGGCAGGGCACAATCTTATGTACTTACATTCACATATTAGGACCGCCAACAGTGGCCGCCGAAGGTAGGGACATGTGGGGATATTAACATTATAGTAGGAGGGGCGAGAGTGGTTTGTATAACATGGGCAGATGATGCAGACATCGAGTAGCTGTGGGGACATTGTCCATCTGGCCCCACGCTTCCGCTGCCACTGTTCACCAATACATAATGAAAAGTGATAAATTACATGGTGTGTAAAGAAGGTTGATTTTTCGGAATTTCAAATACCCAAATGATCATGGACAAAATAAGAGACTCACCTTGTAGGCCGGGTGTGGTTGGGGGAGGAGGGGGGTTGATTTGGTCCTTCTTCGAGGCGTCAGAAGCAGGCTATGAACACTTCACTAACAAGGGAACATACCGAGGTGTCCAACAAGTTAAGGGTCGACACCTATACCAAAATGACCACAACACATGACTTATTAAACAAACTGAAGGAATTTCCGCGTAAAATTCACTTTTTGTCACGTTGTGACGATATTTGTGACGAGCGCATGACCATCGGGTTGCCAGAGAGGGAGAGGCCGCCCGCTGAACGATCAGATCGACCACAGAGAAGTGTCGTCTTCACGTCGTCTTCACGTCGCCTTTAGAGATTTCAAAGTCTTTCAAATTTTGAAACCATTTTAAAATTGGCAGGAAATTTTGAACAAGTTTTGAAATTTTGATAAATTTTTAATTTATGAAACAATTATGACATTATGAAAAAATTAGAGGTGTGTTAGTTATTTGAAATTTGAAATCTCTGAAGTGACGTGAAGACGACGCTTCTCTATGGTCGACCTGATATGATCGTTCAGCGGGCGACCTCTCCCTCTCTGGCAACCCGATGGTCATGCGCTCGTCACAAATATCGTCACAACGTGACGAAAAGTGAATTTTACACGGAAATTCCTACAGTTCGTTTAATAAGTCATGTATTGTGGTAATTTTGGTATAGGTGTCGACCCTTAACTCGTTGGACACCTCGGTATGTTCCCTTGTAAATCCTTATTCCAGAAGAGGCCGGAACAGGTAAAAAATGTCGTGCCGTGGCCTCTTTGACAGAGGCCACGGCAACAGTGAACCTTCTTGAGGCCACGGCACGACATTTTTACCTGTTCTGTTTGTTTTACCTCGCGAAGGATTTTGCGAAGTGTTACAGGAAGGTCGGAAGGGTAGAATTTGGAGACGATGTGAGTCCACGTGCCTACTAATCCGACTTGTGTTGTGAGCGAGAAAGGAGGCATAAAAAAGGAACACCGCGCGCTGTGGTCTTTCTTTTCCCTTTTTTATCCCTCCTTTACTTTCCTTCCTCGGCTTCCTCACAATACAATTGGGAATCGGCACGTGGACTTCGTGGACTCACATCGTCTCCAAATTCTATTCTACCCTTCTGACGCCCCGAAGAAGGACCAAGTAAACGAGTAAGAATAAACCCCCCCCCTTCCCCCTAAGTGTTACTACAAGGTGAGTCTCTTCCTCCTTTTTTCCATGGTCATTTGGATATGCATAATTTTGAAATTCCGAAAAATCAACCTATTTTACACACCGTGTTATTTAATAAATAATATTTATCCACGACTTTTTAATTATTTATTGGTCGGCATTATCATATCATGTGAACATAAGACTGTGTCCTGCCAAAGCTAACATTGTTGTACCTTGACACGTTATTTTATTGATTGTTACCTCTCCATTATTTCATATCTTTTACGTCATCTCTCTGTGACGATGCACGGATGCACCTCTCTTGTTTGACAACCAAGATTTAATTTCCGCAGCTCTCTCAAAATCTCTCAAAATCTAATCACCTCTTTAATCCTAATTCATTGTGCTGTCTTATTTTGTTTCCAGTATTGACACTCCTGGCGTAATTTCCAGAGTGTCCAACTTATTTCGTGGGCATCCCGAGTTGATTGTAGGATTTAATACATTTCTTCCGCCAGGATATAAGATCGAGGTTCAAACTCACGATCAAGGGTCTCAAATCTCATACCGAGTGGACGGCGTGACTAGTTACGTGGTAACCAACATGCCTTCCATTCCTCCTCCACCGGCACCAACCCCGACACATCCCACTCTACCACCAGCACAACAAGTGGTTCCCCCCGGAGTTGGGGGTGGTGGTGGTGGGAACAACCCTCCGCAAATTATTCAGCACACAGCCTCGTCTACTGGAGGACCCATGCCACCCTTGAGGTCATCCATCCCGGTTGCACACTCTGGAGTCCCCGCGGCATATGGAGTACCAAGCGTAGTTGCGGGTGTCGCCCCTCCTCAAGGTGGACAAGGCTTGTCGAGCGTAAGTAATGGGAGCATTTCGCCTCCACCTCCAGCCGTGACGTTGACTCCGAGTAATGCCAGCAATTTTGAGAATGTGGTTGAGCCGACGTCCTCCTTTACGCATTCATTTTCATCACCTTTCGCACAAAATGCGTTCCCAAGTCTGCAGAGCCAACCTGTCCAGTTTAACCATGCAATAAACTACGTGAACAAGATTAAGGTAATCAACTAATAAAATATTAGTAAACTGTGTAGCTGTGTTTTATTGTGAAATCAGTTCACAAACTGTGACAAAATGTAGATTTATTGAAATTCGTTAGTACATATAATCCAGATTTTTGAAAACTTTTATCCACCATTGCACAGTTTACCCAGTTGCAACTTACAGAGATTAGCATTGATGAACGACCTAGTAATGGAAATTTTTTATATTTTCAGAACCGATTCTGTGGACAGCCGGATAAGTATAAGCAATTTCTGGACATTCTTCACTCTTATCAAAAGGAACAGAGAAATGCAAAAGAAGGCATTCCTGGCAAGACTCTCTCTGAACACGAGGTTTATTCTCAGGTCGCGAAAATCTTTGAAAATCAAGAAGATTTGCTTCAAGAGTTTGGCCAATTTCTTCCCGAGTCTAATCAGTCAGCCATTGTAAGTTGCAGTTTAATAGATTATGGCCTGCAACAGAGACAACAAGTAAGGAACCACTATTTTATAATTCAAAATGAATTGATACTTACTTTTGGAGGAAATATAATCTAATTTGTTATTTTGTTCCTTTGTATCAGGATATCAAACCTAATCTGTTGGAGTTGAATAAAAAGACGGCAAAAGTTGCTCCGCGAGATTACAGCGCTCCAGTGACCCAACCAACCACGTCCAGAGCGGCACATGCTCAGAGCGCTCCCAACAAGCGAGCCTCAACTGCAGCAGCTCATCCAGTGAGCAAGAAGCCCAAGCTTGCCGCTCCCTATAAGGATATTTCGGTGGCAGAAGCATCACGATATGGGACGTTGCATGACTATGCATTTTTCGACAAGGTAACTTTTGTATACATTTACAGAATGGTTTTGCTAATTGAAATGAATTTTTACAAATTGAAATAACTAAATTCAACTGATCCTGGTTTCAGTGTCGGACGATGCTCAAGCACCAATCCGTATTTGATAATTTCATTCGATGTTTGTACCTCTTCAACGAGGAAGTAATTTCTCGCCAGGAACTTTTGAACATGGTGCAGCCATTCTTCTGCAAGAATCCTGAAATGTATGGATGGCTTAAGGAATTTGTGAATCGTCGCGAGGAGCAAGCTGGCTATGAACCTATATCTCAAGGACACTTGAAGCAAGAACGCCCAGAAGAACAAACTCTTGAAATTGGGGAAGAATGTGAGAATGCAAAAATAAAATTAATTAATTGCACACCTTCTTGCTTAGTTTAAATCATGATGATAATTTACTGTCTTCATAATTTTATTTAGACTTTTCCACCTGCAAACGATTGGGTGCCAGTTACTGCGCCCTCCCGAAAAATCATGTTCCTGCTCACAGCTCTGCTCGAACTCCTCTCTGTCGAGAAGTACTTAACGACGTGTGGGTCTCATTTCCCACCTGGTCGGAGGATTCCACTTTTGTAACCTCAAGAAAAACTCAGTATGAAGAATATATTTGTCGCTGTGAGGATGAACGATTTGAGGTAATTAGCTACAATTTTATCATGCAAATTCTTTGTATTGTTAATCTAAGAAAATCGCTTTATTCTCTTAGCTGGACGTCATAATTGAGGCAAATGCTGACACGATTCGTACATTTGAAGCGGTCTCTCGCCGCATGGCACGAATGAGTCACGAAGAACTGAAATTGTTCGAGTTGACGGATGCTTTGGGCGGAACTTCGGATATTATCCATATCCGATCTGTTCGTCGCGTGTATGGAGACAAGGCTGGGGAAATTATTGAAGGTCTTAAACGACAGCCCTTTGCCGTGATTCCGATCGTATTGAAAAGATTAAAGTCAAAGGAGGAAGAATGGCGTGAATCGCAGCGAAGTTTCAATAAGATTTGGAGAGATCAGGTGGAACGATTCTACTTGAAGTCGTTGGATCATCAAGGACTCACCTTTAAGCAGAGTGACGTCCGAATGCTACGCTCAAAAGCGTTGGTGAACGAGATTGAAACTGTTTATGATGAGGTGAGTGAGGAAAGATTTGACTAGTTTTCTTTCTATATGTACGCAGGATTTTGAATCACAATTTTATAATTACTTACTAGCGTCACGACCAGGAAAACGGAGATTTGGAACACTCATTGTCAGGACCTCACTTGACTTTTCAATATGTTGATCGGGCCATGTTGGATGAAGCTACAAATCTGCTCCTGCACCATGTTCGACGTCAAAGTGGAATTCAAAATGATGACAAGCGGAAAATCAAGCAGTTGTTGAAACATTTTATTCCAGATTTGTTCAATCATACCAGAATGGATTTGTCTGATGATGAAGCTGAAGGAGGTACATAAATTTTGTATTTTATACTTAATGTGGAGCAAGTGTGGAGTGGAAATATTTTATTGTGAGCAGGTGGCCGAGGATCCAGTGAAGATTGTGATGATCGGGGTAAAAGTCCTGTAGACTTCTTACAAAATGGGGCACGCAACAACAAGAGAGGATCCACTAAGCGTGGAAATGCGAAAATTAAAAAGGAGGATGACGACGACAAGGTGGATCCTGCTTCTGGTTCGAAAGACGAGTCGAGAAGAACAGCGTACAAGCGGGCACTGCAAAAGCAAGCAGAAAGCATTCGAACTCGGCGACGATCTGGAACTCCTGGAAAGGAGAGTCGTCCAACCGCTTCAACTTCTAAGGGTACGGCTGGAGGGAAGATTAAGGTCAAGAAGGAGAAGGATGAGTTCGAGGAGAAGAGGGCACCAAGAGTTATTTTTGCTCCGCATGGAGATCAGGTACATAATATTTCGAGATTCCTATCAAACAGTAACAGTGAGCTTAAACTTGAACACTGTTTAACACTTATTATCTTTTGATTTAAATTCTTAGGATGAAACGTACACTCTATTTTACGCCAATAATGCTTGGTACGTCTTCTTGCGTTTGCATCAAATAATGGTGGAACGTTTAGGAAAGATGCTGGACACGGCAGCCAAAGTTCTACAGGAAGAACTGAAGTCTGGAAGTGCAAGTAGTGGGAAGGTCCCGCCTGCTGTGGCGTTGGGAATGCGAACACCAAGTGGGTGCATTTTATAATAAATCTAAATCTATCGATATCCACTAAAGTTCATGTATGTGTGTTTTCTAGATGGTTTGGAACCATCAGAGTATTTCCCTGCATTCATTGACATGGTGAAGAACGTATTAGATGGCAACATGGAGCCAAGCACATATGAGGACACGATGCGTGAATTGTTTGGCATCCATGCCTACATTTCTTACACGATGGATAAAGTTGTGACGAACGCTGTGCGACAGGTTGGTTAGCAATGCTTGATTGAATGCTGAAGAACAATATTCAAAATGGGTGTATTTTATTTGCAGCTGCAAACTTTAGTCTCGGACGAGGTTTGTATGAAATTTACGGATTTATTCCTCCAAGCAGTCAAAAAAGGGGGTGCTGGTGGATCCTGTGATACTTGCGATCAACGAGCCGGAGCAGAAATAACTTACCAAAAACAAGCAGAGAAAATAGATCCAGAGGAGAATTGCTACAAAGTTATTTTCGTAAGTCATTTGCGCAAATTTATTTCGTTACTTATTCCATATTCCATTCTTTGGTAACAAAGGAGGAGGGACACAGTAGGGTTTAATTGATTTAATTTGATTTAAACCTTTATTCACGTGTTAATAGGTATCAGTTTACAAAACTGGTTTAAAAACTAATTTAAGGGTGACCAATACCTATTTTTCAAAATCGTCATATAGAGCTGACGTTTGGCACAGAGGTTGATATATCTCCAACTGGAAGAATACCACTTTAAATTTTACAGATTTATGGAGTGACCCTAGGGGGTGACCCATATCAATTTTTTAAATTTTTTGATTATTTTTTAAAATTATTTTGAAATTACTTTGGAAATTATTTTGGAAATTATTTTTGAAAGTTGTGAAATTAGAAGATTATGAATTTAAATTGGAAAAATCAATTTAAATTTTTTAATTCTTTGATATGCATTTACGATAAAATTCAATGCAAGAAGTGGGATTGAGTGATAACCACGTTGGTGACTCAGGCTATATTATCAAGTCTGCACTGTAAGTTTTTGGTTTGCATACGGCCCTTAGTTTGTGCCAAAAAAATCTCACTTGGTACCCTGCAGAAGAGTTATAAGCGGCCCCGTTTTGAATTTGAACGCGATTTCTTTAGAAAAGCCATAAGCTAACCCTCCTTGCTTTATCCACTAGTATCACAAGTCATTCCGAATGACTATGGAGCTCTTGGAAGGTGCCAATATTGAAGAAAACGCAGTCGAGACTACCAAGTGGTCCGCGTACATTGATAGCTACTCTACCCACCCACTGACCGGGATGGACTCGAAAATGAAGAGTCTAATGAAACCGGCGTATCTCAACCGAAACGTCCGAGTTGGTCAGCAGTACCATGCAAATAAATCCTACCCACCCGAAGTGGCTCGGATTTTCGGCCTGGGACCTGAAGAAGAGGATGTGAAGCCCATCATTCCACCTTTCCCAGAGAAACCAGTGTCTACGGTCGTTGCAAGTAAGCGACCTCTCGGCGGCAAAGGAGAAGCTGCATCGTCAACTGGAGCAAACTCATCAAAGTTCATGCTCAGCCAAACGTTAGCTCCGGTGTAAGAATTCCTTAGAAAACTCCTCATTCTTGTGGAGCGAGATGAACAAATATTACAACTTTTTTCTCCTTTCTTGCCCCGTTATTTAGAACACCGGAGGAGGCCGAAGAGTTAGAGAAGCAGTTGGAACGTAACTCCAAACGGAGGTCGGAACTTGTCCAGAAAGAACTAGAGTAAGATTTTGATTGATTTCGCTTTTTTCTTTCCTCTGTTTTTTACTTCTTCCTTGCACTACTCAAACTGAACCTTCACCTGAGCTGAGCCATCATTCCGTCCACGATTATAGAGTCGCTGCCGCTGCGGGTACCAGTGGTCCTGTGCCGTTGATCCCCTGTTTTCCTAAAATCTCATTGGCCAAAAAGAATCTGACTACGAATAATCCCGTGTAAGTTCCAACACCAACTAACAAAACAAACAAACAACTATAAAACCAGAAAGAAAGAAGATCTTACTACTTCACTATTTTTGTTTTTACTTTTTTAATTTTTCATCCAATTTTTTTGCACTATAAATTTATTCCTAAATGTTTCTTCTCGAAGTGTGGGTTGCAGTTTGGATATTTTTTGTAGCACTCCCGAGGAAGCGGAACTCCTGGAAAAGCAATTGGAAGCTAATGCCAAACGGAGGGCTGAAACAGCTGCTGCCATCAAATCGCCTTACGTCATTAAAGAAAATTTGCAGTGCAAATTTCATCCGAATTCTTACCGGATCGTGTATGTTGTGAATAGTGAGAACTACTTTTACTCGAAGGGGGCACTTAAAAGGGCCAAACAGGTGAGGCTATAAACTATTTAGAGTGAAAGATGTACAAATAATTACATTTCAAAATTTAGTAATTACAAAGTTTCGGACAGTACTGCTAATTTTGTATTTCGGTTTATGAATTTCAGAATCACAAGAAAGTGACGACCCGAATGAACGAAGCATTTGGCCGCTGGCATCAAATATGGATGGAGAATAGCGTCACTGAAGATCAAATCATGCGATGCGAAGATTGGTTGATGTCGACCGGGATAAAGAATTCCGATACAAAGATCATCTCCAGTAATGACATCAGTCTCGCTCCATACCGCCCATTCAATCGCTATGTAGTGAAGAAGTGAAATAGGTAGATAGTTAGTGTAATTTATTATTATAATGCAAAATTGTAGTAATCGTCAGTATGTTGGGGATGCGGGATAAGTTGGATGTAAAGAGAGGTATGTACAAGTTGAAGGAAAGCTTATAAATCTTTATTAATAATTGTAGAAATTAAGGAAATAATTTATATATATGAGACATTTTATTGGTAATATGTAACTACATATTTTTCAATTTATGCTATAACTTTGTTGACTTATGACTAAAGGTTACATACCTATTATATATGACTATATATATACTGATATGTATGCAGACATGAGTTTAACATGTTGAAAATCCGTTTAATATTGAAATAAATAATGTAGAATTTCCACTCTTTTCGTGTAAACTTGAACTGAGCACTGTAGGTATTATTCTTTATTGCATAGTAATTAACAAAGTTATTCTTCATTGCATAGTAATTAACAAAAAATGATAAATAGTAGCTCCAAAAGAATTTTTCCTTATAACAAACCGAACTCCGGTTTTCGACTGATAAAAACATTTTTTACAAAACCGGTAAATCGAAAAGTGGTTTTACCAGGTTTTAGAAAATCGGCCCCACTGCCAAGCATTTGACTCATGTTTTCGGCCATGAAGATTTCCAGGGTTCGAAACCACCTCTTAGATGCGAGAAGGTTGACGGGGACAATTTTATTAATTTTATCAAAACATGTAGTGCATAAATAAACGATTATCAATCAACATCTAAAAATCTGAATAGTTTATTCTCAAATAGTCAGGTACACACACTACTATTGCATTACATGCCTAAACCCGACGAGTAGTCAGAATATAAATCCGCCGACTATGCATAGTAATATCGAATATTATCCTAATTTAAGTTGCTACCTTAATCGGTGTAGAATTTTCCAGTAATGATGTCAAGAAGAAATACAAAACAAGTTGGTAAACTTGTTAAAAACGTGTACGGGAGGTTTTAAATATTTAATAAAATAATTTGACAACTACATTTTACATGACAAAATCCACACATGGCGTTTCTTCCATTATGCCCGATTACATGTTTATGTAAGCTCATATTTTTATTTGAGTAGAATGGATGACGCAGCATCTAAAACTCTGGGATATACTAACTAATATACTAAACAATGAACATGGCAAAACATTGGGAAATTGAGAATCGGAAAGGTAATAAGGAATTTCAGTCGTTTTCTGGCAGCGTTAAGATCTCTGCCCCGTAGTCCGTAATAAGAATCGTGTGTTCGAATTGAGCTGTTCGAGCCCCATCCAAGGTCACTGCGGTCCAACTGAGGAAAATAGATATACGTTAGAACACACTTAATTACTAGTAGTTCAGTTTATTTTCGGAGCTTTATATACCCATCTTCTAACACGACGATGTTTTCCATCCCCTGGGTGAGTACGGGTTCGACGGTGAAAGTCATTCCAACCTCCATTTTTCCAGGGTATGGATAATCTGAAGAAATTATAACATCATATAGCAAGTCCAAACTGTATTCTGGTAATTAATATTATTTATGAGGGTAATCACCAATGTGATATATGTCAGGGGCAGCATGAATTTGATGTCCGATTCCATGTCCGGTAAAACAAGGAACAACGGTGAACCCTTTCTCTTCGGCGACATCTTCAATAGTTTGACCTATTCAAAGAGAGTACTGATTAGAGTTTAATATGTCCTTGAAGGGGAGCAAGTTATTCATTACTACCAATTCTTTGAAAAGGAACGCCCGGTGCGCAAACCATCACTCCATAATCTAAACACGCTTTCGCCGCTTCGAGTAATTTCAACCCCATCTCATCAACATTTCCGACACCGACTGTGGTTGAGCAATCGCCATGAAAGCCGTCAATGTAGACCTATTACCAGGACTTGATCAAAATAATGATGCTAAAACCTGTGACTATTATTAAAAGATTTATCAGAAGAGCTCACCATAACATCAATATTAATAACGTCCCCATCCACCAATTTCCTATCGTCTGGAATCCCATGGCACGCCACATTGTTCACACTAGTGCACACAGACTTTGGGAAATTTCGATAGTTCAGCGGTGACGGATAAGCGCCCTGTTGGATCGTGTAGTTGAACACAAAGTCGTCAATGTCCTCCGTCGTCATACCAGGCTGCGTTTTGTAAAGAGGAAATTACTAATAATAATTACCAATAATGCTTTTACTAACTATAATTTAGAATGCGATGATGACCTACCTTGACCTGCTTAACTGCAGCGTTCAAAACCTTCCTCGCAAGGAGGCAAGCATTCCTCATCTTATCAATGGACTCAGGTTTCTTAATTTCAATTGTTCTCGCTCCCAGTTGCAAGTTTGGATGGCCCGTCTTCCAATAATCTGGTTTCTGAATGTGGTCCGGGATTTTACGTTCGACAGTCGTCACATTGCCCAACTTAACCTTATCATACTTTCCAAAGTCCCTGTAAAGAGAGAATAAGATATCCATTAATTAAAATAAACTAACGACTCTACTTAATTAATATATATAGTTTATCCACTCACCTGGCGAATGGATTATTAACCAACTGATGACTCCCTCCATCTCGACCATCCTCCCTCCTTCGTGGCGGAGACGAGGTTGAAATGCAACGACGACACGGTCGATAAGATGACGACAGTTTATCAAATAACCTACGACCAACGGCGGTCCTGCTAGTAGTAGACTCACGAAAAAGAAGAGCTGCCTGAAGCATGGCAGCTCTACTGGAACAACTCATAATTGTAAATGTGGATAAGATGTTATCAAAATAAAATTGTCTCTCTTCAAAAAAGTTAACTCAAATTTTACACATGTATAATCCACTCTTTCCCGCAGTTGAGTTTGCCAGTGGTTTGCCGGCAGGAGAATCTCTGTCAACTTCTTTGCTCTGCTCTGGTCAGTTGGAGAGAAAAAGTGCAGGTTGAAGGACTACGCGAATTTTCCAGGTCGTCTTTTTTCCAGTTCTAGTCTTATCTTGGTGGTCTTATCGATCCGCCACTACGTGGTCATGACCCGTCATAAGAGAAACGTCCCTCGGCCGAAGCCCGGACAACCTCAGGTTGATGAGGAAACTGGCACCACGGATAATCCACCCTCGTTTTATGTCGGGTTTGTCGTGTATTTGAGTTTTTGTGGCTTTGCCTTCAATAATATCCATATAGCCCAACCGGAGCCTTATCTGGACGAGGTATTTCATGTACCTCAGGCCCAAAAATTTTGCAACGGGACCTTTAATCAGGTATAAGGATATAGTTTAACTCATCCGAGTTTATTAATTGATGATGATTATCATTGATTGTGGTATTTTTTCTAGTGGGACCCTAAGATAACGACTCTCCCTGGTACATACTTGATCTCTGCGGCGACGGTGAAACTGGTGGCGATGTTTGGCTTTGGTGGCAGTGACGAGGATGACGGTGGATGCCCGACATTTTTCTTGCGGTTGTTTAATTTTATGATTGGATTCCAAAACTTTCAATTGATAAGAGGAATCTTGGAATTCTATATGAAGGTGAGTCATAAAATTGATCGTGAGTCGTGACAAACCGAGATTTGATATTAATTTTGTCGTGTGTGCAGGGGGAAAACGAATGGAAAATTATCCTGGCTGCAGTGAATGTTTCGATGTTTCCGGTGTTGTTCTTTTTCAACTTTCTGTTTTATACAGACGTCACTTCCACTTTTTGGCTCCTCTTGATGCACTTGTTATTCATTAGGAAAAGCTTTTGGAGTTCCGCCATTTGTGGTGAGATGGGATACGATAAGATTCATATGATAACTACTTTACTGATGAGAATTATTTATTAATTCTATGTTTGCATTTGTGTAGGTGCCTTGTCCATCCTCACCCGTCAAACGAACGTTGTTTGGGTAGCCTTTCACTGTATGCTTATGGTGTTTGGCAAAGTTGAACAATTGATGAAAAATGAAAGTGTGCCACCCACGGAAGTTACTGATAAGAACAAGAAGTCACGGCAACGGAAATCAAGCCACAACTTGGCTGGACATTCGCAAGAGCAACGTGGCAGTGCAACTAAGAAATCAACTTGGGAAATTCTGATGGATCTGGCCGATCTGGGCAACATGGGTGGCTACATTATCACCATCTTGGGTTTTATCATTTTCGTCATTTGGAATGGAGGGATCGTCGTAGGAGACAAGGAGGCCCACTCGGTAACCCTGAATTTCCCCCAGATTGGATACTTTACCATCGTGTTTGGATTATTCGCTGCGCCTTACATAGTATCCCGCATCACAAATACCGTCTCCATCGTTATGAATAATATACCGTGGATCTTCTTGGGAACCATGGTGGCTCTGGTGGTTGTCCATTTCAACACGGTCGCACACCCCTACCTCCTATCGGACAATAGACATTACCCGTTCTACTTTTGGAAAAACATTATTCAGACTTTGCCCTGGGGAAGGTATTCTCTCGCTCCGAACTACGTCCTCATCTGGACCTTCATCTTCAGTAATTCGCCCGGTGACAAGTTTCCTCACTACTCGGTCGCCCTATTCATCTCTGCCGTCGTCCAACTCGTCCCTCAACTCTTATTAGAATTCCGCTACTTCATTCCGGTCTACTTGATGGCGCGTCTCGCCATACCGAAAGCGTCCTGGCTAGAGTTGATTATTGAATTTTTTATCGCATTTGGCATCAATCTTGCCACTCTGCATTTATTTGTTACTCGACCGTTTTACTGGCGCGATCATCCGGATGAGCTTCAGCGGTTTATGTGGTAGGAGAAGCTACACGCACTGATTGTTTATTAATTCCTTGTTATCCTGTGTGATTTGTTGTTCCATTTATTTATTTTTATAATGATAACGCGTCTAGCGGGCCTAGCACCACCAGAGTAAATTGGTGCTACTAATGAAACTTGTGCTGGAGTATCTTTCTACGTCAGCTTGTATCACTGATAAAATATTTTTTATATGCAACCGTACTTAATAATTTATAATATCAATTCCTTTAATGTTCTGTTAAACTGTATAGTTTTTATGGGTGGAAATAAGAAAGGCTAAATTTTTGTACTCAATATTTATATATTCCTTCACTAATAAAGCACTTAAACAAAATATTTCTAAAACTCAAAAGACTAGAATTGTGCATGTAAATGCCGGTTAATTTAGCTGCGTACGTGCGAAGTTGAGTCTCACATTTTTGGTCCCAACTTTTTGGCAGACTACTTCACGCATGGATGCATATTATTATCACGACAATTAATGAAACATGAATGCACAATGGAGACGAGACGACATTGATGAATCTCACTTTCACTTATGCATACCCGATCCAATTCATTCATCCAATCCGACCTGCAAATATGTACGAGCATGTAACAAGTCGCACTCAATATTTTAATGTGCAGGTTGTGTAGTACGAAAGTGAGTGAGTGAGTGAGTGGAAATTTTGTAAGTGATGCAAAGAACTCAAGCTACTTTTTGCGATCGATTTGTCCGTCAGCATGATAACCCCCTTCGTCAACCTTTTTGAGATCTGGTTTGAGATGTCGATATCAATTTTTTAAAGAGAGAATATATTAAGTAGCTGACCTTGTGGGTCAAACTTGTATCCTTCAATACAATATGCAGGATTATATAAATAATCCTGCAGAAAATTTCCACAGGTTTTATTCTTCAAAACCATATGAGCATAATTCATTGTGTAATTTTCTCTACAAATCGCTCTGCATACAAATTTTATGTAGAAACTTAAGCCAATTTTCCACAGGAAAACCGTTCAAATTTTTAATCGAGCAGTGTCTGTATATGGAGTAGGTCAAAATGTCAAATTTTCATATCCAGTACCCAAATGAAATGATGCATGTCAATAATGTAGCATACATATTATGCAGGATTTTCAGCACTTCCCTTCCTCTACTTTATTCCTTCTGTTGGTAAAGTTTACACTGTTATGACTGGAATTTGAGGAGGAAGCCGCACATGACTTTTTTATGATTCGTTATTTATTTATTTAGCCGAGAAGCTTTTGGGATGGATTCGATTTCTCTCAAATCCATCCTTCTTCTTCTGGATGGGAAATGTTACGGCTCATCTGTCACATTCAATCACTCTCCCACCCACCCAGCCACCCACTTATCACGGGAGGGAGGAAATGTGATGGTCCTTGTTCCCGTCGTCGTCCTCCCGTATTTATTACCACAAAATGTGCACATCATATACTTCCCGACGTGATGAAGAGTGACACCGGAAATGCGAATTTCCATACCAAACTCTCTCCGCATGAGCTCCATTACAACGTCTCATCCATCCCCCAGAGAGAAAATAGTAAATAGTAAATACGTACGTATTACTACTAACGATCGACATCTTAATTAATCGATATGCAAATATGTACGACCTACACTATTTTATTTGATGTCTTATTCCACTCTGTAAATATTTACGTATACCTTTTGTCCCAAGCGGTATTATTGTTCTGGTTTTAATTGTTCCATGCGTGTATGTACGTACATAAATACATTGTTCAGCACCCAGTGTGTAGCAAGACTGATACATACATACATGGCCAATCAAGGTTGCATTTTGCCAAACAATTGCCAACAGTCATAAGTCAACTTTAAGTAAACACGCTCAAATTCACTTTCTATTGATGGATTTTACATGATTTTAGTTTTTCAATCTGACTTTTTTTTTATTTATAGATAAAAGTAAATTCCTACATGTTTCTGTTTAGTGTTGTTTTAAGAAAAGTGTAAATATTTATCTGGCAACGAAGGACCAGCCAACTTTCCCCGTTTTTCTTCCGTCACAATCGCCATTTTCATTGGCATCATCTATAAATTGGGAGAAGCCAAGCCACACAAACACGGTAAGTGTTTGTTTATACTTACACTTCTGCCAATTTTTGTTTGGGGATGGATTGCATTTCATCATTATTAGTACACAGACAGACAGATATCTACGTAAGGAAAGTAGTCGTCGTGGTCGTCCTCTTTTTGACGTAAACTCTTTTCTCCACAAAAGTCATGCACTCTTGGCTGGCTGGCTAACTTTCTGCCAATACTAGTAACGCAATGGACTGTTTCTTTCGTCGTTTCTTTTTTCGGTGGTGCCAGGCACGAGAACGGCGTGACGAGGGAGAAACGGTGAGTGAAACGCCGGAGATAGAGAGGACAGATAACTTTCCCCACTCTCTCCACTCCTCGCTCAGTACCTTTCTCCGGCTCGGCCAGGACGCAACTTGCACAAAGTAGAGCTCCTCGTATTTACTTCTTCTTGGGGCTACAAGTACTTCTATTTTGGGTTTGTGGTTTTGTGTGTGTGTTGTTGTTTGTTTTTTGGATATTTCCACCTTCCACCATCCAATCCAAGCCGCATCCACCCGTTCGAGAGAGAAGGGGGAACGGATGGGATTAGGGGAATAGAAACTGTTTAAAGTTCAAGGCAAGAGTGTGCTTGATGCCAGTTCGGAGGGGAAGAAATCGCTTCATGCAAAGTGGGAGGAAAATTGTATCACATTTTGCTACAGAGTAGCTTCATCATCAGCAGCAGCATCATCCCCACGAAGAGGAACTCGTGTTGCTAAAAGGTAAATGAAAAAAGAAAACTTTCACTTTTTTTCGAGACGATTTTGTTCCCAGGAAGAAGGAAAAGTTTGTTTGTTGGTATTTATCCGTGATGGGTTTAGTTGAACGGAAGTGTGGCAGCGGCATCGGTCGCTTGTTGTTGGTCGTGTACAATTGGTTGTCCACCGCCACCCGTTTACTTGCTCCATCATCGTCGTCGTCATCATCCCTCCAGGCAGGAGAAAGTTTGGCAGAATTAGAGTCAGCCAGCCAGCCAGCGAGTCTCATTTTCTCTCTCCCAGAAATATCCAAGTGCGTGGCGTGTGGAAACGACCGATTGTATTTGGTCACACGACACAGTGTCAAAATAAAGCGTCCCCAAATTGCTGGAAGGGTTGTCGTAGGGAAAAGATTTCTTGGCTCCTTCCTTCCTCTGCTTTTCTTTGCATGCCGTGATTTAATTTTTGCTACTCGTTTTCTCCGTGGCCTTGCGTGTCGAGTGAACGATTCGATTTCTCGATGTGCATTGCATGAGGTGTCGTTTGCCGTGTATGGACATTCGTCTGCTGGCGACTACTTACTTTTGTGTAGTGCATACGTAGGTACGTGTATACCTAAATGGTTGGAAATGGAAGTGTGGATGGAATAGAAATGTAAACAGGTCGGGCCGTCCGTCCTTTTTCCTCGTCCCGTGCATGCTATATTGATTCATTAGGGGGCACAACAAAAAGTATTGATTGCACCTGCTGCCCACCAAACTGGAAGACAAACTGCATGTACATTATATATTGTATGCGTCGATGGATGGGTTTTCCTGGCTCCCCTCCTCCCAACGTATTATTGTCCAGGCCGAGGTTTAGTTTGGGAGAGAAAGTTGATCCTCGGATAAGTGAAATTGTGCTGTCTGCTTGCCTCCCGTCCTGGGAGAGATTCCAGGTGGTCAAGCAAAGCAAACCTGGGCCAAGTTTCTCCATTCCACATTTTTCCGAGTATGAGGTCAACACGTGAAGCTGTCATAAATAGTGAAGCTGGTGGTTGTTCCTTGGCTAATTGATGGCCACAGGGATGCAGAGCGCTTCACATACAGGTGAGCCTGGAATGTGTAATGAGCATTCGTATGTACGATACGATGGAGTGAAAGTAGACGCAATGCGGGCAGTACGTTTTCCCCACTAGGCCGCCGGTCAGGTGTTTTCTCTCGTCCCTGTTATGCAAGGTTGATGGCGTATTTATAATGATGGATGGAAGGACTGTAAAAATGTGTCATCGATTTGAGTGGGGGGTCAAGGCATAGTTCACACCAGGGGGGCAGAGGTCAAAATTCCCTCACATGCTTTACGTACGACCCTTGACATACGTGATGACGATGAAACGACACACTTTCATGTATGTAGTCCTGATTAATTCAGATTCATGATGAGGATGAATGTACTGTACATCATGTAAATACATAAGCGAGAAGGATGTATGTGGGGCAAGATGAGAATAAATCCAAATTTCTCTACTTTCTTGGATCGGAAATTGCTCCGATTTTCCACACCTTCGAAGACAGAAAAAGGCCAATATGTATCTGCTGCAGAGAGTTGCTTGTAAGTCTGTCGACACACATTTCCCATCCATCCTCCCATTCGGGGGATCAAGGCGATGGGCGATTATGCATTAAAGGTGATCCCCTCTCTCCAACCTGACTTGACTGTAGGTGGGTGGGAGTTGGGAGTGGTGGTGGTTCGTCCGTGTGTTCATTTTCCCATAACATTATGTAATGTAATCCTGCTGGTAGTGGTGAAAAAATGGCACGTCGAGGTTTGAATCCGTCATGAAATTCATTCCTTCGCAGTCATGCAAAGGAAGGATGAAATCTCAGCCATATTTAAACCCGAGAATCCTTTCTTCTTCCTCATGGAGCCAGTTATTATGCAGTTCGTGACGGTGGTGGATGGTGGTAGTGGCAGCTGCGACCACATGGACGTTATTATTATCACCGAGTTATGCAACGCCAATCGTAATCAACCACAACATTCATTATTAGCCGTAGGTACATATTGAGTCGTTTTGTACGGACATATTTCGTGGACAACGACGAGGGTCTGGGACGGAATGTCTCAAAATTGAGGAGACTATCTATACTTCCACCCACTCCATAACTCAGCACATATTTTGTCTTGTCAAACACGAACCAAGATAAGAACATATTTCATTCTTCATTCATTCATATCTTTATATTTATAAACTATTCTGTCCATCCGAGACGTTGGGAAAAAAAATTCAATTCTGATGCAAATCCATACACATTGTACACTCGTGAAATATGATTTAGTCGCAGGAAGCAGAGTGAAAAAGATTATTTTGTCGGCGGGGAAAAGAGAGATATGTCCGTTTTTTATTGTGTCGTCGTCGTCCCCTCGGAATTGGACTGTCCAGCCCACCACTGGACGAGACGACGTTTATTTACTCTTCTTTAGAGTTCCAGACGGGAAATCTGATGAAAAACGTCACTTAAAATTAATGACCAATGCTAATCTTTCTTTTTTTAAAAAAGTGAACAACAATTTTCATGCGATGTACAACTCGGAATTTCGTCTGGTCAATTCCCCACAAAAAATAATTTGCATTCTTCGATACATAATTCCTATTACATAAGTCATCCCTACGACGGAGGAAGTCGGGTACGTGTATGAGAAGTGGCTGATAAGACGGTATCCTTCTCAGGCAGCATCTCCGTTATGTATACACACACACATCCTTTGGCGAGATGACATTAAAACATTCTTCGTTGTGAACTACTACATTGTGGGTATTGGATCGTTCGTGAAGCAAGAATAATAAATTTCATGGTTCACACTTTTGGGCAGCACGGATTTCAGAGCTTTATTCGTGGAGTGTGTGGATGCACATGTGTAGGAGGTGAGATGAGACAAATGTCTCCCCTTCCGTCCGTTCCTCTGCTCGGCCCGTTCTTTTCATGTCAGTCGAACATTGGACATGAAAGTGTGAAGTTATTTCGCCAAGTCGTTTCTTCAGTCTGGCTTTAGTTTCAATTTGTGGGCCTGCTCGTGGGTGGCTTGGCCACACCGTGTCGAGAGCGAGGAGTGCGAAATATAGTGTGGGATAAGAAATGGTTATCGTGGTGGTGTCGACTACTTACTTTCTCTCCTCGGGTGTCCGGCTTACCATGTGGATTTGTCTCTGGTTGTGATGGATTGTGGGGGTCACGTCCATGTGACGAGGATGCTCCAATAATAAAAATAATAATATCACGGGTTGGGTGGTCATCAAGTATTTAGTGACATCACTCATCCATCCAGCGCCTCCCCTCTATTTTCGGGTGAGTTTGAGCAAATTAATAATTGAGACGGGTTTGGTGGACGTCGGAATTTTATCCATTCTTTTTTTGTCGCTCTCTTTTTCTGACGTAGTCAAGTGTGACCTTGCAGTTTATTTACTAAGTCATGACATGACATGATTCCCATTCTTGTCACCAATTCTATATATAGTTTAGCAGTGTTACGACCTCCCTCCCACCTTTCAGTATTGTTGGCATTGTTGTTACCCGGATGACAATTACATTAACTTGACTAACACACATCTCGTTGTGATCATCACAACTGCGACACGTATGTAGATATGTACGTTTGTGAGAGGAGGCATTAAAAAGGAGACGACCTTATCCGTCCAATTCGCATTAATTGTTAGCATCATCCGTTGAATTGCGACATGCCATTTGATAATTCACAGTAACTGGAGCACATCAGGAGGAGGACAGACAAAAGGGATGCGGCACGATCAGCTCGGCGGCACGCAAACCATTTATGATTATTATTTAGGGATATGTACATAAGTGCATTCATATCGTGGAGATATGTATGCTCACTTACAATTTGGGAGGGGTGGTTAGCACTGTCCATTGTGAATATCCGCCCCCAAATTGTTGTAATACGCGTATAAAGTAGGTAATGAGGGGATCTTTTTGGGTGTCTGGCAGCGATTTGCTGAATATTTGGTGCCAAATTTAGTGCAATTAAAACTTTATTATAGAACCTTATCTGAAAATTGGGTTTCAAGAAAATTACAAAGCAAAATATGCACAAAAAGAGGCGATTTTTAGTACGCGAAATATATAACCCTCATCATTTAAGCATGCACTTCACAATCCTGCATACCCTCGTGATTTGGTTATTTCAATAATTTCAGAAATTTGTAAATTTGCCATTTAAACCAAATTGATGAATGCGAATTTTTCTTGATTATGCACCAGGTTTTAATGCATTAAATTTGGCAGAGTTTGACCCAAACTGTGCCAAACATGACGCAAGTCGGTGCTTCACACCCAAAAAGGTTCCCTCGCTAGCATACATACTTATAGACCACCAAATTGCATCTCATATCATCATCGTAATAGTGAACTTGATCCGCACCGTGAAACATGAAACGTGACAACAATCATAAATATTCTGAGGATGATGGCTGGTGATGACTCGGCGTCATAAATTAAATGCACAGGAATGTATAGCATCATAACGCGAGTAATCCTACATGCATCATAAATCATTATCATTAAATGCGTAACAATGGATTAAATTAATTATCAGAATTTTTGCCATACTTCAAATTTTCGCAGTAGTCTCGCTAAGGGTTGAAAGTTCACAAAAAAAACTTTGCACGATGCATAACTGGATTTGTCCAGTTATGGAAAATAAACAGTTCTGTTTCCATCAAGATTTCGATTACGACTTAATTGCCAATCTTTCCTCTGTTTATGCCGAATTTCCAACTACTCGTCTCACTAATTTCCCGTACAATTTGGTTATTATGCATGCATAGCTGGCAAAATTGGTTCGGTTCATTGTAACGTGCATGATGACTTCCGTTAAGTGAAAGAATTCATCTCTTTCTTATTTGAACAAAGACACGCAAAAAAATCTCTCAGTTTCGGATACAGGATGACAAGTAGAGTAGATCAGCTCCTCAGTCGGCTCCTATGGTGAGACGTTTGCAAGATGTGTAATGCTCTGTTGACTCCATTATTCGCATTTTAGTGCAAAAAGATAATCGCCGTCTGTTGCGAATTCTCTGCTTCTTGGTCCATTTTCATGTACGACGAGGACTACTGGGTGACACATGATGGAACGATTTGGAGCATTTATATATATTTTTTAGTATTCTATCACATTTCATGACTGCCAGTTGTCGTGTTACGCAGTAAATTCGTATTTTATATTTTATCTCGTCAAGGTTGCGGCACATTCAGTTTTATTTATTTCACTGCGTACCCGGTTACTTCATTTATCCCCTCTTAATTTTATTTTCCTCTTTATTGCCCATTCGCAGAAACACGAGGGCAGGATTAGCTCAATTACCAGGCACGATATCCAATCATTTAATCCTACTTCAAGATATTTATGAGGCAAAAAAACTGGGGATTATCTTTCCCAGTTGAGTCTTAAGATTAGTTGGAAAAAAATAGCGGCAGAGTTCCAGTTAAGGGAAAATTGGTGCTAATCCTCTTCTTACACGTGTATCTAGTGGACAATGCGATGGAAAAATTCATTTCGAGTGACGCAGTCCATCCTGCACGTCGGATAGGAGGAGTGCTATGAAAATAAATGTGTACATCATCTCCGGTGGTGGTGAAAATTAATACCTACGTATTTACCAAGCATGCATAACTCCTTGTTATTCCACTTCTGATTTTATTATTTGACAGATAAGAGGAGAGATAATACTCCGTCCGTTTTGATCACTCTTCAAAAAGTGAGATTTTCTACATAAAAACCATTCGTCACCCGACCCAACAACCCATCCTGCATGTATCTATTAATCCTTATCGTATTGGACACCTTGTTTGAGATGTTGACATCCGTGCATGGGTTCCAGTAAAGTGATATTTATACGTAATTGTGATTTGATAATGATTCGATAAAACTGGACTTGATCTGAGAACAATGTGATTTTTGTCCCTCATTTATAAATACGATGGGGAGGTTGACACATTGAATTGATCACTTGACACTTAAAATAAACTCTCATTGTGTGTGTGTGTGGTTACAGGCTATACTGGGAACAAGGACGTGCATTCTTACCTAATTAAGCCGAGAACCAGCAACAGTTCGTTCAACGTGGTGCGGGGAATGGTCACATTTAGGCGGAGGGGAAATTCTTCTTCACTCGGACGGCTTGATTTCAAACTTGGACTTGAAATTGAAACAGTTTTCGTGGATTAAAAAAAGAAATAGTGTGAAAGTGGATTTGAGGAATGTGCTGGATTGGACTTGATAAAATTTAACTGCCACGATCGACCGATAACCACCATTTGATGGAATGATGACCACTTGACTACCACCGAACGCCACTTGCACACTCTCAATTTCTGCTTCTTCCACTAAAATTACCACACCAGACCTGTCGCCACGTAAAACTTGCTGACCATGGCCGTCAGTCCGTTGCACAAGTCGCTCTTTGTCGTGATTTGCATCGGAGTCTCCTTCTTCATGCTGACTCTCATCGCGGTCCATCAGCCTCAACAGGTAAAAAAGTTGCGTGGGTGTCGCTTTTCCGTATCCCAGCGGGATTTCGTGCCCTATATTTTACAACATTTTATATACTCCTCCAATTATCCCAGATTTCTCGGCAAGTTGCGAAATTTATGACAAAACCCAATTTGTGTAAAGTTAAAGTTTTCCTTGTACAAATTTATTTTGCCGTGTTACGCCATCACCTCCAAGTTCTGGAAACTTGTTGGGTGGCATTTTGTTAATCCATTTTCCCCGGAAAGTTCTTCTTTCCGTCAGAAAGTAGTAGTTGTGTGTGATTGCTTAAGAGGGTACGAAACGGGTGGAGAGATCCTTTTACGGACTGAATAATTAATGTGTCACTACTGTTCACACAGACGGGCTACCTGGGAGGAGGAAACTCGATGGAAGAGCTGCTGGCTGGACGCTCCATCTCGGTCAAGATAGACGACGCCGTGGTCGCCAACATATCCGACCGCGTGTTGGAATCCATCCGGACTGACACGACCCTCTGCTCCGCCATCAGTAAGTTGCCCTCTGACTTTATTTCCGAGGACACGGGTGATTATTAGTGTACACACTTGGATCCATGGCTCATGTTGTAGTTGGCTAAGTGTTGGACGGGTGGCTGGATTTCCATGCCTCGACTCAAGTATGGCTTCCTTTTCTGGAGATTGATTCATGCCCGTTGCACAATGTGGCACGGATGAGATTTCTTTTCACACACCACCACTTGCGAAATCCACGGAGGGAGAAAGGAAAAGGTGACGAAATTCGGGTGCCATTGCATCACAACGACTTTCTCGTTCGCATACTTTTTAATGAGGCAGCAGCCGGAGACGATCTTCTATAGGAGAGATGAGTAGAGAATACAAATCTTTAGACGACATGGATACCGTTGGATTGGCAGATTACGTAATTCTTAAGTGGAAAAAATATAGTTAGCGGGGAAAGTTTGCGAAATGGGGTCTCACTTTACAGAGATTTCGCATTTTTTCGATTCGAGATCAAAAATATATTTAGCAGGGAAAGTCTGCGAAATAGGGTCTCAGAATTTTGCATTTTTTTCTACCCCAGATTTTGGTACTTTATTAATCGTCACTTATTTGCACATGCACCCAGATTACGTACACGTACGACTTATGCGCCGTATGTAAGATTTCGATCCTGTTTTCCATCCATCCACTCAACAAGATGCACGTTGACCCCGTGTCAAACAACCCCAACTCGCAAGTACAGAACATGACAAGAACAATTCTCCGAAACTTTTCACCCTGTCCAAACTCTAAAAGTTTCCAAGTTTCGTTTTCTCTCTTTTCCTGGGCACACGTTCAAAAAATCAGACAGGAAATAAAATTACGGGAGCGACAAGTGCAGCCCACTCTGGAAAAGCATACTTTCCTCTTTCACGGAATTGTTATTCAACATGGATTCATGCCCATCACACACCAAGTTTTGGCCGATATCCATCCACCATGCAGTTAAAAAAGTTAAAAAAAGTGTTGCTTGCATCCACGCCTGGTGTGTTCGTGCCTTGGATAATTCATACTCATTTCGAGTCGTGTCATAGGATAAAAAATGTGACGATAATTTCAAAGGGTTGCATACACAAGTGGCGAGGAAAGCTAGAAAAGATGATACTTTTAATGGAGAGAGAGAGAGTTACTGACAAGGGTGATCTCCCAGCGTATGCTCTCAGATTTTGGGCAAAGTAGCGTCAATGTATGACAAATTTAATTAATGTGAAATTTACAAAAATTTACAAAAGGCACAATCTCCCAATGGACACGTTTAGCAGAGATATTTGCATCCGAAGAGGAGAAAATGCTCCTTAAAGTTGATTAATTTCGCACTTTCCAAATTTACTGTGCGTTTTTGGAGGTCTTGTCTTTCGTAATTTTTATACTAATTAAATTGGTAATCCTTTGGCACTACTTGGTCGAAATCTGAGAGCACCCGCTGGGAGACCTCCCTCGTGAGTGGAGTTGAAGTTAGTTGTGTGTAGTCGAGTAATTGGGCGTGATCTGGTTTTTATCATTTTTATTGCAAACTTTCCCCCGGAATGAATAAAGAGGAGGAGGAGGAGGTCGCTTTACTGGAGAAAGTGATTTCATTCCCTGCTTTTTTCTCGTTCTCCTTTGTACTCTGATGTATGTGTGTAGAGCCAGTGGTGGTGTGTGACATGGGGGTGGGGTGTTATTTATACTCCGTGTGTCACGTCCAACCCGAGACAGGGTTCTTGACAAGCACGCTGCGATTTTGATGCCACGATATTCATCGAATATCAAAAAAGAGAGAGATCTAATATTGTAATTTAGCTCCTAAAAAACAACGTCAACCTTTGTAAAATTCGTTGTGCCGTACACGAGTAACTAAACGGTAGCCACTTACATAAATCAGTCCGCATGTGTCTCTTAATTTCGGCCTAGTTTCCATCTCCTAAAATTTATAGGGTTGCAAAGTTATCGTGTTTTACGAACCCTGACTACTCGCACACTTTCTCTCTTTTGCTTTCTCTGGAGAAAGTGAGAAAGAAACTCTCTCACCGATTGACTACTGTTCCCTGCACTCTCCAGCCAGCTATACATCTCTCTTTCTCTCTCTCTCTCTCTCTCTTTCTCTCTCTCTCTTTCTCTCTCTCTCCAGGGATTGTTTGTCGCCCAGATGCTGCGAATAATTTATTTTTTTCCTCCTCTCCCTGCGAGACAGGCTTTTGATTCTTCCATATCATATAAACACACAGGGAAATGAAAGTGGGCTCAAATATGGTTTTATTTTAAAATAAAATAAAGAGGATTCATCCACTTGAAGCAATTTCCTTGTTCTGTTCTGTCATCACTGGAGGGAGAGAGGAGTGGTTTTTTAGAGCTAACGTCCCATACTTTTTTCCTCCCTGGAGAATCTCATCATGATGATGATGATGATGATGATAATACACGGTTAGAATTAGATAGTAGTACATACATACATACTTCAGTCACTCCACTTGACTCGGCTGCAAGGGGAAAGCAGTGCCCGCGGAAGGTGGGACATCTGGGGACACTAACATTTTAGGATAGGGGAGGGTATGGGCAGATGATGGGGACATCGACTAACCATTGCCCCTCTGTCCCCACGCTTCCGCGGCGACTGGGCGAGAGGACCCCATTAGTTCGTGGGGGACTAGAACGTCAAAGCGAGTCATCATTTTATTTCATCTCTCTCCCTCTCGCTTTTCTCTCTCTGTTTCTTGTTTCCTGAGCGAAATTGAATTCAATCAAGATGATCAGTGCGTGAGTGAGATGCGAGACAATCAAGAAAGCTTTTTAGTTTATTGATAGCGAGGTAAATAGCTTAACCATCACGAATGCGATGGGGAAATCATTACTCGAAATTGGTCGTGCGGTTTTAAAAGTTTCGGTCAGCAAAAAAAAATACAGCCGACATGTGGAAAACAGGGATGGCCAAAATACTTTGGTAAAGAAATACAGCATTTTGATAACCCGTTCTTCCCAAGGTTTGGATTTCTAGGGGTGTCACATGCACAAAAAGACGAGAATCTATGTAAAGAAGGCAGCAGTCATACGAAAGTACAGGTTTTGTGGGGAAATTAATATTTTACAGATGTCAAATACTTTGTTTTCACGATTTTCCTTAAAATAAAGTATTTTGACAGCTATAAAAAGTTAATTACTTCACAAAACCTATACTTTCGCGTGACTGCTGCTTTCTCCACGTGGATTTTCTTCTTTTTGTGGGTGTAACACCCCTGCAATTCAAACCCTTGGAAGAACGGAGCTCAAAATACCATACATTTCGACAAAGTCTTTTGGTCATCCCTGCCGAAAAAAGTGGGAGTGGTGGATGAGCAAGGAGGAAGCAGAAAGAGAGCCCAGTTTTATGAAATCCAAAGTGGTGGAGAAAGCAATTTGGAGAGAAAGCTATCTGCGAGGAAGGAGGGACCGAGTGCGAACGGCCGCTCAGGGATCTCTTCCTCCTCTCTCTCTCTCTCTCGCTACCAAATGGATCTCCTCGCGTGTGTGGGTCGTCTCTATCTCCGCCAATTTTGGGGAAAGTGATTGTCTGCCTGGATTTTTTGAACGTTGTCTCTCTCTCTCTTTAAACCTTTTATATTTTAATGTGCATGTGTCCTTCTTTTCAGGAGAGACCAATCTGCCCATGATCTACTTAATAACGCCCACGTACAAGCGGCCAGAACAGATCCCGGACTTGACGCGGCTCGCCCAAACCTTGATGCACGTCCCTTCCATTACCTGGCTGATCATTGAGGACGCCGAATCACTCAGCCCGGTCGTGACGGAGATACTTAAACGGTCCGGGATCCGATATGTGCATCTGATTGGTGAGTGAGCCCCCCGTGTTTTGTATTTGGGAGGGAATAAAATGAGAATTTTCTCCTCTGTTTTTTTTTTAAATTGTTGCCGAGTAGGCCATTATGTTCTCAATTACTCGGGGTAAGTAGTGCAGTAATGAGACGGAGAGGAGGGCAGGGACGAGAGAAAGCAAGCCACTTAAGGCGAGGGGGAACAATATGAGGCATGTATGGTGGTGGTGGTGGCAATTATGGCAATCTCCTCATTTCCCACTCCTCCTGCTTTCTCCACTTGAGTCCAACGTTGTTAGTTTAGTCTGGCAGGAGTGTAGTTTTAGTGGATCCAGCAGGTGAAGGAGGGGAAAAGTGTGTGGATGATGATTTTATTGTATTTTTTCCTCGAGAAGCACACATTTCGTCTCCCCCTCAGCTCGTCGATCAGCCAGGAGCTCATTCTTTTATTCTTGCCTGCCTTCCTTCCTGTCTCTTCTTCCCGTGCTTCCTGCCGGCACGATTAGTTTGCTGGATTTCTTATTCTCTCTGGCAGGACGGTTATTTTGCCATTGTTCCCCTTTCTCCTCGGCGACCCCATTGATGAGAACGGAGAAAGCACAAGGTGTGGAAGGAAGGGTGGCATTGTGCTCAGTCAGTGGTGGAATCCACCTGGTCCAACTTTCCTAAATTCGTCGACCAGTGTTTTACGTACATAATATTTACTGGGCATATTAGTAATGAGCTTAACGAGTAAAATGGATGATGGCTTATCAACGGAAATCTCACTTTGCTCCGAAAAAGTTAGACTAAAAAGCGTAAAAGCCTCTCACGATGTGAAAAATCAGATCGTTAAGGTGTATATATTAATTAAGTGGGTTATTAAATCTGGTGGAATCCAGACTTGGTCGAACTTTCTTATTCGACGACCAGTGTTCTACATAATATTTACTGGGCATATTAACAATGCGCTTAACAAGTGTGAGTGGGAGACGGCTTATCAATCAAAGTCTCACTTTGCTCCGAACAAGTTAGACCAAAAGCTGTATTGTACCGTATTAATTTACGATGTGCATACAAAGTCAGATCATCAAGGTTTATTAATAAGTGGGGCATCAAATTTACAACCAAACTTTAGTTAATGTAGGTTATGATGCACATAATAAAATGTAAAGTCATATGAATTTATGTAATGTGCATTATCCGTTCCCAATAGATTTCGAACAAGTGATTCCTTTCGGGTAATTTAGTTTTGACGAGCAAGTTCAATTGTTTACTTATCAGAGATTTTATTCAAATATTTTGCATTTAATAAAATAATAAAGAATTTGCATTTTAGTTTAAATGTGAACATATGTAAATATTTTATTTGGGAGGGAATAAACTGCGAAGGGAAGGAATTAGTTGTAGAATCAGTTGGCGATTAATCGAACGATTAATCCCTGACCAAACCAAACACCTTTCGGGTTTGAATGACTTATCGTTAGTTGGCCAATAAATTGCATTGTTTGCTGATCACAGATTTTATTCAAATTTTGCATTTTATCAAAATATCCTCCTTTGATGGATTAAGATTTATGACCAATTTATGACCTCATCAGGTCATAAGATATGTATCCACACGCAGTGGCCGCGGAAGCGTGGGGACAGAGGGACAATGTCCCCACAGTTTCGATGTCCCCATCATCTGCCCATGTTATACAAACCCCACCTCTCCCATCCTACAATGTTAATGTCCCCACGGCTTCCGCGGCCACTGTCTGCATGTACCGAAGTATTATCAAAATTAAGTGAATTTCAAAAATTCATGTCCTCTTGTCCATTAAGATTACAAGATGGTGATTTCTTAGAACTAGAACAACCAATGCTACATACTTCCTGAAGGAGGGTACACACTCTGCAGGCCTCCTCACATTTGCATAGGCTCATTATTAATGCCGTCATTAGCACAACATGTGGAAACTGGTTAAAATTTAGAAAATACAAGAATCCGTCCAGCCTAATGGGTTGTGTCTTCGAACGTAATTAAGCAGCAGCAGGAGCAGCAGCAGAGCTCATTCTCGTAAACTGACTAAAATGCCATGCCTGGTTTCTTTCTTTGTGAACAAGCCCGTCACCGTGATCACGGTGATGTGATCATCATTATCTTCATCATTCCGTCCTCCTCCCTCCCTCGCAGCATGGTTTGACTGTAAACTTTTGCCTTGGGTGATGCTCAAGACTTGATCTTCAGTCAGAGAGCCATTTTCCGTATTCAAGACGAGCCGAGGTTGTAGCTTTCTCTGTCTTTGTCTCATCTCGTAATAATCCGAGCAACCAGACCACCGCTGGTTCTTCGGATGGTAACCCACCACCACCAGCACACGGAGGAATGAACCAGACGCTGTCGTTCGTTGTACATACAAAGTGCTCTCTGTGAAAGAGACGATTTCAAGGAATGAGATAAAGTAGTCCTTTCTGTGGAAGAGGAGGACACAACGAAACCAACACGACAGCAGCCTCTTAAGATCCAATTGTACAGCGAAATTAAGAAAGAATGAGAAAAAGAGAGAAAGTAGAAAAGAGGAAGCTCATGAAAATGAAAAGTTGTCATGAATGTGATTGCGTTGAATGGAGCGGATTATATTTTGGTTGCTGGGAGGGACACATTTCCGTTCTCCTGGGGATGCAAAAAGCTTCTCATCTCCTCCTCCTCCACCGGTAGAATAAGGAGACCAGGCTTCTGGTGGGATTAAATTGTGCTGTTGTTGTATATGGGTAGTGGGTACATGTAATGGTGGCAGGATTGCGTCTGCAATGGCCGTGGTGCTGGTCCAACCGTGGAGTTTTCCGCTCCGAGAATAAATCTTGTCACTGGAGAAGATAACTTGATTCTGGGGAAAGCTGCGTACTTTTTCTTCTCTCGCTCTGCTTTGCTCCCTTTCCTTCCCACAGACCTGGATGGACGGAGATTTGTTGGGAAACAAAAGCCGTTCTAGTTGCCGAATGATGGAAAATGTAAAATTTGAGGAGATTTTTTTTTACTCCTTTCGTTTCAGTTTCAAGTGGGAATAAGAGTCCGGGTTGATTTCTTTCCTTGGCTCGTCATTCCTCTTCTTTTTTTTCTTCTTCTTCTCGTGGTGTTGGATTGATGATGCCTCGAGCTAATAACGAAGGATAAGAGTGTGGCTGCAATGAGTAGCAGTCGGACCAAATTCCATTAAGTGAGTGAGTGAGAGAGAGAGCAAGATGATGAGAGAAAGTGTACCAACTTTCTTTTCTTTTTTCCCCTCCTCCTCCCGCATGTAAGTGATGATGACGGGATAAAATCGTGGCAAGAGGAGGGAGAGAAAGTGGAGAAGAACCAGGTGATGACCAACCCAACGGGCCGGGAGTGACACCAACTTAATTACAATGCTAACAAGTTCTTCTTCTTCTTGTTCTAATGAGAAAACGGGTGTAATGGGTTCACAGAAATTGGACAGGTTGGAGGAAGATGATGACGTGAAATGTAATAAAATCCGACTTCTCAACTATTTCTGGAGGTCGGTCGAATATGAAAAAGTCAAATTGCCACCATCATCAAATCCGAGTGTAACGAGTGACCCTTATATTTTCCCCAGTTTTTGGCATGAATATTTCCCCATTTACAGTCCACGTAACCGTAACATTTCCACCCCTGACACATTGTCCGTCAATGCCTCCACTAATAATATTAGCGCAATAATCATCGCCATCAAAATCTCGCCGAGATAAAAAATAACAGTCGAATAAATGGCGTGTCTCGCACAATTGGCGTGGTTAGGTCGTTTCCGTGGTGAAAACATAACTCTAATAGTCCGACGGCTTTGCATAATTTAGTAGCTGTCCATTTTCCCCTCGGAGAAGAGAGAATTGGAGTGAGAGTGCGGTTTATTATTTCGGTTGAGTTGAGAGGCCTAAAATTTGGCCTAATTAAGTACACTCCTACTCGAGGAGAAAATAAAGAGTACAATAAAATAAGCGTTGTTGTTCTCCTTGTAATTTCAGCCCCCATGCCAGCCGAGCAGAAGAAGAAGAAGGTGAAGGCTCGTGGCGTCTCGAACCGCAACAAAGGGTTGGACTGGGTCCGTGAGAACTATGTGGACACCCGGGGCGTGGTCTACTTCGCCGACGACGACAACACTTATGATCTCAGACTGTTTGATGAAGTAAGTCACGGAAGAAGAGGGACACGGCCAAAAGAAGTAGCAGGAGCATAGGAGTGAGTGTGTGGCAGCAAAATGTGGCATGTCTCTCGGTGATGTAGAAATCCATCAAGTTTTCGTGTGCACAATCACTTTCACTTTCACTCAGCGTCCAACATAACTCGGATTAGATTGGTTTTGTGGTGGCAACAACATTCATATTTCGGAGAGTGCAGTTGATTCCGTGTATGCAGTTAGTTGGGCGACATTGCAATAATAATGGTAACAAGTCCATCTCTCGAGGGCACCACCACCACCACACCACGAATACGGAAGTTGCCACGCATGCATGACTAAACCGGGTGTTGTATTATTGGTGTCTATTAGATGGCTCGAGAATTAGTTGATTATTATGACGGTTGGTAAATTAGATGGGTGGAGTAGATAATAGGATTTCGTGACTGGTTCATCCATCCACTCACTTTACGTACCTATAGCCAGCCGCATAGACGTAGATAAACCGACCATCACCACCTCCACAATTTGTCTCCCTTACTGAGAAGCAGAGAATGGAATGGAATTTCCCTTCTTCTTCTTTCCATCTCATCAACCACTTTCACCGCACTTTTCAGTTGAAATTAAGAAAATCCAAGCAAACCACGGGTACGAACCACATTTAATTGTGTGCGAGAAAGGAGAAGATCCGTACAGTCGTCGACTGCTCTTCGCATTTGTGACCGGGTGCCTTTTGCAACAACAAAGGAAATAAGTAAGCCAGAGATCCCAGAGAGAGCTTCTTCTCCGCCTTTCATGAATTCATAAAAGCAAAAACAATGTTTTATTAATGAGTTTAATCCGAATTGGACTAATTTCGGATTTCATCTCCTCACTCTTCCATCCATCCCTGGATCCTCTTGCTTGTCTCTCTCTCTCTCTCTGGATGAGTGGGTGATGATTGTGACGCTACTACGAGAGCAAATTAGTCCTCCGTCGTCGAATGTATTGCGTTGCGATCAGTGAGGCATGTTTCGTTCGTACAACAGAACAGCTCATTCCCGATGCGACAATGTAATAAAACAAAGCCGGCATCATTTCACTTGATTAGCTTTTAATTCTTGGTCGTGGTTTGGTTTGTGTAGCACGGGGGATAGCGACGAACGAGCATGATACACTTTCCCAGTTGGATTATTAGATTTTGCAGCGTAATGTCCGTCGTCGGAATCAAAGTCCTCATTGAAACTACGATACATAGATACTGCGAGAGATAGCATAAACTAATTAATTTCCATAATACGACTGCTCCTGCTGCTGCTGCTGCTGGCTGGCTGGGCGTGGGAGGGAGAATATTATTCCATTTATTATTTCACTAAAACTGAAACTTTCTCTCAAATGGTGCAGATCCGGACGGTGGAAAAGGTTGGGATGTGGCCGGTCGGGTTGATCACACATTTTGGCGTTAGCTCCCCCGTGGTTCGAGACGGACGCGTGACCGGCTTCTACGACGGATGGGTCGCCAACCGCAAGTATGCCGTCGACATGGCTGGATTCGCCGTCTCGGTGGATACCATTCTTCAGGTAGGTAGACATATGCACTTTGTGGTGGCCGTTGTGTGGTGTGGGTGATGAGAATAATTATTTGTTGGGTGTGGTGGGTGAGGAGATTCGTGCTCAAATGATAATAATGTGGTTCATATATACGCTTCTTTCGACTTTTGACTCCCCGTCGCGTGTTTTACTGCCTTTGTTAAATAAGAGGAGTGAAAGAAAAGCAGGGTTTCGTTAGAGTGTGGGAAAGTTATTGTGTGAAATGGGAGAAAGTGCAATATTTCAGTATTTCGTTTTGGATGTCCAAAACTACTTTTGAACGATGTCCAGTCCAAAAGTGTCCTAAACTTTCCAAAATCGTTCAACATTGGAAAATGGGGTAAATGCTACAAGTTTTTCATTATTCAAGCTTTCGATAATCCATTGACGTATATGTAATCTCCCGTTATTTTTTAGCATTTTGGTGTGTAATAATACCACGAAATTTAGAAAAATTTTTGTTTTAACATGTTTTCTTACAAGAACTTACGAAATTTTCGAAACTAGGCCGTATTACGCAATAAAGTGCTCAAAATTAATGGGAGATTACATACAAGTCAGCGGATTATCTAAAGATTCAATACTGAATAACTTGTAACATCGTGCCCCATTTTCTATTTTGAACACTTTTGGACATTTTCGGTGTCCAAAAAAAGTTAAAAAACATATTTTGGACGGCTCTTTTAGACTCAGACTACAGCGAAACACTGGCAATTCTACATACATTTCTAAACTTTTGCATGCGCCTTTTGTGCCGCAAAAAGTATTGGAAACACTGAATCTGAGTGAAAGCCGTGTTAATAAAATCCTGCATTTTTTTTTCTCAGTTTCCCGATCTGAAGATGCCCTTCGTGCCGGGCTACGAGGAGGACGGTTTTCTCAAAGGGCTCAGCTTAAAGTTGGAAGATATCGAACCAAAGGCGGACAATTGTACCAAAGTATGTATTCAATTCAATAGATTTATGTCTCTCTTGACATCCATAAATAGCTCATGCAGACACGTAGATAAACCCGAATGATAACTGATAACTCGTATATACAATGTTTGATCACACAGATCTACGTGTGGCACACGCAAACCAAGAAGAACAAAAACCCCATCAAAGCCAACCAGACTGTGTATGAGTTTACAAACGTGTGGTCTCTGTACGAGCAGATTGAGATGTGAAATATTTACGTACGTACGAGATCAAACGCAGAAATCAAAGCAATTGATTCATATCTGACAAAACATATGAAACTCTCTCTCTCTCCGTGTAGTTTAGTGACTTAATTGGTGTTTGTGTAATAAGTGTGTTACTTACATAACTCACCCGGTTTTTTTGTTGTTATCCTGGTTTTCGACCTTTTCCATCCCCACAAACATTTGATGCATGTATATGTTTGCATGCATTCTAGAAATTAATAGAATTGATGTGGAAGGATCGAGTGACCCCGATGACGACCCACTTCCGGTGATCCCACTGCGAAATAGGATACTTGTTTGAAGCACAAACCACACATTCACAGCCCGTCTCGAACTCACAGCGTGGGTTGAGATGAGACAATAATCATGGCAGAAGAACTGAACTTATTCTTACCCAACAAAAACCTAACCTTATCTACATAAATAAATATATATCTACTTATCCGGATGGTGTGCTGCTTATCGTTGGAATAATTTACTCACTCAGAAAACCAAACTTCATTACTTAAGGGTTAAATTCCCACGTCTACTAAATATTTTTGTACCACAGGAAAAAATGATGAAGATGAATCAAAAACTTACGAGAATGAAACGCTTACGTTTTTCATACGTGTCTCTCTATTCTGATGACTTTCTTAACCTTTGAAGCGTCGAATGTGTGGGCGGACTGCGTTTTATTTTGAGTATTATTATCTTCCTTTAGCCCTGTTTTAGTCGTGGTGGTGGACTTATCTACATTTTCCACTCCTACGTTTTCTCATCGTTCGTTATGTAATAACTTTACCATTGTGACAAGTGAAATGAGCTGGGACAAAGTACATAAGTGGTGACGATATGATGTTCGTATCTTTAAATGAAATGTTGACCTGACTCTTTTACTAAAAATTTACTCTTTTTCATGTTATTCTAGTCGTATAAAATATTACAAAAGTTAAAAATATGTATCGCTGTCGTGTTCCCTATTCTCAAGAAGAAATGTAATAAAGTATAAATAAAAATGATGGTTGTAATTTTCAAAGGATTGTCATTTTCTTATCATTTATTTCTGTTATACAAAAATGGCTTACACTGGTACAAATGGTCATATATAAGTTATCATTTACTTTTCATTCACACATCAACAAGTTTTGTAATACTTTCAGAAAAAAAATAACATTGTGCTAAATACTTAAGTTAGAGTCATCAAAAAGATATCGTCAGTCCAGTTTTGTTTAGAAAAGATTTATAACACCATCAGACGAGGGGCGATGTTCATCGACATCAACTCTTGGAAGAGAAGTTTGGCTGCGTAGGGAAGTCGGACTTGAGAAATCTGGAAGTAGAAAAGTATAATTTTAAATTAAAATAAATAGGAAATCAAATTAATTGAAGGAATTAATTTCATTAAAATATAGATCAGAATTTAATTACAAAATACACGTCACCGATCTCTCAGACACAGCCAAGTAAAATCATCATATTTCTCACACTCAAAACAGAAAAAAAGTTACCAAAGACGTATTTATTTTTACCTGTGTCTTATTTTTACAACCCCGACACTCGAACGTCTTACTTCGCAGATTAGCAATGGCAATAAGTCCACATAGATCACAAATATGAATTCGGTACGGATCCGAGACCTGAAAAAATGTGGTAAAGAACAACTTGTTATATTCAACTCTACAAAATGTCTTATAGGATTGAATCTATTTTTTTCAATCTCGTGTTGTTTTATTTGTGCTCAAATTTCAAAATCTTCGCCATTTCCAGACCCATCTAACTTCAAACTTTTAGCAACTTATATGACCACTCACCTCGAATAAGCGCTCCCTCAAAAACTGGGCAGCTCCATGAGAAATCTGGCAATCCCGTTCCATCTCACCGAATCGGAGACCACCATCACGAGCTCGGCCCTCCATGGGTTGACGCACAAGGATCTGGACTGGTCCTCTAGCTCTCGAGTGAATCTTATCGTCCACCATGTGCTTAAGTCTCTGTCAAGAAAATGGAAAATTCATATTGACATTCCATTCCATTCTACTTTATAAAATAACAAAGCACAAGTGCTACATACTTGATAATAGGTTGGGCCCAAGAAGGTATGAGCATTGATTTTTCTCCCTGTATGACCACAATACAGGATCTCATTTCCTCGGAGCTGATAGCCATATTCCTGGAGAATATTTGAGATCTTTTGGACGTTGACGGCATCGTTGAAAGGGGTGGCGTCCCCGATTTCTCCTTTGTTTGATGACACCTTCCCCTGGAGACACTCGATCAAATGGCCGATTGTCATCCGAGACGGGATGGCGTGAGGATTGATTATTATATCGGGTGCTATCCCCTCACAAGTGAACGGCATGTCCTAAAGAATGATGAAATAGACAAGAAAAGTTGAGAAAAGAAAGTTGAGATTGCTTTGTCGATACAAGAATTTTAATTGAGTACGCCAGTCAGTTTCCGTACCTCTTGCCGATATTGAATACCACATGTTCCCTTTTGCCCATGCCGAGAAGCAAACTTGTCTCCAATTTGAGGGATACGCACCGAACGGACGCGAATCTTACAAAATTTGTAGCCTTCAGCATTCAAAGTGATCATAACCTGATCGACGATACCGGTTTCTGAGTTTCGTAGAAATGTGGACGCGTCTCGTTTCACATAGCGACGATTTGCTTCTTGGAATTCGTCCTCCGTTTCGGGGAGAGTAATAGTTTTACCTGAAAACCATAATGCGAAATTAACATACACATTTCTTTTTTGGCCAACGACGATTAATTAACATACCGATAATCACATCATCCCCAGAGACGCGAACGCCAGGCGCGATGATTCCGTCGTTATCCAATTTGTCGTAAATTGCATTTCTCATCCCTTGACAGCTATGGCGCTGCGGCTTTTCAAATTGCTCTTCCTGGTCCCCAATTCGCTTAGATTCCTGATCTTTGTAAGACCGGAAGAATACAGATCTGAAAAAGCCTCGATCCACTGCCGACGCATTGAGAATAACAGAGTCCTCCTGATTGTACCCGGTGTAACAGGCGATCGCGACAATGCTGTTTATTCCGGCTGGAAGCTCTCTGAACCGGAGGTACTCCATGGATCGAGTAGTTACAAGAGGCTTTTGTGGGTAGTAGAGGACGTGGGCGAGGGTGTCCATCCGCACGTGGTAATTCGTAATGTAAACTCCCATGGCTTGTTTACCCATAGCACTCTAGTAATCAAAACTTAATTGAATATCGCCATACAAAAGCAATCAACAAATTATTATTCATCTGTTATAATTATCGGTTTTCGTACTTGGTAAGTGTTACGAGGAGACTGATTGTGATCAGGAAACGGAATGATGGAAGCGCAAACACCCAAAATCATGGCTGGGTGAATTTCACAATGTGTGTACGTGGTACAATACGCGTACCGCTGGTCTTGAGTTAAATCATCGGGATTCATGGTAATCATCACTGTCTCTTCTTCCATAGTGTCGATGTACTCGACTACTCCTCGAGCCACCAGATCTTGCCAACTTTAAGAACAAAATGAAATATATGAAGCGAATGCTACATAATCGACAAAATAAAAAAATAGTTCATGGCATAGTAAGCAATATCCTACATCATCAGAATTTAATTACAAAGTTAACGTCACCGATCTCTCAGACACAGCCAAGTAAAATCATCATTTTTCTTACACCGTAAAAAGAAAGAAATTGTAAAAGGCCAAAATTAGCAGGGTTTATTACTCACCCGTAATTATTGTATTCTCGCTCCTTTAACATATCAATGTGGCGTTTTTTGAGCAGCAACTTCCCATTCTCAACAATCAGAAGGGGACGACAAATTCTACCAGCGTCGGTGTAAATTCGAATTTCACGATCACGAATGTCACGAACCATTGATACTTCAGAGACGATGATGTCCATTTGGCGACGTAGCTTTCGCAGAGTTGTCATCAACTGTTCAGGGTCTCGATGTATGCCGACCCAGCAACCGTTGACAAAGATTTTAGTGGCACTGGAATTAATTAAGATAACATTAATTAAACACAGTACACAATAATTACGTACTATACATAGAATTCGACACTGGTTACTAGTAGTTGAGCTAGATTTACTCACTCGGCAATGGCTGAAGGCGCAATTTCTTCTAAATTCTCCATTGACCACTCCTCCAAGAACTCGAGAATTGGGCTGGGTTGTGACCCCACAGAAATGTAGGCCATCAAAGCCAGATTCTTGACTAGACCAACGGCCGCCCCTTCTGGAGTTTCGGCAGGACAGATCATTCCCCATAATGTATTATGTAATTGACGTGGCTTCGCCAACTTCCCGTCGCGACCAATTGGACTGTTTACGCGACGCAAGTGAGATAAAGTAGAGGCAAAAGTGAGTCGGTTCAACACCTGAGACAAATACGAAATTTTAAAAGTTAATTCAATAATGCATTCTTTGTCAACTATTTATTAATTAATTAGTCCTATTAAACTATTCACCTGTGACACGCCTGCTCTGGCTTGATGGGCCTTCTTTTGATCACCCCAATTACCAGTGGCCAATGAGTATTTAAGTCCATCAGTGATGATTCTCGTCTTGATGGCGAGTTCCAGATTAAAGTCTTTCCCTTTATCGATAAACTTTTGTGCATACATTCTGATTTCTTTAGTCAGGTTCTTGAACAGTCCTCTAAACAGAAAAGCCAAGAGTGGACCAGCTAAATCGAGACGCTTATTCCCGTAGTGATCTCGATCATCCAACTCTCGTCGGCCAAGTGCAGCTAGAAGGAGGCGATGGACCATGTAGCCCAAAAAGTAGGCCTTCTTAGTTTCACAAAAGTCTGAGACACCGACGTGAGGCAACATTTCCTTTTGGAGGATTTCTTTCGCATATCGAATACGCTTCTCACGTGTCACTCCGGGTTTCGCCCCTCTTGCACCTTTAGAAAATTAAATTCACATCGGTAATTTGCTGATTAAGTCAAAATTTAACTTAAGAATTATTAAATTAACAAACTAACCGATAAAGTTTAAAGCCACATTTTGTTCTTGGACCACGAACGCCTCATCCAGCGAGGGCTTGACCATCTCCATCATTTCCGGGTCGTCAAAATCGTAGATGATGTGTTCTAAGATATCGCGATCCGCCACGAAGCCCAAAGCTCGAAAGACGATCATGATAGGAATTTCCTGCTTGATATAGGGAATTACTGCAATAATCTTCTGTCCGATGGACGTCTTTTTCATCGTTTGTCCACCGCGAGACATCATGTTCACCCAGAGTGTGCTAGTTGGCCGAGACGAGTGCTCCAGACAAGATCTGATTTCAGCTTTGTACGCATACTTGGAGTCCTTCATACTGAACACGTAGACCGTGTTTGTCGCCATTTTCTCTTGAGCGATTAAAACCTATTGTAAAAAAATAAAATTGTTCATTAGATTATTTAATTTACTCCTAAACCGTTTCACATTTTTTAAATTTAATTCGTTTAACAAAAAATTAGCAAAAATATTAGAATCTAGCCCTGTACCTTTTCAGATCCATTAACTACAAAATAACCACCCGGATCCAACGGACATTCATTCAACTCTGTAAGATCTCGATCCGAAAGACCACTCAAGATGCAGTAAGTCGACCTCAACATGATAGGAATTTTCCCAATGAACGTCTTCGGATGTGGAACTTTTACCGTCTCCTCCCTCACGACTGTCTTGGTAATGTCTACGTATAGGGGAGCAGAATATGTCAGGTTTCGCAATCTCGCCTCATTAGGCATCATAGCTGAGGGGGCGCCGTCCTTCTCCCAATGAGTCGGCTTGGAGAGATAGATCTGCTCAAATCTGAGAACATAGCGCGCCTGTAATACAAAAAAGAGTAACGATTTTATATATATATTCTCCACAAACCATCACTTAATTTGACCTAAATTTTAAATAAAGTACGAAACTCACCGGCGTATCCACTTCTCCCCCCATGTGCTGTGCCTCAGCTTGTAAGTCCACTACGGGCGAGTCCTCCACAATTCTTTGCACCGACATTTGAATAAACTCATCAAAGGAGTCGAGCTGCTGCCGGACGAGACCTTTTTCATCGAAATACGCATTGATAACGATCCAACAGGCCTCCTGCCACAACTCGGCTGAAGCTCCCTCCTCTTCTCCCTCTGCAAAGATAACCAGAAGAAGAACGATTATCACCTCGAAAAGCCTTTTCCCCCTCTAAAAATCGAGTCCGCCCCACTTACCATCCTCCGGATCGTACATTACGACTCAATTTACAGTCCAAATTTTAAATTTCTTCAAAATTTTATTGGAGCGAAAAGCCGTCACTCCACTACGCACGAAGAATGAACGTAGAATGAAGCACTGAATGAAGTATTGGTCTTTGAAAAGCCGGTCTTTAACAAGGTGGGGGAGCGATTACATATTTCGTGGAGAAATTGTACCTGATAAGCATGATAAGCGCGTGGATGACGAGTATGCTGAGTGTGATGGCTTGATAAGGTGGGGTGCTTATCAAGAGGTGCCTTGAGGAAGGGTCGCGCATAAGAGAAAATCTGCCTGAACTATCCTTAACGGGAAGCAGCAACCCGGGATTGCGGAGATTCGTCCACAGGTGGCCTCCACGAACCAGAAACCAAGTGAGGAGCAAAAACCAGAGTCATAATTATCCTGAAAGCTAATATCCTAATTTGTATGAGATAATTTTTATTTTAGTTATGCTTAAAAATCCTTGCCCGATAAGATTACATCTTATCCGGAACTCCACAACTTGAATCCCGAATATTTTTCATCCTTAGTTAATTCTCACAAATTTTTAGAATCTCAAACCAACAATACTTGTGTATATTAACCTTTTCACAAACTAAGCAGACAAAAAGGATGCAATAAATAACGCACACAAATATAGTTGAATAGGTGTTTAGTCTACTTTTTTAAGTGATTCTTATCCATTGTCCATTTTTGTTGTGTATGTATGCACATGCAATTAACAGTGTGGAAAATGGGTGGAATAATGATGATACCCTGATAATTGCAGTCTTGGGACGCAAATAAATAAGTACAAGTGGTAGACTTGGCCGTTGTTATTAATACATAGTTGTAAAATAAACCTTAATTTGGTGTCTTGTAGTAGCCCTCAACTTGAATAAGTGTCTCACTCTCCAGCCCAGTTGGTTGGTTGGTGTCATTGTTGTCTCACTGACCGTGTTAAATCGTGAGTTCTGAAAGGTTGACCGACTTTTAAGATTGCGATGCTCCGATTGGACCCATATTTATTGAGACTTTTATTTTACTACTGTATTCACATATACCTAAATGAATTCTAAACTTGGCCATGAAATGTGGACCACAATAAATTAAATAAAGCTTTGGTTGGTGTAGGAGAGTAGTAAAAAAAACAGATTTTGACCTTCAAATTGAAGAATTTATTTTATTATCGAGATTGTCCTTATAAATATACCTTCCTGGCTGTGTCGCAGGTGGGTTTTTTTGGTTGGAAATGATGACGATATTTACTTTTTTTGATCTATGTAGTTTTTAGGGAATTATTTAACTATATTTGTAAAATGGAAATATTTACATGAGACGCATAAAATATTTAAAGTTTCCGAAGAATATATCTGAAAGTGATCGATTTCAGATACGTGTTGCTGTTTATCATCAAATGAAATTGAAAGTGGCCATCTCATCGGCTCACCCAATAATCATAGTCTCGACTTGCCTTGCTTGCCCTTCGGCCAATTCAGAGTTCTGAATAAGACAAAGAATCTCATCTCCATTTCGACGAAATGATTTCGTTATATATGTATAAAACTTATTATTTGGAAGAATAAACAAATTACCTGTAAGTAATCAATAATTAGTCCAATTTTGTTGGCATTCTATGTAAAATTATTATAGATAGTACAAACGAATATGTAAATGCTATCTACACATGCTCAACTTAATATCCATAATCTGGGTAATCTGGGCGAAAGTTAGTTAGATGTGATATGATGTTCCATAATAAATGCATACATAATTATTTGCATAGTTTTAATTGCATAGTTTTAGATAAATTTGGTACTAGGTGTATTGTAAAGATTTGAACTGGTCTAGTCTTCTGGTCTGTCAATGTTTCAGTTTCAATTGCTGTCTGCCGTGTATTACCGGCCTCTCAAATATTTTTCTTATTACACAACCACCACGACTGGATAAAATGTACGCATTGGTCGCGTTTATTTATAAGTTTATCACTTTGTGAAAATCCAGACTTTTTAGCAACCTTTGAGACCCATTAAAGTGCTGCGTCGAAGAAATAAGGTGACAATTGAGTGTCCCATTTTTATTACCCTTCTTATTTTATACTTGAACCGCTTGCTCCAACATTACTGCGGTTGATAATCCTCCTGTTGAAGTCAAAATGTTTAATAATGTGTCTTTTGTATAAAATTGGAGGGTCTTGTTGCACTTGAAAATTTGGTTGCTTCTATAAGGCCGTTCCGCGTAATAAGTTTATTGTATCCACGTCGGACTTCTTTTACCAACTTAAAACCAGCCGAATGGATTGAATCCTCTTTCATTAGGCGACTGGAATTGTCCGCGTTCACATCATCGATCGATAAATTTTCTAAAAAAGTGTCTGTTGTGAAAAAATTTAAAAAGTGAGAAAGTAAAAATCCATTTCGTTACCTTCCACAGAACTCGAGAGTCGTCTCCTCCAGTGCAGCAGGTAGTTAGACTTGTTTAAAAAAGCTTGAGCATTCATCCACCACGCCCCCGGAGAGAATTTATTGCACTTTTTGCTCCAAATTCACCACCCCTGCCTGATTAGTTTGATATCAAAAGAGATGGGCCATTAAATCCGTCTCCCCTTCCTGATCCAGGTCCTAGGGCAATGAATGAGGCCCAAATTTCAAGTTCCCTTTCCCTAAGAACATTAATATGCAGAAAGTGTGGCTGAGAATAAATTAGGGTAGAAGACGTACTACTGCCCTCCTGCCCCATATTTAAAATGCCCCCGAGAAACATTTTCAAACATTCTTCATCTTCTCAGGAAATGCTATCAGTGAGAACGAGCTGCATTTTAAACTGAAATTATCCATAAAAAATTAATCCATCCAGACCAGAAAGTTCTGGCTCAAGTTCAATTTTAATGGGTCTGACGGAACTGGTTTTCACTTTCTCTGCATAAAATAAAATTGACTAAATTGATCGATAATAATAAGGAATTTTATTCCTTAGTTAGCCATGGATTTGATATTTTGGTCCTGGCCGGCTTTGACCTTGGCGTTGATTGTGTCCGTACTGATTCTCAGCTTGGTGAGAAGGTCACCGTTCCGTGGAGGAGGATCCGCTAAGAATGGAAATGGGACGTGTCACACAACCAATGAAAATAACACGGTGAAGGTACTCCCATCCCCGGCCAGGATGCCAATAATAGGACATCTCTACCTCTTTCAAGGGTATGTTGATCAACTAACCAAATTTTTTATTGCTACTGCGCCATGGTCAAGTCCAAAGCAGTCCGGTTTATACCGGTGTGATGCTAACTGTACATTTTCCATAAAGAGTTGCAAGTCCAAGGTCTTTTTGTGACTATTATTACTTGGAGTTCTTTTCTCAGTATTGTTCATTCTCATGAAATTGTTGTTATTTTCGTTGCAGTTTACTTACCAACTTAACGTTTAGATTAATTCTTAATGAATTTAGTTGTTACTTTTTAGTAAAAATATGTATTTAACATATTTCAGAAAGCCATTCACGTGAATTTTAGTTTATGATATATGTATTTTCGTCATGCAGGAATGGCGAAAGTTTGCACAAATAAATACATGTCTCAAGTAACATGTCCTCAAATGTCGATTTGACTGATCAAAATATATCACTTTTTGTTCTGATTTCCGCAGAAATCCAATAATAGAACTGACCAAGCTGTCCAAAAAGTATGGCGACATTTACAAACTGTATCTCGGTTCGGTGGAAACTGTTGTGGTCAATTCGCTCCCTCTTATCAAAGAGGTCCTCATGCAGAAGGGGTCCGACTTTGGCGACCGGCCAAACTTTCTCCGCTACTCGATCCTCTTCGGAGACAATAAGGACAACTGTGAGTTGCGAATAAAGTATTTGCAAAAATAGTGTCAAAAATATCAAATATGTATATTTATGAACGGTAATGGTGACACATATTCACAGCCTTGGCATTCTGTGATTGGTCCAGCGTCCAAAAAACGAGACGTTCCCTGGCCCGAAGATTTTGTCACACGGGTCTCTTCGCCGACCGGGTTGAAACGGCGTTACAAACCACGACGGACATCCTCATGGCGCACATTCGTAGTGATATTGGCCTCGGAGAAAGTTGTCCTAATCTCAAGTTGAACTTACAAAAAGCCTGTGGAAACATTTTCTTTGACTTTTTCTGCTCCAAAGTTGTCACCGAGTGGGAGGAAGATGCAGAGTTTGACCGAGTCGTCAAGTTGTTTGATGACATTTTCTGGGAAATTAATCAAAGTCATGCGACTGACGTGTTGCCGTTTCTTGCCCCAGTTTTTAAGCAACATCTCTCCGCCCTGGCCAACATGGGGACGGAGATTCGACAGTATGTAATCAATCGGATTATAGTTCCTCACGCGTGAGTTGGTCAATTTCTTGTGTATCTTTTGCTTCAAAAAGTTTGTTCCTAGTTCTTCAAAGTTACATATTTCTTGCAGAGCTCAACTCGACAAGGACAATCCGATTGATTTCGTAGATATTTTGTTAACTCATTTGGAAGAGGCCGAGCCAAAAAATAGACTCACACAGGACCAAGTTTTGTACGAATTGGAAGACTTTTTGGGTGGACATTGTGCCGTATCGAATCTACTTTGCAGAGCTATCGTAGAGATTGCAGATTCTCCTGGAATGTCGGACAAAATTTATGTCAAGGTATTTATTTAAAATTGTCTTTAATTCTGAGTCGTTTGTTTAATTTTTATGAGAACTTGTCATTGTTAACTTACCTTTTTAAAAACTTGTATCAATTTCTCCAGCATTTCGAGCAAGGTAATAAGGAATATATTCAAGCCGTGATTTATGAGACGTTAAGAAGAACTTCATCCCCCATCGTGCCTCATGTTGCCTCTTGCAATTCCTCCATTGGAGGTTAACACTTAATAATGGTACTACATTTTACTGAATGGTGATGATAACACCTTATCATATTTGCAGGTTATCCCATCAATAAAGGAACCATGATCATGATAAACAATTACGACCTCAACTCCAGCCACGACTTATGGGAAAGGCCCGACGAATTCATCCCGGAACGATTTTTACTGGACGGAGGTAACGGTCGGTTTAAAAAGCCGGCTCATTTCTTCCCATTTTCCTACGGAAAGAGGGCCTGCATGGGTTATCAGCTTGTCGAAAAGGTCACGGAAGGTTTAATTCTCGCCATGGTGAAAAATTTTGACATCACTCCGCTCGATAACCCCACTCAACTTCCGATCGCATCGGTCGCTCTCCATCCGAACGAGCAGCTTCGGGTCAAACTTACTCCGAGACAATAAACGAGATGTCAATTCTTGGGCTTTTTTTAATAATAATTTTATTATTTTGTTTTTTAATCATGATTTTTATACAAAATTACGAAAATATCATGCTTGTTATTGGTTTATTCGTGCGAGAAATAAATTTTTTGTTGAGATTTTTTGCTATAAATTGTGGGGAAATTGAGACTACTTTTTTACCATAATACGTGAATTGCTTGCACTCGAATGGGCAAATTGAGTCGGTTGAAAGCTTCGAAATGTGAAGAGGCTGCCATCCATCGGGCCAAATCGAGTGAAATTGAGGAACCCCGACGACCGGATTTCTATCTTCAGAGAGAGGAGAGAGAAAGAGTTGACAGCAGAGCAACACAACTTTTAGTAAATGTTGCACACTTGTCAAGTCAGTTAGTTAATAGTTAGTGCATAGTTGGGTGGGTGGCTCATCGGACAGATAAGCCTCATCATCAGCAGAAGCAGGAGCGGATATATTATTATTGGTGGGAGTAGTGAGTGGGTGCGTTTTGGAGGAGAAATTAGCGCAAGTTCTTCCAAATTATTTGTTGATTCGCAACAAAACAATGTCGTCGTCCGAATTGGATGAACCAATTACCAGCGAAGAAAAGGTGGGTGACTGATGATAATATTAATTATGACATTTAGTTAATTAAAGTTCGTTGCGTTTTCAGGTTCGAATCGTGTCTGACTTCATTCTCCATTCTCCGCCGGGCGAATTTAACGAAGTGTTCAATGGTGAGGAATTAGTAATTGATTATAGTGGCTGATTAATTTGTAGAGTTAGTTATGATTTAAAATTACTATTTTCAGATGTGAGGACACTTTTGAATAATGACACACTACTCAAAGAAGGTGCTTCCAGGTGAGGATGACTATATATTTTATGTTATAGATTCATACGTAAATGTTAGTCGTCATTGTGTGGTAGTTGTGGTTTTATAAAATAATTTCTATATTCTTTTCCCTGTTTCATATGTAGTTCATTTGCCCAGTACAATAAAGACCAGCTGACGCCGTGCCGTGTTCAAGGGAGTGAGCAACCTGTCGTAATATCGGAACATAACGATCTCGGCGGAGGTCGATTTTATGACCCGAAGACTAAACAGTCCTTCAAATACGACCACTTGAAGAAGGAGGCTTCGGACTTTCAGGTAAACAAGAAATGCAAATTTTAATTGAATGAAATTTTTGCTAATTCAACATTGATTGTTTTTGTTATAGTCTTACGATTTGGATAAGAAAAGTGAGCCATGGAGGTCCGCTCTGGAAACGGAGTTTGGAGCTTATGTCTCCCAGCATTATCCGCACGGAGTTTATTCCATCTTCTCAAAGTCTTCAGGGGGCATTGTCACCGTCATTGTGTGCATTGAGGATCATCAATTCCAACCGAAGAATTTCTGGTACTTATTGTTAATACTTAAGTTTATAAAAAAATATTGTTGCATGTATGTGTTGATTCAAAACTATAATATTGAATGACCATGCTTTTGTGCAGGAATGGTCGGTGGCGATCACAATGGACTGTCAGTTTCGATCCATCCGCCATCGGCGAGATGGTTGAGGTTAAGGGCGTCGTTAAAGTCCAGGTTCATTACTATGAGGATGGCAACGTTCAGCTCGTCAGTTCCAAAGACATTAAGCAAACCATTCAAGTAGCGGTGAGTAGCAATAAATTGTTTACTCGTCGTCCATTGCAAAAGTTATTTCAAAACATTGCTTTACTTAATGTTCCCGTTTCACAGAACGAGTCAGAATTCGCCTTGGAATTTGTCAAACTTGCGGAATCATCGGAGAGCGAGTATCATAACGCATTAAGTAAGACAAATTAAAAAATATATGCACCAAATTAAATGATTAAAACTAACTAAAATCCCTTGTCTTTGTTCAGTCGAGAATTATCAAACCATGTCCGACACGACGTTCAAAGCCTTGAGACGACTGTTACCTGTTACTCGAACAAAGATTGACTGGAATAAGATTGTGTCCTACACCATCGGGAAAGAGTTGCGTGCTCAGTAGTAGGGTAACAATAGATAGGTTTCTTATGAAATAATATTTATTTACTTTTGGCTTACAAAGTATCAACCATACTAATAATACCAACCACAAAAACAAGTCTCCTTCTCCCTTAACTTCAAAGTTATTGATTTGTAAACCTACCTAAAATTATTGTGTAATTATCTCCTACTTTTCAAAATTTCCAATGTGTTCGACCTATTAAAAAAATTGGCCTAATTTATTACCATAAATTTCCCATTTCTATTACCACAAATATGTAATTACTTTTTACTTTTTCTTCACACCACGATAAATGGTTTGCTTATCGTCATCCTCGTCGTTCCCCAAATTGTACAAGTTTCGAGATAAAAATTTTGTCTAAAATAATTCGGCTTATATAAATAATCGATAAGTGGCTGACTCTTCTTGGGAGTGTGTAGGATTAACTTTATCAAGTCCTATACGACACGACTTGCAAAAAATCCTGCCAACTTTTCCACCCAAAAGTTCACTATCTCTCTTCGTCTATCCACACTTTGCCAATTTGTGAACGACCTCTACATCACCATCGTCACCCTACTCCTCCTCCCCCCTCAATTTTGAACCATTTATACCATTTTAACATTTTTTTGCTCTTAATTAAGTATTATTAGTATTTGCATACATATATGTACATAGCTATAGTTCAGTTTATTGCTGCATAGTAGGAATAAATAAGTACGCGTTAAGAAGATATTTATAATTTTAATCAAGGCTTGATTGGTTGTTTGTTCTCTATATCTTGTGTCCTCCACATCGTCGCTGTTTGTTGTACGTATCATGATGATAAGCATGGTGAACCAGTCTTCTGTGCTAATTTGAAATAATGCAAATTATTACTACTATAAATATATATGTAAATCTACTATAAATGTATAACCAGCCGTGATATTTTTACTCTGGAAATGGCATGAAATTTAATAAAGTTTTTGCAGTGTGGAACTCTTTCAAGTCGAGCAGCTATCCTGGGTGAGACCTTTTATTGAGCTAGTTGGCTTGAGCATGGTCGTCGGCACGGCATAGTCATGAGATGAGGATGACATTTAATTATTTTTAATTCCCATCTCCCTAATTGCACCAGGAGGGGGACCACTTATCTTTTATAACTTATGCGGAATGAGTGATTGCCAAATTGTCCAAGATTTAATGTCACAGTGGTCCAATCGAAGTTGGAAAGTTGGACAGTTGAATTGGCCAAAGTAGTCGAACTACTCCCATAATAAGTAAACTCTTCTCCTCGTCTGTTTGCAAAATGCTGCTCTGTCCTTAACTTTGGTTGGTGGGAGCTGGGAGCTAACTCCATCGCAGGGAAGAAGGGAATCATGGATAGTTGGCTAATTGGCACGAGCTCAAAAAACTTTACATTGCAATAGATGAGCCCATTGTGATTTCCCTTAATAATTTATGCCGAAACAAGATTCGTTTCAAACACATTCCTCTCTCGCTCTGCATCCTCGTGCTAATCCAGAATTTGTTTTCCATCGAAAATAAGCAGAGAAAGGTTAAATGCCAAGTCGTTCCAGGCATGGCATTACCCACTATGCCCCACATACGATACGATAACACGACGACTCGACGAACTACACATAAACTAAATGCTCGAATCAGAGAAAAAGTAAAAAGTCAGCCTATTCTCGGATAATAAATCAGGTATTCTCCATTTTCTCGTGCGAGCCTCATCTCTCTCATATTATGCCCAGGGTGGCTTCAGAAGAACAATTTCCCTCCTAATTTTTACCATTTTCGTCCCCTATTTTCCTCCCCAGACCATTTTCCAGCCATTTCGTGACCACCGACTCCCCCCCATTGACACAAAAATGGGAATAACATGACAAAATTCAGACACAAACTTAGAAAAAAGGTGATCTTTCGAACCCTGCTAACCCGTGTGTGAGTGCAACGAATCAAAGCAACCTCGACTATCTCCAACTAATAACTCACAGAAGAGAAACATTCCTGATTTCCGTACACCCACCACCACCACCACCAGAACCAGAAAGAAATCAACTTTCATATACACACATATAGAAAAATCCGTGAAAAATATAGACAAGGCAGCAGACAGAAAAAAAAACATTTTCAAAGTATGCCTGCTATGTGTGTTTGTACGTTGTTTAATGCTCCCTAATAAATTATTCCTTTTCAATCCCTTCCCTTATTTACGGGATGTAGATATGTATTTGTAGATGCACAATATGTAATACGGATAAGAGGGCAAACATCCACGCTTATCTGTCCACGGCTAAAATCCAGGATTTAGATTTGGAAGTGTTGTGAGAATAAGTTTTTTTTCTATATAGATATTTCAGATTCATTCCTTTACAACATAAAAGCCATCCTGGTCCCACTTTACTTTTTGGTCCATATTATTTCTCCCCCGGAATAAGCAAGACAAAGGAGGGCGAAGACACGTTATTATTTTACCTCGTCGTCGTCGTGGATAGAAAAATAAGGAAATATGTAAGTAAAGAAGTCGTCAACATCATAAAAGAACAAAATGTTTCCCCGAAATCTGCTAACTCGAAGAAGAAGAAGAAGAGTGAGACTGACTTCTTTTTTTTTGTAGGAGTAAAAGTCGGGTTGAAAATCATGCTGAGTATTTTTTTCATCTTTTTCTCCTAATCTTCACGCTTCTTGATTTAGCATCAATTTGAAAGAAAGGAAGAACACAATTCATTATTTCTATTCAAATTTTTCCTCTCTCTTCTTCTTCTTTAGCAAGTTTTCCTTGGTAAATAAATACTAAATACGTCGTAAGTAAGTACTTTTGTGGACTTGTTCTCGTCGGGTCGGTCGGTTGGTCGGTCGTTTCTCCATATTATTATTTTTATCATTATCGTAACATAACTATTATGCAAATGATGATGATGAAGCAGAAGAAGAAGGAGAGCAAATATACATAATAAAAAGAATACAGAGCGAGTGGTGGATGATGAAAGCCACGCCACGCCAGGTTCGAGAATACAAGGCTGGACTGAAAGGGTTGATCTTATGGATGGATGGAATTCCATCTTCAAAAGTAAACCCAGACTCGGGGGAAATACCAGGTCACATAACATCATCCAATAGCCTATGGTCCAGTCCAGCAGTCGTGGTCGTGGTGGTGTGAACTTTTGTTAGTTTTTCGTGCTGATGAGGTGTTGCATAATTGGAGAGGCGGCCGCGGCCGCGGCATTCATCACAAGAAGAAGAAAGGAAGAAAGACGACGCTCTCTCACACTTTGTGGGGATGAAGGTGTTACTGACGGGTTGGTCCTCCATGACATAATCATACAGTTACTACTACCTTACAGAAAAGAGTGGAATGCTCGCCTCAAACGTACTCGCAGAAAAATTCACCCCAAACCAAACCACCCAACAAGTACAAATATTTTGGCACAATCGCCTCGATTATTCTTCACTACCTCGTCGGGAAGGAAATGGAAGAAACAGAGGAATGATTCATGTTATGAATGCGTGCATAACACAAAATAACATATCTATGTACGAATGAGAGCAGAGTGTAATCACCCACATCATCATTATTGCGTTCGTACTATTACGACTTAATGACTAATAAGACGAGGAATAATAAGGAGAAGTTGAAGTTGAAGAAGGTGGTGGTGTGGTGCCTTCCTATGAGGAGTGTCTTTTGGATATTGAGGGTAAAAAGCGGATTGGATACCTGCCTAAGGAGGGGAGCTTGCGAGGTTGATAATAACAGATCTTGGTGCCCTTTGGATATGTGGTAGGGACCCATGAGTGTACTAAAACCCTGAAGTAGTTTGACTCCATGGCCACATTTGCGCCCGCCACACCCACTCAAAAATGTCCAAAAAACGCTTTCACCCCAGTTTTCACTCACTCAAATCCACGCCAAAAATCCAATTTTACTCGGATTTTGAAATTTCTTTCACCATTACACTCCCAGATAGTTGCTTTCTTCAATCCAATATCAAACTCAATTTTATTGATGATTATTTCGCAAACATAATTTGTTTTGTTGATGACTACAACAATGCTCATTCAGAATTTTAAATTTTAAAAATACTAAAAATTTCGAAAAAATTGAGTTTGATATTGGATTGAAGAAAGCAACTATCTGGGAGTGTAATGGTGAAAGAAATTTCAAAATCCGAGTAAAATTGGATTTTTGGCGTGGATTTGAGTGAGTGAAAACTGGGGTGAAAGCGTTTTTTGGACATTTTTGAGTGGGTGTGGCGGGCGCAAATGTGGCCATGGAGTCAAACTACTTCAGGGTTTTAGTACACTCATGGGTCCCTACCACATATCCAAAGGGCACCAAGATCTGTTATTATCAACCTCGCAAGCTCCCCTCCTAAGAAGCACTAATAACGCTGGTTGTATGTAGAAGAAGGTATATTTCTCGAGATGATGATCATCATTTTATCCTCATCTTCTCCGTCTAATTGTTCTCCTCTTAAAAGAAAGGGTTCCTTTTTCTCTCTCTTAAAAGTCCACCCATTGTGATTGTGGATTGTTGTTGTGCTGCAGAGAGCTACAAGATTTTGTTGAGCATCATGTTTCCTCTTGTTCTTCTCCTCGTGAATGGTGAGTAATTGGGATGCAAGGAATTCCAAGAAGAACAAAGAATTTTTGCCGAGGAGTCCTCTCTCACCATGGGAGGAGAAAGACTCCAAGCAGTGTGTGACGCGTCGGTCGGATGGTTTTTTAAACCTTTGACTATGCATTCGTGTAGAAGAAGAAGTAGACAACTTTTCCCAAATAAATGATCCAATCCAACATCTCGGTCGGCATGTTGGATTAGTTGGGGCATAATATTATGAGATGCGAGTCTATTAGGGTGGCAACCACGGTCCAGCAATTACATACATGGCTTCTTCTTCTTCTTGGACTCGATCTCTGCTGACTAAAAAACGCTCACCACGAACGAACGAACATCGCCCCAAGAAGTGAATCAACTCTTGTGTACCTTGAGATGCTGGTACTGCTTTGCGATGGCCGTGGTGGTGGTAATTCGGACGCGGCTTTTATCTTAATATGCCTTTTTATCATTATTAACCATCCTAAAGGAGAGGCGGTGTCTGTTTCGGCCCTTCTTAATAACTTTTTCCATTTTTTACTCACTTCTCACACACTACGCGAGCAACCCAGTAAATAAAAATGTTGGAATAGATGAAGAATCGAAGAACCAAGTTTTATGCAGAATCGACCAAACCTTAGATGTATGCATTGGATTGCATGATGGCATGGCACCACGGCATGCGGGTGGGGTTTCGTTTGTACGTTAATTTCTTCTTCTTCTTGAGGTGTTACAAGTTGTGTGTGCATAGAAGAAGAAGAAGATAGCCGTCCGACAACTTTTCTCTGTTTCCTAAACTCGGTCGACTATGCAAATTATGACGGTATTTAGGACCCGACCGACCAACTCGCAATGACGACGACCACGACGACGATCAGTGTTGACGGTCAAGTCAAAGTATAATATATCTTTTGGCAAGTTTCGTTATGCGGTGTGTTATGTGATGATGATGATGATGACGATAATGTTGGTTGGTGGTTTGGTTGGTCTAAAGGATCATCACACTCTTAAAGGTTCAGTTTTTGGTTGAGTAATGTTTTAAATGACTCGGAGCTGTGTGATGTGGATCAAACCCATTTCCTGAACGTGATGAAAATTATTTCGTCTCTCTCTCTCGCTCGCTGTCAATATCTAAGCGGCACGACTTTGTGATGATGATGACGAAAAATGCGAAAAACATGGCATGATTCATCCTCCCTTCTCCCTTCCGAAATCTTGGTGTGCTGTACTCACATTTTATTTGGAGGAGTCAAGTAATGAGTCTCTCGTGGTGTGGGCGACGAGTTGATTTGTCCACGGACGACGACTACTCCTCGTCGTTCTCGTCGTCAAGATGAGGAGGAAGGAAACAAGGGAGCGAAATAATACATTTCCTCCTCGACTACTTTGTGTGTCCGAGAGAGAGCTCAGGCA